TATGACTCCCTCGCCTTCCAGTGCTGGAGACCTCCTCTTCCAATTCTCCTGTTGCTCCCTTGTGAATGACCTGTTCCAAACGAATGGGAGCTTCTTGCAGCACATTTGGTGAAACCTACTAAATGGGCTTGTTCTGATCAATTCTGGTGAGATCAATCAGAAACCCTTGCCACAGTTGATTTCGCAATTTGTGTGCACAACACACCCGATCAGATCTTTGGCACCTGATGCTTGCTTCAGATCTTCTGCGCAGGGCCTTCTGCGCAAACCCTGTGACACATAGCATACAAGTGGATCCTTATCCACTCTACTCTTTACTTGTCTTACTCTTTACTTAGTTTCGTATCATTGCAATAGCAGGGATTTGCAACAACATCCTGAATGCATGTGTTGTATCACCGTTGGACGTCAACTGTAGGCAGTGGTCTCCACTGCAGTCCAGTCACTCACTGTAGGTGGTGTTCAACACTTGCCATCCAGTACCTCTTGTCATGGGCCTGAATGCTCAAGAAGCAGGAGGGTCACTGGTTCATATGGAAGGAGCACAGGTATCGGAGATCTAGTCGATACCAGTAGAGAGCATGGTCATAGTGCAGTCTCCATGGAGACCATGGACTCCTACAGACTCACATGCAAAGGAGCACTGAGCCATATGCGAGGAGGGCCAGGCACAGCCACAAGGAGGACCAAGCTCAAGGAGCATGCAGATGGTTACCACTCAGGGGGCTCAAGAGACAAGAGCCAAAGGAACTGTCACTGGTCAAAGGAGAAGGAGCAGTGTATAGGGAACTGGCAAGCAGGTCCTGAGGAGGAGGAGCAGTGTTGAAGGAGTCGACACCACTCAGGAGGCACAAGGGTGCCAAACAAGCAGGATAGCAAGGAGGAGGAGCAGTGTCGAAGGAGTCAACACAGCTCAAGAGGCACAGGGGTGCCAAGCAAGCAGGAGAGGCCCCCTGAACAGTACTCGATGAAGAAGGTACTCTCTGGAGAGAGAGCAGGAGCAGCATCACTGGCGATGCTGTGAAGAGGTATATAACCATGCTTTCTCATCATCAAAGGTCGAGTGGATCCTCATCCACTCTACACAACCATCATAACTAGTTATCACTTCAGCATAAGTATATATTAGTTTCAGTCAGCATAGCAGCAATCTATCAAGGTTGCTCCTCATCGTAGTGTGTGTGTTGTATCACCACTACCTGACATCCAAAGGCACCCCATAGCAGGTTAGCAGTCCGGATATAGATAGAACTGAAGGCAGTAGTCCACTGCAGTCCAGGGATCACCTCAAGCATCAGTCAACACACTGGACACTCATGTTGACGCCACCAACCTTATCACCAAACACCATCAACCTCATTATCATCAACACCCACCAACCTTATCACCAATGTCATCAACCTCATCATCATCAACACTCACACCAGACCTTGGTGTCATCATAATCTATGCATTGATATTGATCGTGCTGAGCTACCCCTGAATGGAGTGTCCACAGAGGTCAGCCAAAACCTATGATAGTATATACCCAAACGCCACCCATCACGCAACTTGATAGTCACTGAGCAACTAGCTCATCGAGACTGATACCAAGACAATAGCTGTCACACAGTTTGATAGTCACCGAGTATCTCAACAGACCGACCTGGGTTTCATGCGCGAGACCCCTGACACCTCTCTCATCTGTAGGCAATAACCTTATTGCAGTCCAGATATCAACCACCATTATCAAGCAACAATCAGCACTTCAAACACTTGTGCTGTAATGGAAGGCTGTATCTTATAGCATTCCAAATCTAGTTCTACAAATGTGCCACATAGCCTCTGAACGGAGTGTTTGTTCAAAATAGTCAGTCAAAACCTATCAGAAATAAGCCTTCCAATCCCTTTCACTGAAACAGTTTGGAAAGAGCTTACTTGATTGATCTCACCAAGATCAATCAGGTTCAACCAACTCGGGTTTCAGGCACGCGACCGCTTACACTGTCCATTTCGATAACCATGGCCTCTTTCCACTTTGTCCAGTCGTCTTGGTGTTGTGCCTCTGACAGAGACAATGGCTCGAGTAAAATGCCATCTGCACTGTGAAGTTGTTGGCCACTGGCAGTTAGGGCAGCACCATTCATTACAGTGACTGTGAAAGCCATTCAACCAAGATGATTGTCCATGGCTTCTGTCATTGGCTTTGTAGCACAACCTGTAGCAAAGGCTGTATAGCTATGCAAAGCTAGTGGGTCCATTGTCTCACTATTTGGTGATTTTGGTCTTGACAGTGTGTAGTCCTTGTGGGAACCAAACTGAGGAGACTTGAGTTGAGAGGTGTTGTTGGAATCTCCTAGGTTTGTGCTGGTGCCCCCTTGGCCATTGCTTTGTCCAGTTGTCTGTGAAGTTTGATGCAAATGGCATCCATGTCAACAACAATCTTGCCAGCCTCTCAGATTTCTGACATGGTTTGGTCCCAATCTGGGTAGAATGTTGAACCGCTATTGCCGTTGTGTCAGAGGTCTCGTGCCTGAAACCTGATATCTGTAATAGAAACGCATCTATTATGAATCCTGTTGAGATATGCGACAATGCTTGAGGTATTATGATTGAGGTCTCGCGCCTGAAACCTGATATCTGTAATAGAACTGCATCTATTACAGGTCCTGTTGAGATATGTGGTAGAGTGCTGTGTATTATTATCCTTGTTGAGATATGTCATAGAAAAGATGCTATGACTTTTCCCACTCAAAGATGTAGTAGTGTGTTTGCTATTACAGGTTTCAACTGACTGCTGTGGACACTCTGTCCAGAGGTAGCTCAGTGTCAGAGGTCGCATGCCCAAAACCTGATATCTGTAATAGAAATGCATCTATTATGAATCCTGTTGAGATATGCAACAATGCTTGAGGTATTATGATTCTTGTCAAGATATGTAGTAGAGACATTTCTATTACTTTTCTTGCCCAAAGATGCAGTAATGATTATGCTATTGCAGGTTTCGACTAACCACTGTGGACACTCCATCCAGAGGTAGCTTGGCATGATCAATAATGTTGAATGTATTGCAAGACACCAAGGTCTGGTGTGATTGAGATAGTTGATGTCATCAACATGAGTGTCCAGTGTGTCAACTGAATGCTCGAAGTGATCCCCAGACTGCAGTGGACAACTGCCTTTGGTTCTATTGTTATCTGGACCACTGGTTTGCTATGAACTGCCTTTGGATGTCAGTGAGCAGTGATACAACACATGCACTATGATGGAAGCAATCTATTTGATTGCAACTTTGCTGACTGTAACTAATGTATACTTGAGTGAAGTGATAACTAGTTGTGTATGGTGTAGAGTGGATGGTGATCCACTCACTTGCTGTGGCAGGGGACATGGTTATATACCTTTTGTGTAGTGTCACCTGCAACACTGCTCCTGCTCCTCATCCCTCCTATCCTCCCCATCCACCTTGTGATGCCACTCATTGGCACTGCTTCCCTTGCCTCCTGTGGATGGATGGACCTCTTGCTGCCTCATCTCTGTTAGGGGCCAGTCCCACTTCATCTGAGTGGTGACTCACACCCCTTTCATCACCCTCCTGTTGTTGGCACCCACCTGTTGGCACTGACTTCATCATCGTGCTAGGCCCCTGCTTCATCCAGTGGTGTCCTCCCCCTTGTTCAGTGTCCTCCCCTCACCATATCAGTGATGGGGTGCCTCTCAGACCAATTCTTGTGAGGTCTGTTGTACTCAGTGTGATATTACGATTCCTGCTGAACTTTGTAGTAATGACCTCATTCCTGCTGATCCTGACAAGTTATGCTATAGGGTTGTTTCTACTACCAATCTCAGTGAACTCTTCCTTAAGCTCTCATTTAGCTTGAGCCTGCAATTTCTGTGCTCCTCTTCATATGACTTCAACTTCTTCCTGCTTCCTGCGCATCCGGCTCCTATGACAATGTTGTCCCCAGAGAGTTGGTTGTGGACATATGCTGCCTGTGATATAGCGTAGGGCCGCCATTGCTCACCGATGTTGGCATCGAACACCATGCATGGTGCGATCTTCTGACTGTTCTGAATAGCGCATTCTGCAAACGTGTTGTCAGTGTGCTGTTGTGTGGGCGATGCAGTAACCTGTCAGCGGTCGCATGCCTGAAACCCGAAATCTGTAGTAAAAAGCCAACTACTACTGATCCTAGCGAGATCTGTGGTAAAAGCCCTTTATTATTATTCTTACTGAAATCTGTCATAGAAGCCTTCTATGGCTTTTCTCACTCAAATATGTGGTAGCTTGAAAGTTATTGCAGGTTTTGACTAACTGCTGTGGACACTCTGTTCAGAGGTAGCTTGGCAAGTTCAATAACCAATAGATACTTTGTGATTACACCAAGGTCTGGTGTGAATATGCTTGTGCCAACATGAGTGTCCAGTGTGTTGACTGAATGATTGATGATCCCCAGACCACAGTGGACAACTGCCTTCAGTTTCTAATGATTGAGAGAGCCAGACTGCAGTATGAACTGCCTTCGGTGTTGATCTTTGACCACAGTTAATACTGCCTTTGGATGATGTCAATGAGCAGTGATATATCACATGCACTACAATAGAAGCAATGCTCTGCAATTGCAACTTGTTGATGGAATACTAAGTATACTTGTTGTAAAGTGATAGCTAGTAAGATATGGTGTAGAGTGGATGGAGATTCACTCAACTACTATGATGAGGAGCAAGTGTGCATTATATAGATGTCCTCGCTGTATCAGCAGTGACACAGCCTGTACCCTATGTGATTTCCTCCTACACTGCTCCTCCTCCTCTTGACGCTCCCTCCTAGCAGTCCTGCCTGCCTTTAGCACTGCTTCTCTCGCTTCTTGCAGATGGAGAGTCCTCTGGCTGCTTCATTACCCGATAGGGGCCTTTCCCACTTCATCTGGGTGGCAACTTGCACCCCCTTTTCATCTCACCCATCCTCCTGCTCTGCGATCATTGTTGAGTCGGCCCCCTGCTTTATCAGGGTGGTGAACTCAGTGCCTTTGACATCTGTCTTGTTGCAAGATCTGTGCAATCAGCATTCTCCACAAGATCTGTTGTACAATCATGATACCACAGATTCCAGTGGGTTTTGCTGTAAGCTCCTGCTCATACTGATTTGGATGAAATCTGTTGTAGAGCCCTTCTACTACAGATCTCAATGAACTCTGCTGTAACCCCTCGCTTTGCCTGCTCCTGCAATTCCTGCACTCCTCTTCATATGACTGCAGTTCTTCCTGCTTCCTGCTCATCCGGTCCCATGACATAACCTTGATGCCAGTTGATGAGCAAAGGTTGCAGAAAGACATTGTCCAAAGTTCTCCTTGATTGACTCGGACCTCCTTGATGCCTTGGGCTAGCACCACTTCACTTGCCTGGCATTAAGTAGCTTGACATACCTCAGACACCCATCATGATGCTTCTGTGGTTGCTTGAGCTTTGTTGGTCAGGCCCCAAACCCATATCATTCCTGAGTAGGCGTCATGTATGATCAGGATGTATGAACATCACAGGCGTCGAACAGTCTTACATACTGAAGGAGGGGTATCGACTTGCACCAGGAGGTTGACGGAGTGACCAATGTCTTCCAACGGGATGACCGGCCTTTCCGATAGAATGGCTGACGAAAAGTTCGCACAATGATAAGCCTTCGTCAGGTTCTCTGTCAGGTAGTCTCCATCAAAGTGATCGGTGCATCCAATGGGATGGCCAACAAGTCTTCTCATGTTGGTAAGCCTTTTGTCGGCCTCTCCGTTGGGCAGCCTCCTGTCATGGGGCCAGATGCGCAGGAAGCAAGAAGACCTGAATTCATATGAAGGAGAGCGCAGGAATTGCAGAATTGGGCTAAAACAAGAGTTGGCAGAGTCCACCGAGATCTGTAGTAGAAACAGATCTACAACAGATCCTGACCAATTTGGTACAACTGGGAGCTTACAGCAAAACCTGCCAGAATCTGTAGTATTGCAATCATATGACAGATCCCGCAAGGGGGTTGCTGATCTCACGAGTCTCATCACAAGACAGATGTCAACACCATGGATGGGTGGTAAAGACATCTGGGTCTGCCACCAATGAAGCAGGGGACCTGCCTGGGAATGAACCCCAAGTGGGTAGATGGGGGAATGAGGAGGGGTGCAAACTGTGCTCAGATGAGGTGGGAATGGCCCCCAACATTGATGAAACAATGTGAGGGCTGTCCATCCAGGGGCAGCAAGAGACATGGTGCTGATGAGCAGCATCACAGGATGGATAGGAGAGACAGGGAAGAGGAGGAGCAGTGTTGGAAGAGATGTGTCAGAGTGAAGGCAGTGTCATAGATGACATTGCGAGGATGGTATATAACCTCCCTCCTCATCATAGCTGTTGAGTGGATCCCCATCCACTCTACACCATACAAACTAGTTATCACTTCTACTCAAGTATATGTTAGTTTTCAGTCAACAAAGTAGCAATCACAAGTAGATTGCTCCCATTGTAGCACATGTGTTGTATCACTGCTCACTGACATCTGAAGGTGGTTCATAGCAAACCAGCAGTCTGGATAATGATAGAACCAAAGGCAGTTGTCCACTGCAGTCTGGGGATCACCTCAAGCACTCAGTCGACACACTGGACACTTGTGTCAGTGCCACCAACAATCTCATTCACACCAGACCTTGGTGTCAGTGTAAAGTTCATACAAGTTATTGATTGTGCCAAGCTACCTCTGGATGGAGTGTCCACAGCAGTTAGTCAAAACCTGCAATAGCAAGACCACTACTACATCTTTGGGCAAGAAAAGTGATAGAGACTTCTCTACTACATATCTTGACAAGAACAGTAATACATCAAGTGTTGTCACATATCTCGACAGGATTCGTAATAGATGTGTTTCTATTACAGATATCAGGTTTTGGGCGTGCGACCTCTGACACCTCCGTTGAGGTGATTGGCGCATCTGACGAGGCGGTCAACAAGTCTCTCCTTTGAAGGTAAGCTTTCGTCAAAACCTTTTGTCAAGGTGGCAAACTCCCTCAAGAGAAAATGGTCTCCTCTTTCAAAGGACTCTCATGCCCTGCCTCTCATGCTTTGACCTTTTCCTCCTATCTTTGTGTTGGCATCAAGATGTATATATAGTCCTTGAGTCAGTTAGTTTGCCCCCAATCATATCATCCATCTATTGTACTTACTCATCGACGTCGAGAACACAATACAACCTTGTCCTGCCACAAAGAGTCCACTATCACTTCAACACATACATATCGACTACAACCCCAAGGGACAAGCAGGGCATCTCACGCAGCGAGGCTAACTGCATCATGCCCAAAACTCAGCGCCTGTCTTTCATTCAGAGTCTCACATGAGACTGTCGGAATCGCATCAGTCTTCACACGTCTCTATCTCTGAAGCCCTTCTTGCTGAACCTTGGTTCTCTGCTTTGTTCAGCTCAATCACATTCGTTTGGCTCGTTTCAATTGAGATTGCTTTCATTCGATTGCTGGGTGCTACTATACAATGAGGAGAGAAACATGAATCTTATCAGAAGCCACTTGCTCGCTTTTTTTTCTTGGCAGGCTTGTCTGGCTTGGCAGGACGTGCACCGAAACGTCCCGCTTCAATCTGTGTCGACGCTCCAAATCGTGACTGCGTTGGCGTCCCTACCTGTGAAGATGGTGGTGAAACTGTCGGTGTCAACCTTGCCGCTGCCGGTTGAGATTGTGCAGGCGCCGCAGAAGTGCGCATGGTCGTCGGCGTGTTGCGTCCAGGTGTCTGATCCAAGTTCTGGGCTGGAGCGCGGATGGGCTGCGATTGAGACACAATATCGTTGTGTTGACGCTTTCTTCGCGAAATGAGTGTCGGCGGAGCAGAAGAGCAAGGGCCTCCAGCCTGGCTGCATCCGAATGAAGATGGAGGATAGGAAGACATAGTACCCTGCGAGTTCGTTTGAGAAGCGTATGCTCCCGACTGAGAGAACGATGGAGCGGCCGACTGCTTCCGGCTACGACTCCGACTGCGGCTCCTCGATCGGTCCTCTGTTGAAACGCTCGATGCTCGAGAGAAGGACCGGGAACGTGCGCGTGCCGTTGGTCCCACCATTCGACTTGCTCGCGGCAACCTGTGCAGCCCTTCGAAGGGGTCGAGGTAGGTGTAGTCGGCAGGATCTTCGCCCAGCTGCCACTCTGCCAGCAGCAGCCGCGCAGTCGATGAGGTGCTCGGCAACAGTGACTCGACTTCAGCTTCATTCAGACCTGGCTTGCTGCCTTCCGCATCAGTACCTGCAGCCGCTTCAATGTCTCCACCCCGGAGCGGAGCGAAAAAAGACAGTCCGACACTACCAATGTGTGGAGGGGGAATGGTGCCACCCTGCTCTTCGACAAAATTGTAGATGTCTCGATGCTCGGACGCTGTCCAGTTGGTGCCCTGTCGTCTCTGCGGACGCTGTGTCGGCGCGCCTTCATCCAAGATGCGGGCCTTGGGTCGTACAAAGATCTCAGTCTCGAGTGCCATATCCAGCATCATCTGACGTGAAGCTTTCCTCAGCGATGCCTGGGTCGTGCTACGCTCCATACCGGTCCAATCTTTGACTGCCGACTTTGTCGGTAGGTATGGAAGCGGATCGATTTTACTGTCGGACAAACTCAGAACGTTCTCGACAACGTCGTTGCTGTGAAGAGGCAGGTTGCTAAAATGGCCGTTGCCCGCTACCATTCCCATCGTGTGACAATCTGAAACCACGCTGGCCGCTCTGGACCAGAGTCGCTGCGAGGAAGAGCTTCCAAGGGAAGAAAGCGCATGTCGGATGTCACTACGGACATCGAGAATGGCTCTCGCTGTTTCATCCGTGGGTCCATTGCTGTCTGTGAGGTCTAAAGCTGTTGACCACGAACATTTCTTGCCTTGTCTTGCTGCCCGATCTTGATCGCCATCCTTCTGGTACCTGGAGATGTCTCTGATAAGCTCTCCAAGCGATATCGTCGCCGCATGTACGGCTGCGTTGCCTTTGATTGGCTCAATTAGTAGGCTATGTAGAAGCAGTCTGTTGTTCTTCGTGACCTTCGTTATGTCCGTCCGGCCGAGCTGAGATGCCGCATGATCCTCGGGAGAGAATAGAGAGCGATACAGCTTTCCATAGTTGACCAGCTTTGTCTTGACCCCACTGAGAGGATCCGCGCAATAGTGAAGCGAAGTAGTTTCATTCACTTCATCGATGTAGAGCAATGTGCCAGTTGATGGCTGCATGACTTCCAGCTCGAGACTGCGCACTTGGGATCGCGAGCTCCGAGATGGCGGATCCCGAACGTCCATCTCGAGTGTGTGCGCAAGTAGGGCGCCGCGATGCGTGACGTCAAGCCTGAGAAGTATATTTGGACCTTGCTTCTGACGCAGAAGCTCATCGAGAACGACGAATAGTGGGGGAGCCGCCGGTCTACGGAGCTCTTGGTCGGATAGGACGCTCGGGACGAGGACCGGTGCTGGATCCAAGACGTATCGAACACGAGAAGAAGTGCTAGTTTCGTCAGTGCTTCGGATTAGGTCTGTGCCAGATCCTTGATGAGGCTGCGGTGTGACAGTATAGCAGGACACCATGTCGTTTCGCCGTGACGACAGAAACCATCTCAAAGCTTGGTAGTCCTGGTCTTGCTGAGAGGCTGCTGGTGCTTGTTGCCTCACTGGAGGCAGCTGTGCGAGAAAGAGTGTCGGATCGTCTCCTCGGTGATGGGCGGTGGCAAACAATGGCTTCGAAGGCCTGTGCAAATCGAACCAATACAGGGTGTCCGAGGAGCACACTGCCAAGAGTGATTGGCCAGATTCAGTCTCGGCCGCTGCTACGGAAAAGAAGCGAGCCCTTCGGAACGAAGTTAGGCAGAAAGCAGAACGAAGGAGGATGGTGATCTGCTGCGTGGTGTCGGCTTGTGGAGCATCTGTGGTAGCCTCGAGCTGGATGTGCAGCAGAGCGTGTCGAGTTGAAAGGAAGAGGTTGTGTTCATCTGATCCAAAGATGATCTTGAAGGGTCCTTGCTTCGATAGGGTGGAAGTGTCTGTGGTCTGAGCGGGTTGGTCTGCAGCATCTTGCGCAACAGCGTCGGCATTTTCAGCCATAGCCTGCCGTAGAAGCTGAGCAGAAACTCTCCGAGTGACGAGCGACGAGGTTGGCGGCACTGGTCTTTCTGACACCGCAGCGGAAGGTCCTGACTCGCACTTCTGACTGTCCGCGTCGTCAGATGCATTTGCACCAATTGCAGTTGGATTGATAGCGGGCGAATTTGACGCTCTGCCTGTCTGTGTCGATGATCGATGATCTGCTGCGAGATGGTGTAAGTCAATGTTGCCGAGTCGATCGACTGATGCTGCTAGTGTCGGAAGGCTCTTGCTGAAGCAGATGTCGAGGTGCTGACACGAGCCGTTGATGCCGTACTCGACCTGGTGGACTGTCTCGAGAAACAGTCGAGGCGTTCCGTCTTGTCCATATTTGTGTTTGAGAGCCAAGAAGTTGGCGCCGCTGTGCCCTCGAACGGCTATGTGCTCCTTGTTTGGAGACAAGGCGATCTGTAGAATTGGCGTCTTGTACTTTCGCTCGACTTGATGTGCTGGTATGAAGCGTAACTTGCTGTTCTCGGTCACTTTCGCTTTATCTTCGGGATGCGTCGAGGGCGACCTTTGTCGATCTGACGCACTGGCCTCCTCGCTGTCACTGGGTACGGCTTCGAGCTGATGGAGGAGCAAGCAATCGCGGTTGCCTCCGCCTATACAGATGACTGCGTAGGTTCGCTTCTGTCCGAGGACAACTGGCCCCAGCACTGCGATCGCTTGGGCATCTGCGAGACCGAGGCTTCCGTCCAGCTCGTGTGCTGTGTCTTCGAGAGCCAGTGCATTGTCGTAGATGAGCTGCGACAGAATGTAGTCCGGGATATCGATGTCGGGATTGTATTGATGCAAGAAGCGTTGAGCTGAGACAATGCCGGCATCGATAGATGAGCCTGCTTCTGAGCTCTTAGCCACAAAGAGACTCAGACGGTCGGTAGAATGCGATACTGTGGCTGATGTGAGCCGTACCGACGATGAAGGGCCAGCTTGCGTCCGTACCTCCGAAAGAGTGATGTCTGGATGCTGTCTTGAGTGTTCAACTGGAAACGACCATTGCTGTGCTGCGACCAGAACTGCACTGGCATCGTCCGTGGAACGGCTGCCTTGGAGTCGCAAAAGGACGGGTCCCCTTGACCCTGACGGTATGAGGTCCATAGTGCCAGAGCTCAAAGCCCTTCAGCCTCGGACTGCTGAGAGTACCAACGGCTGGAGTTGCTTGTCGCGCATCCGACTGATGGTGGAGGTCGGGAGGTTGGCAGCATCGAACAAGGGTCCAAAAAAATAAATTGGCTTGCCTCCACAACTCTCGGAAATCGGAGCAAACTCGGTGATACAGTTCACCCGATCTTTGATCAGATCGGCTTTGCCCGATCTCTTTCGTATCCGCTTACGTCAACTTGTATCATCATTTTGGTCGTTTCCTTCAGCATTACAAAGTGGCGCCTTATACTTGAAACTTCAACTGTTGCATGCACGTGACTTTCAGAGGTCCGAGGTGCGGAACTCCGATGTTGGCCGCACGCAGGTCATTGTAAATTGCTGCGCCGTCTCCGCAAGTCTTTTTGCTTGAATACCATCATCATCTCTCTCTCTCTCTCTCTCTCGCATTGCTGTCTTTTGGTCATCCAACTGACCATTACCTCTCGACTTGGTTTACTGTTGCTAATGACGCATCTGCCAGTGTAAAGATCTGGCTCAGCAACGCTGCTGTCGCCTTTGAGGAGAAGAAGATCGACTTTCGGACACGCTCGGCGCACCTCGAAGGCTTCTTCCGCCTCCCTTACTACGATGACCTCACCCGCGAGCTCATTCTGAACGTTAGCTTACTTCCGAATGCCTTTGTCCATGATGTCTTGGATACCTCCCAAGACCCCGCCGTAGTCCGTAATCGAGTGAGCGCCGAGACGCTCTTCAGACGTCTCGATCAGCAAACGATGCATCTCGATGCGCCCGAACTCTTTCTCGAGACCTTTCTGCGCTGCGCCCATCAATCCGACCCCACTCACCACACCTCTTCCTTGGCCACGACTACACCTAGCCCTAGCACTTACTTCAATCAACCCTTCTAAGGTCCCAGTCTCTCGCTCCTCCAAGGTCACATCACCGTTCACAACAGCTTCTTTGCCACCTCGGCTGAACCCATTCACTCGAACGAAGACAAGGCAGAGGAGGATCCTGAGCCTAAGTTGCCCGTCCGCGATTGGGGAAAGTACTATAGCAAAGTGCTTCCCATTCTTCAGTCGTCCGGCTTTGGCAAGACCCGGATGTGTGTGCAACTGAGCACCGTCAGTCCTGGTATGCTCATTTGCCTTCGCCACAAGACCCGAGCTGGCGACAAACAACACCGAGAGTCCTTTCCGCCCCAAGACAGCCACGTCAGCGATGCGATGGAGGAGGACTCTATTGCATCATCCAGCGCGGACTTGGAATCTGAATCGAGGAGCCCAAACTCTGCCTTTGCCGCAACAGGCACAATGGATGAGACATCTGCACTGTGGCGATGGGCCGACCGCGCCTGGCTCAACTTCAAGCATATTGTTCGGTTGGAAGATCAGGTGAATGCGCAGAAAGTCTTGAACACAGAAGAGCTCGTCCAGCTCTGGTTCCGACAGGCTGCGGCACAAGACATCTCAAACCAACCTGGTTGGGACTTGCTCATCCCTGTCTACGAATCGAACACCAGCGAAGCGCCCGGCGATGCCGAGATGTTTGACAAGGCGAAGCTGTCGTACATTGCCATTCAGGTCAAGAATTGCATCAAGCGGCCGAGCAAGGCGGTGAGGAATGGTTGGCGATGGCCGAAGGGAAGCAAAAGGAATGCCTCGAGCTGTTCTTTGACCTCAAAGGGCATCACGATCAGCAGCAAGGTCACATGTACTCACAGCGACAGCACCCGCAACCAAAGACGGACACACCTCTAACGCAAGCAGACCAGCGAGCACGTCAGCTGCTGCGTCACCACCTCTACATCGCGGGGCAAGATGGCGGAACGTTTCCGCAGCTCAATTGGCTCCTCAGTCCGGCCAAGGAGCAGGTGGCATTGCTCTTTGACTGTACTGTCTCGGTTGAAACGGTTGAGTTTGACCAGATGCAGGCGAGATATGTGCGCGACCAGAAGAGTCAGAGCGAGCAAGATACATGGGACGAGGCACAGGTGCGGATCCATGGCGCCCTTGTCAGTATGCGACCGACAACAAAAGGGCTCAGGACTCGTAGAAAGCAACGCCTGGCATAGCAAGGCTGTACGCTTCGTCCTTCAGTCTCTGGCTGCCTCAGTGCCGCCTCGCTCGACCCCAACGTGATTGATTGAGCCTCCTTCCGAGCTGTTGTACCAAAGCGCTCTCATTGCCATCAACATGTTCGTTGTTGTCATCGGCTGCTGCGGCAGGTGGTGTTCGTGCCACCTGCCTCTTTCTCCCTTTGTTAAAGAATGTGCAGCAAAATGGCGGTGAACGCAGATGTCGATTGCAATAGACCATACACAACTAGGTACAGTACAGTACAATACAGGATGATGATCAATACATATCAACGGTGAGTTATCGCGCTTGACCACGCGTGACTGCTGAGAATTACGATCCAGTAAAATGCTAAAGGATGACATAGAGCCGATGTGATCAGGGATCGGGTGGAGCCGATGGAGTAAGAGAGAGAGAGAGAGAGAGAGGAGATCGGGCACTGCTTGGTCGCGCTGGTTGTCGCACGTTGTGATTAAAGAGGTACACTGCCACTTTTGGGTATGTGCCGCCGCTGTATATAGCTCAGAATGCAGCAGTGTTTGGGTATGAACATGGATGATGGCGTCATGGGAAGAGAAAGCAGATCTTTGAGGCTTGGTATCTGCTCGAGGTGAGAGGAAATAGCAAGTGCTGTTGATACAAATGAGACTTGCTGGTTGGGGCAAAGGTGAATTAGTCAGCATTACGGATTGTCGCTTTTTGGCTTGGTGTTCTGAAGCGTGCTTCGCGCCAAGTGGAGTTGTCGGAGCCTTGCGAGTTGTTGCAAATGCAAACCTGACTTGTTACGACGGAGACCATCAAACTAAACTCGTCCCGCTTTCTTTACAAGGAGCTAGTCGAGATGACACGCAAGAAGAGAAAGGCACCTCAGCTTGAGGCGTGGTGCTGGTACTGCGAGTAAGTAGATTTTGACGCTGGGCAGATGTTAAGGACATGGGGGGACAAGGTAGATACTGACCTCCTTTGGTTTCCTTTTGACTTTTCACCGCCGCTAAGTCGAGACTTTGAAGATGAGAAAGGTAGCTAGTATATAATAGCTTTCCAAGAGCATTGAAAGCAAGAGTATTGGAAGTCGGATACTGAAGCGATGGTCGTCTTTGCGTTACTACAGTCTTGTTACAACATCAAAAGTCAAAGCATTATCGATGTCCACAATGTCCTAGACGACTTAATACGGCAGGAGGACTTTCAGTGCATCTGACGCAAGTGCACAAAGCAGAGCCAGAGAGGTAAGTTGATATTTGCAAGGATATGAATTGCTCTACAAGTGTATTCTCACTGACCATTTGAATTTGTCTGACTCTGACAGGATCGAGAACACTTTAGTTGGCAGAGATTCGTTCGAGATCGAAATCTATGGCATGGCAGGCATTCCAGAAAAGGACTTGCAAGAGTGGAAGCAGAGACGAGCGGCGCAGAGGGCAGATGGAAATGTTCCAGTACAGAACAAGAGACCGAGGATAGAAAAGCTAGTTCTCTCCAAGGAGCAATTGCGCATTCAGTTGGAAGCGCACAAGGCTTTGATGAGCGGCAAAGCACCTGTGCCTGCACTCATGCCAGCCTTTCCTCCAGGAGGGCCATATTCGGTACCGCCGCCCTCATTATCTCGAGGATTTGGTATCGCACCACCCAACTTTGCAAGACCACCGCCGAAACAACCACCACCGGCTTACAACGCACCGCCGCCAGCAGCAGGACAGCAGGGAGCACCTCGCTACCCACAACCCATCGATTCGCAAGCTCAACCAAGAGATGGCGGCAGAGACCCTCACAAAGTCAGGGCAGCAGACTTGTTCTAAGAGAATTCACATGACCGGCTCAATGCAACAAGCACTTTGAGCGATTTTGGGAGAAGAGATCAAACCTCTGCGGCCCAGGCAGTCTTACGAGAGGCAAACTGAAAGGATGTAGACTAATTATAGTGATAGGATTATGTGGAATGGTTTCAATCTCTGAGTAGTCTGGCTTTATCTCTGAACGAGGAAGAGGCTGAGGAGGATGCTGCTTCTGCTATAGCGCTCCAGGATGCTGATTTTGACAAAGACTTTGAGGGACCGCGAGAGTAGGACAAGGTGCTCAAGATGACGAGTGCTACACCTGCGGCAAATGGGGCTGTGAAGGGGAAATTGAAAAAGGCGACACTGAAGCCAAAGCTGAGAACGATACTGAAGCTGACGGCAAAGCCCTTCAAGATGTTGTCGGCATGCTTAATGACCATGGCGACGGCTAGGCCACCAGTGACCTGAAGCACGACGGTAGCCCAAGCACTTGCGCCAAAGTGAAGGAAAGGTGCAGCGACACCACGACGAAGCATCTCGAGGAGAACGGGTAAGGCAGCTGGGAACAAGGACCAGGCAGAGAGCTGTACGTTCCTTGTCCAGAGATTGGCGGAAGAAGTCTTGAGGACCATCTCAAAGTAGACGCCGGCAAGACCTGATGTGAAACAAGCAGCAATGACAGCTAGGAAACCTTGGATCGGCTGCATAGGCTTGTCGGCTTTTGCGCTTTCCTCCATGCTCATAGAGATGCGTGAGCCGTCAAAGGAGGGCGAGGATGGAGGAAGATGGTCGTAGTCCTTGGTACCGGGGCCAGAGAGGAAGGAGCCGACGTTGGGAAGACGCTCTGGCGGTGGAGCTCGATGCGAGTCGAAGGGCGGCGGTGGTGGAGGAGGCGGCAGATCAGCAGCTGGACCGGCAGAGACGTGGCCATAGCCATGTGTGCGAACCTCGAAGGGGACGAGACCTGAGACGGATTTGCTCTGAATCTGAACGACAGCAACGCCAATTGCAAGCATGCCAAGCGAGAGCCACTGCCACATGCCAATCTTCTTGCGAAGCATAACGATACTGAAAAAGGCAGTGGTGAGAATCTTGATCTGATATGCGCAGATAAAGACGGGCGGCTCGAGATTGGAGACGGCGACATATTGGAGATTGTTCTGCAAGACGTAGAGAAAGGCGGGGATGGAGAGCTTCCAGTAGTCCTGTGCGGCGATCTCGTCCATGACAAGGTCGACTTTGGAGGGGTTGAGTGGCGATGATCTCTCCGAGACCTTTGACGAGCCGGCCGAGTGTGTGCGTGGTGCGAGCGAATCGTGCTCTGGATGCGAATGCTTGCGTTTGGTTGCTGAAGGGAGCGGAAGGGAATCAGAGGATGGACTGTCTATCGATATCGCTGCAATCAGGAAGGATATCAGGCACTTGAGAAGCTCTGTCAGAAGAACGGCCGTGGGAAAAAAGTAGGACTTTCCGAGAGGTGCTGACACACGACTATGGTGCATCACCACGCCCAGCGCCGTGTTCTGCACCGTGAGAACGGCAAGCGAGACCTGCTTCAGCGAGAGACCAAAGACTGTGGTGCTGGACATGGCGAAGCGACTCGGAATTGGCACGCAAGGGGCGGGGGTTAGGAGTTCGGAAGAAGCGAGAAGAAAGTTACGACATGTGTCCACAGTGCCGAGTGATTCAAGAGAAAAGAGAGAGAGAGAGAGAGAGAGAGAGAGAGAAAGAAAGAAAGAGAGGCTTAGCCGATAAGAGTCAGCTTTGTCGGCGCAATCCGATATGAAGGGTGGGAAAAGTGGGCGGTGCTGTTAGCTCAAGGCGTTTCTCGTGTGCGTGGGAACTTCTCTTCCAAGTTGATAGTCCTGTCGGCGATGATCCGAAGCTGTTCGCGTTCTGAAGGTGGTCAACCAGTGTCGGTAACGCCGACTTGGGAGATCAGAGCGCAGTGTGATGTGAAAAAGAAAGAAAAAGAGTGTGATGTGCAAGAATGTGATGTGCAAGATGCAAAGAGGGTTGGAATGGACAGGAGCTAGGTGTGACCGGCTGCTGTCTGGCTTGCAAGTGCCTCTCACAAAATTGGATTCTCGCGCACAAACCCTTTTTTTTTTTTTTTTTTTTTTTTTTTTTTTTTTTTTTTGTTTTTTTTTTGTTTTTTTTTTGTTTTTGTGGCGACCTTTCCTTTTTTTTCCCCCTTTCTGCGCTTCACCTCCACATTTTGTGCCGAGAGTGATTTCTTCATCTATGCCTCGCTCGACACCAGTCGCTCCTTTGCTCTGAGCCGACAAAGCTATTCTTCCGGCATGGCGTCTTCAGCGACTTCTCTTGAACGACAGCCCTTGCTGGGATCGTCTTGGGCAGCCAATGACTATCGGACCATCGCCGAATCGGCACCTCGAGCTGCTCAGAGGCAATCACGCTCGCCATACCTCAGCTTCTTTGTGCGCTTTTATTTTGGCCTCGGTCTCGTCCTTTTGCTTCTGGTCACCATCTTGACCATCCTCCTCGCGATCAACTACTTTGAACCCATCCCTCTGCTGCTCCCACCTCACCGCTCGCCTGCCCTTTTGCCACTATGGTTCTGCTTCCTCTCTTTCGCCATGCTTGCTCCTGGTCTGCTCTTTTTTGAGCTCGCTTCTCACTCCACCAACTTCTTCCACCTCTTTGTGCTCTGCTGCACTATCGCAGATGCCATCCTCCTCCTTGCCCTGCCCGAGTTCCGCATGTCCCATTCCTACCTTGGTTTGGCTTCCGCTGGTCTATGCCTGCTTTCCACGCTTTGGGCCTTCTTGTCTTCTTTCCATCTGCAGAAGAAAACAATCCCGTTCACTCTCAATCCAGATCTTGGCGCTCCCATCGTCGCCGAGATCCCGCTTTGGCGTGTACAGGCTAAGTGGAGCAGGCGCTTCAAGCTGGTGTGCGCCCTCTTTGGCTCCCTTGCCACCGCTCTTACTGCTGCCCTTGTTACATTCGACCTCGTCCTCGATGCCGCCGACTCTGCCTTCAAGCCCCTGGCCAACCTCACCCTTGTACATCCTACCTCTCTCACAAAACATCCCGTCTATCCACAAGACCCGGCCGACGTCAACCCATATCCTGTCTCCTTCCGCCTTCACCTTGCCTGCGAATCCGCTCCTACCGCCCATCAGCTGGACGGCCCCAAGTCTCGCAACTCGACCCGAGTCACTCCCACTGCTCTCGTAATGGCAGAGCGTGGCGTATCTGGCGTCATGGCAGCACAATTCCTCCGTGAGATGGTTGCTCGATCCGGTTCGCCTTCAGGCCTCAAAGCTCCTGGCGAGGACGGCCACCTGGCTCTCACACGCGTCTGCTTCTGGGACCGCATCGGTTATGGCCATTCCGACTTTGTCTATCAGCCCGTCTCAGTCCGCTTACAGACCGAAGCGCTCTATCACGCTCTTCAGAAGCACGACCAGCTCGACCTTAGCAGCAGCTCAAAGAAGGACAACAAGGACAAGAAAGATGGGCACATGCTCGGCAAATTCATGCTCGTATCTACCGGCTATGGTCATCTCTTTGCTCAAGATTTTGCCATCCAACATCCACAACTCGTCCACTCCTTCCTTCACATTGATGCAGAGACTCCCGACTCGTGGTATACGGACAAAGTTGGCCTCGACTCTGGAGCACGTGCTGGCTTTGCCTCGCGTTACCATGGCACCTTTGGCTCGCTCTTCTACGACTTGCTTCCTGCTCTTGCAGAGCCGATCGGCATTACGCGCATCATCGGTTTGCTAAAGGGTAAATCGGTCGTAGACCGTATTCTTGCCCCAGGACAACGTGCCCGTGCTGCAGGCCAGCATGACTTGGCTGGTGGAGGATGGCGCATTTGGGCCGCTGGCGGCGGCAACCCCAGACTTCTCATGTCTTCCTGGTTGGAGCGCCTTGATGCCAACCTCGGCAGGGCGAGCGCCAACTATGTTAGACTTAACAAGACCAGCTCTCACTACCGTTTGCTCCTCTCTGAGCGACCGGTTGCAGTTCTCTCAAGCTTCTGGAGGATGCATGCGGATGTCGAAGGATGGGGCGAGGAGCAGAGAGAGTCGCTTGTTGCTCCAGCCAAGAAGAGCTCCAGCTTGGTAGGCTGGTGGCGCCTCGGCGATCGCGAAAAGAGGACAGGAGGTGGTGACCAAGGCGGAGCTGCCGGTATCTGCTCCACCAAAATGGGGCTTATCTTCTGCGAAGAAGCTGTTCGCAAACTGATTGCCGCTGGTCAATTCTGGAATTCCACCGCTGCTTCTCCATTGCAGTGATGGTGCCATCGAATCCTTTGTCTCCTAGCCCATCTCGCCTTCGAAACATTGATCAGGCAATGCATATCAGCATTGTAAACTTGGCGCTGACTTGAGGAGTGTATCGATCGAGGACAGCAGGTATGTGAATCGTACACCAACACACACACAAAAAAAAAAAAAAAAAAAAAGGGGAAGGATGCCGCAAGCCCACGGCTAGGGGGGAACATCATATTGACAGAGACAGCAGACGAAAGGACTCTTAAAAGAAAAAGAAAAGAAAAAGAAAAAGAAAAAGAAAAAGAAGAAAAACTAGCGGTACAATACTGTACAGAGATCAAGCGAGCAAAGGTATGAACTCAAACTGGCTGTGCGCGCTTGTGGAAGGGGGGATCATCTAGAAGCTGGCGTCTTTTCCTCTTTTTTTTTTTTCTCTTTTTTTTTTTCTTTTTTTTTTTCTTCTTTTTTTCTTCTTTTTTTTTTTTTTTAAGCGAGATGACGGAAGGGTATGCAGAAGACAAGCGGAGGCTTGGAATTGCAAGCCCGCGACGCCGGTGCGGGAAGATGTGCTGCAGGAAAACAGCGTGAAGGTCTACAAGCTGATATGCAAGCCAGGTCCTTCTTTTGGTTGACAGAAAGAGAGAGAGAGAGAGAGAGAGAGAAAGAGAGGGGGATGGGAACACTTGCGAGTAACGTCGAGCCCATGTGCTCGATCCGCGTGTGTCGTGACGGACGGACGCTTATGCGTCGAGCTTGATCTCCTCGACCTTTTCAGCCACCTTGTCTACCTCAGCATCAGTCGACTTGTTCTCCTCGCCCTCCTCAGATACGTCCGGGGCCTGCTCATCGCCAACGAGAGCGCCAGACGGTTTGCGTCCCTGGCCCCATGCGCCAGTGGGTGGCACAGCACGGGGTGCCTTGGCAGCTGCAGGCGCAGCGTTCTCTGTAGCTGGGGAAGCATCGGTGGCCACATTGTCAGCTTGAGGCTTGTCAGTGGTGGCAGCAGCAGCAGGAGCCTCAGTCTTATCCTTCTTGTCCTTTTCAGCCTTGGCCTTGTCCTTCTTTGCCTTGAGTTCCTCTTGTCTCTCCTTCTCCCTCTGTGCAAGCTTCTCTTCAATCTGTCGCTCACGCTCAGCTGCGTTGACAGGCTTTGCGTTGCCGAAAGGGCTGGGCTTGGAAGAGCCAGTGTTGTCGGCAGCAGCGGCAGCGGTGGTGGGCTCAGCGGATCGTGGCTTCAAGTCAAGCTTCTTGCGCTCAGCAGGAGCGGCAGCGGAAGGAGCTGGGCTGGAGGAGCCCGAAGTCGGTTTCTTGGCAGATCGCCAGTTGTCAGTAGCATCCGAGGCGGGAGCAGCACCGGCGTTCTGGCCACTGCCACGTCGCTCAGCAGCACCAAAGCCGAAGCCCTTCTTTGCGTTGCCGGGGCTCTCGGGGGTAGTCTGGTCAGGAGCCAACTTGGAGCCAAAGCCCATTCGCTCTTGCGAAGTGAAGCGGTCGTCGACTTCGTTGGCCTCGTTGCGTTGACGGTAGGAGGGTCGTCGCGAGTCAGAGTCGGCCATACCGGATGGACGACGCGAGTTGGCAGGGGAGCGGCCCTCGACCGGCTTGCCAGTCCTCCACTGAGTGGCAAGGTCACCCTGGCTGGGTTCAAGAGACGCAGCATCGCGAGGAGGACGATTGGAAGGAGGAGCAGACTGGAACTTGGCACCGAAACCGCTTCGGACGCCGCCAGCGACATCCATGTTGTCGAAGCCAGAGCCTTCGGTGCGGGGCACGCCGGAGCGCTCAGGACGAGGAGCAAAGCCGCCACGAGGCTCTGCAGGAGGGAGAGGGCCGGCACGACGCCACTGGGAAGCGTCATCAGCCTGACTGTTGTGCATGGGGCGGTCACCACCAAAAGCGCTCTTAGGAGGCTCGGCAACGCTAATGCGAACGGTCCTGCTGGCGAGCTGGCCACCGCTTCGGTCGAGGGCGGTCTTCAAGTCGTCCTGAGTCTGAAATTCAACGTAGCCAAAGCCTTTGGGCTTGCCATCGGGGCCGGTGACGATACGGACGCTGACAATCTTGGCGGGGACGAAGAACTCTTGGACATCGGCCTCCATTACGTCGAAGGAGAGGTTGCCGACGAAGGCGGTGAAGGGAGGCTTGTCTGGAAGAGGGAGCTCCTCACGAGGAGGGTAGCTGCGATCGGAGCGCTCCAAGCCACGGTCACGGTCAACACGGTCTGGAACGCCGGAGAGAAAGTCGCCTCCGCGGCGGTAGCTGGACTCGCGAGGAGCAGAGGAGATGGGAAGGTCGTCCATCTCGTCGGCCCACGAAGTCTTGCCGGTAGATTCGTCGGCCAAGAAGTCATTGAGCGCCATCTTCTGTCCCTTCTTAGGAGCTGTGTGTTGGCGGTTGGAAGAAAGCATGTATGAGCAGAAGAAAGTCAGCTGGCAGCTCATGACCACGTCTGCAGCGCCTAGTACCTGACTGATACTTACGCATGATGGGGCGAGATTTGCGGTCAAACGTAGACAGCGACGGGGAGGCTGAGTGTATCTAAAGGGAACCTGGCAAGTCAAGCAGGATCAAAGAGGCTACCTTGAAGCGAACAGGTAGCAAAAGAAGGCGTTAAGTTAAGGAAAGATGGTAGAGATGAGGATGATGTGTCGTAGATCCTGTGCACTGTCTTGCGAGTCGATGGGAAATAAGATCGATTGATTCGGATCCCGGCCGTTACCAAGACGAAGCCAAAAAAAAAAAAAAAAAAAAAAAAAAAAAAAAGCGAATTTGCGTTAACTGGCAAGAACAGAAAAGGTGCGCAGGAAGAAAGAAGGCCACACACACGCCCGAGAGGATCTGCAAAAAGAGCGATCGGAGTGCCGATCTTGCCGATCTTGCCGATTTCAGTTTTGGAGAAATGTTCTGTTGACTCTGTAGCCCTAACAAAGTATGTAGCGGTGTCCGCTTCCACGTCGCAACACGTCTGAGCTTGATTTTTTGGGATTGAGCAAGGGTTGCGCTCTTCTGCTCACCACCACTTGGCTACCACCACCACTATTCAGAGGCACCTCACAGGCACGAATCGCAAGATGGAGACAACAGACAAGAACAAGGCCAAGGGCGACCGCATCGTCGTCGACAGTTCAAATCTCTCCGAGCTCAAGGCTACCTGCGATGAAGCTGTGGAACGAGTAAGTTGCCAAGCGCCTCAAGTGACTATACGAGGGCCCCGAGGTATTGACATTCCTCTCCCTCTCTTTACTCTGCACAGATCCTATCGCGGCAGCCAGATGATGAGTCCGTGGCAAAAGCTCAAGCGTTTGCGCCCTTCAAGGTGAGCCACTTGCACGATGACTTGCGTCTCCTGCTCGGCTTCACAGCATCCGCTATCATGATCGGCACCTCGACCTGGGCATATTTTGTCGAGAAGGAGTGGAATCGTAACAAGCAAACATGCGGGATCGCTGTCGTCATTTACATCATTCTATCTGCGATCCAGGCGGCTAACTCGTACCTGCAAGGCAACACCATCTTCACCGGCACTCGCAAGATGCTTTCCAACCGCATTGAAACCGAGCAGCTCCTCATTTCCTCGCCTCCCCTTCCAAAAGCAATCAAGAAGAATGCCAAAGCTCCCAGCGGCAAGCCCATTTTGACTCCTCCAGCATACACATTGCACTTTCACTACACCCGAAAGAGCAACAAGGGCAAGTCGCTTCTCAGCAAAAAGAGCGGCTCGCTTCCACTTGGTCATCTTGGTAAGCACAAGTGATTCCTTCTTTCCGCAGCAACGCCAGAAACCTATACTCACTCGCTCACTAACGCCATGCCCCACATTTGAATCATCGATATTCGCTTTCACAGGCGAATGGTTCACTGAACATGGAGAGTTTGCACAAGACATCTTCCAGCAGAGATTGCTGTCAGGCCTCCAAAAGGCTTTCGGTCAATAGACAGGCGCGAGCATCCTCGACAGCTTTCCTGCTTCCGCACCTTGTTACTCTTGCCCTTCCAGCACTTGATTGCTCGATCCTCGATACCCGCACTTTCACTCAATTCTAGCAGCTGTTCATAAACTATCCTGAGAGATCCCTCCCAAGCTTGTTGATGCTGTCGCCTTTCACCTTGATACTTTAGTCCATGGAGTGCAACATCGCTTCTCGTCTCCTTCATCATCATCTAGCTTGACAACGAGCGGGTTACTGTCTTGTACCCGATCTCTCGACAGATCGGTTCCGCCCGATCCCCGATTGGGATTAGGATTAGGATTATGTCAGCATATATCATCATATTGGATAATTTGGTCTCAGCCAGGCACGGACCAGCTTGCTTTTCACTTTTCCGCATTGTCCAATCGTTGTTACTGACCACCACCATCTGGCTCAGCTCTCCATTGTCGATATCATCCGACGAGAGCAGTCCATTGTCGATATCATCCAACGAGAGCAGTCAATTAGGTCGCTGCCTCTCCTTCGACTAGCTCATATCGAATAGTCACCATGGCAACCCCCAACGTGCCGAGAGGACAAGCTCTTCGTTTCCAGAAAAAAGGTGATCCTGCCTTTGCCAAGGCCACCGCAGCCAAAGATGCCGCCGCCGCCGACGCCCTTCTCTCTCGGCGAAATGCTCTCTTCCAAGACTATGCTAGAGCGCATCAGAAGCCTGCTTGGTCGCCCTCCATTTCGGCCGCTTTCCGCTTCCTCATCATCATTCGTGTCTCCTCAGCAATGTACTCGGTCATCAAGGACTGCGACGAGACCTTCGGGTACTGGGAGCCATTGCACCTTCTCGTCTTTCCTCGCCGCAAGCAGCACGCTTCTGTCCCATTTCAGTCCTGGGAATACTCGCCCCAGTTCGCCATTCGATCATGGGCTTTTATCGCTCAGTTCCTCCCTCTCACCAAGCTCCTTGCCTACTTCGGTGTAGGCAAGCGTCAGATTTTCTTCGCCGTCCGTCTGTTGCTGGCCTTCATCTCCTCCTTCGTCGATGCAAGATTCTATAAGGCTGTTGCTGATGTTTTCAGCGCCAGAGTTGGACGATACTGCCTCATGGCTCTTGCTGCAAGTGCCGGTATCTATGAGGCTTCTACTGCCTTGCTCCCTTCCACCTTTGTCATGCACGCCACTACTCTCGCCTTCTCTTCCTACCTGTACCCAGCAAGACTCCCTTCCTCCGACCCCTCGGTGCTCTCCAACCCATCTCAGCGACCGTTCAGGGCCGAGCGTCTTCTCATAACTACTCTTTCTTTCGCAGCTGGTGCTGTTCTCGGCTGGCCATTTGCCATCATCCTCGCTGCTCCCTATCTTCTTGAACAGCTCTTCTTCCGTGGAGACGACATCATCGCCAACAACAAGTACTCCAACTGGATTCTGGCCAGATGGTCCACGGCTATCGGTGCTGCCGTCCTCTCGGCATTCCTTGTCCTGCCCGTTCTTGCTGTCGACACTCTTGCCTACGGCAAGCTCTCCTTCGTACCCCTCAACACCGTTCTCTATAATCTCTTCTCACGCAGCAGAGGCGCTGGCCCCGAGCTGTACGGAACTGAGCCATGGACTTTCTACTTTTCCAACTTGCTCCTTAACTTCAATGTCTTGTTCCCTCTGGCACTCTTGTCTTTGCCTCTGCTTTTTGTCACTGCTCGCTTTGACCCAAGGCGCTTCCAGCGACCCGCTCTCGAGGCATCAGCCAAGAAGGGACATGTTTCAGTCGAGCAGCCTTCGAGCCTCTTCACGCTTGCCCTCTTCCGCATCGCACCCTTCTACCTCTGGTTCGTCGTCCTCAGCCTTCAGGCACATAAGGAGGAGCGCTTCATGTATCCTGCATACACCCTTCTTTGCATGAATGCTGCGGTCTCGCTCTACCTCATCCGTACACTCGCCGAGGTCACTTTTGTCAAGGTCACCAAGTCGCCCTACCGCGCATCCAAGTCGAGTCTCTTCACCACCATCACCTCCTCGGTGCTCGCTCTCAGTGTCGTCCTTGGCGTTCTGCGATGCGTAGGTCAGCTCAATAACTACCATGCACCCTTTGACGTACTCTTCCATTTCGAAGGCTATGAGCTTCCGCGTGTGGTGGCGGATCTTTTCCCTGAGACTCTCAGTCCTGTCATCCAGCAACGCATCGCTCGCGGTCTCTCGCCTGTCGCCACTGAACAGGAGAAGGACTACAATGACCGCGGTCTGGGCGAGGAAAACAAAGGAAACAGTGTCGACCTCACCATCAGCCTCGAGCCCCTCAAAAGCCTCGAAAAACCTATCCGACTTTGCTACGGAAAAGAATGGCATCGTTTCCCTACCCACTTCCTTGTCCCAGCCGATGTTGAGGTAGAATGGATCAAGAGCCAGTTCACCGGTATCCTTCCTAAGCATTTCGATGTGGATGCATCCTCGACTATCCAAGAACCCGACCTTGTCACTCGTACTCTCGATGCAACACCCGCTTGGGCTTGGCCTTGGTCTTCTGTCACTCGTCGCGTACAAAGTGGCTTCAACGATCTTAACAAGGAGGAGTTTGATCGTTACGTACATGTCTCTTCCTGCGACTATCTAGTTGACCTTGATTTGCCTCACCGCAGTCTTGCTAGTGGCTTCAAGGAATCCATTAACGAACCTCGTTACGCCACAAAGTCCCATCACTGGGACCGAGTCTTCTGCGGTGCTTTCCTGGACGCCGAGTTCAGTCGTCCTGTTGCTGATCCTCGTGACTCGCTCTTCACGAAAGCCGTGCAGAAGGTCGTAGCGGCTCTCCACCGCGCTTTCTGGTTGCCAAAATCCTGGCCAGGAAACGCCAACGTTTATGGAGACTACTGCATCCTCCGTAATCGAGACAGCACATTCCAACCTGCTGCTATCAAGACACAGACGCCTCGAGCATGATACAAGTCAATGCAAATACAAGCAGCAAGAAAGTACACAACATCATCAGCATTGATAGATTCGACGCTTCTCAGAGTTGCTCTTCATACGCTTCACACGATGAGTGAGATGAGTGAGATGAGTGAGATGAGTGAGAGTATGTTTTGTTTGCATTGCATGCTAACTGATGAGTTATAAGTTCATGTTAAAGCATCTTCCTTAGTCGTTCATCGGGATCGTGTTGGAATGCCAATCTGACTTCGTCCTCCTGACAGGCGAGCATGAGTCTTGCAAATCCACCTACTCTTCCTGTTCCTGCTCCTTGTCCTACACAGATGACAAGTCCAAGTGATGACAGAGTTGCAAGGGGATGATTGAGTGAGAATTCTTCTACGCTAGAGTTGGTAGAGAAAGTTAGAGTTGAAGTGGGAATGGCGTACATTCGACAGATAGCCTTGTGATGATTACTGACGTCTTGTAATTCAGCTTCTGCTAGTCCTGATCTTCGGAGGCAAGAGAGTAGACTGAGGAGTAGGATTTTGGCGTGCAGAGCGAGGGAGAGCATGTGACTCACTTTTCCTGACTTGACCATGCAATCCAGTACTGACTTCATGTCCAAAATCGTCACCATTTTCGGCATGACAGCGGGAGAAGACTTGGCTTTAGCTTCGACAAGCTCGATGGATCTTCGGCAGACGTCAAGCATGCGGCGGGCATCACCAGAGACGTTTGAAACACGCTTAGAGACGTACGTAATGGCGTCCAAGCTAAGCACGTCTTTACAAGCGAAGCTGATTGGAGCTTGATCCTTGTTCTCCTGCTGATGGGACAAGCCTAACCTTGATTTGACGATCTCGACCAGCTGTCTGTCAGTATAGGGCATGAAAGAGATTCTAGTCATACCCAATCGACTCGCCACTTTAGCATTCAACGTTCTCTCGGGCAAATCCATCGTGTTTGCAACTGCAATGACAACCAATCTACTACCTCTAGTATTGGGCCAGTTGAACATGTTGTACATAACATCTTGTCGTGCTGTGACGAGCTGATCTAATTCGTCCATTAGCACGACCGTTGCTGCTCGACCAGGACCGGCTCCAACACCTGCTCCTCCGGCGGCACCTGACATCTTTGCACCAACACGTGCAAAGTGTGACGATAACAGACCCAGTGCCGTTTTGGGAGAAGTACGCTGTCCACCAGAAATTGCGGACCAGAGCAAGGTGTACGCTTGAGAAGCATCGGCAAGCTTCATGCCGTTGATTTCGACGAATGAGAATGGGTTCATCTCGTTTCGCTCCGCTCTAGCTGTCAATTCGCGGATGACCTCGCGAACGGTGGCAGTCTTGCCTGTGCCTGGAACACCAGAGACGTAGACGCAGCCTCCAATTCCTTCCTCGACAGCATCTTCAACACAAGCCATGATCTCTTCGTACTGCTCTTCACGGCATGGAAGGTGATCAGGCGTGGCACCCACGTGAAGCAGGCGTTTGGCCCGCTCGTGCGGGCTGAGCGTTTGGGCTTCTTCGTTCGGTAAGAGCGAGAGCTTTGGCGGTCGTGCAGGAAGCGTTGGATGCGGTAGAGAGCGTGCTTTGAGTCCCATCAGGCGGGCTTTGCTTCGAGGCGTTGCTTGCGCTTTTGCTGGACTTGCTAGGCCGTACAGCGCCTTCTGCGGGGTCGTAAGAACTCGCCGTTTCGTTGGTGTCATCGGTACATCTTTCGGCAGCTTGGCTCGCTTGCGAGGGGTAAGGTTGAACGTCTTACCACAGTCATCATCGTCTTCATTGTCCTCCTCATCGTCAGAAGGAGGTGCGCTGAACTGGGAGCCTTCGTTGTCGGATGACTCAGGTGTGTCGAGGTGCCTAGCTTTGACAAGCAGGTTGTCTTCCACTTCAAACTCGTCGCCACTCTGGAAGGAATCGTCAGAGGCAAGGTCCGAGTCAGAGTCGAAGCCGTTGGCTCTCTTGCGATTGTACTTGCGCTTGGGCGCTTCGATTCCGGCTGAGAGCGAATCTTCTTTGCGTGGTCTTCCGGGTCGTCGCTTAGGCTGGTCGAGATCGACTGATGGGGAAGCAGCCGATCGAGCACGAGACGACCTGGGAGCGACATCAGAAGCAGATGCTGAAGTGGACGGTGTTGATGCTCGTAATCCTGCCGCCGCCGATGGAAGAGGTGTAGCAGTGCCAAACTTGACGTCTCGTTGTACTTGCTCGACTAGATCCTTGACACCCTGGCCTTGCGAAGTGGCCACGTCGGACGAGTCATCCTTCAAGTCCCAGCCTGCACCTTGCTTTCCCTTGTCGACAAGCTTGGCCCAATCGATCCTCCAGAACAGCTCTCTGTTGGGGTCCACCGCCCGCTCGCAGAACAAGTGGGTTGGGAATGACTTGTTCTTGTATAATGTGTGCGTCTTTGCCGTCTTCTTCTTCGCCGCCGCAAGCTCAATCGAGTTGTCTGCGTTGTTTGTTGCAATAGTCGAAAGCGCCGCCGAAGACTGCTTGATCGCCTTTGCGCATTCTGCCTGACTGGAGTGGATATGAATCTTGGCAATGATCTCGTCGACATCGAATGAGTAGTCATGAAGCGAAGGGCCGGCTTGGAAAGTGTCTCCCTCCTTGCCTGATCTCGCACTTGTCCTTGTGCGACGCTTGGAGAGGGAAGTAGCCTTGTGAGTGTAGTAGATCTCGTGACGACTGGTGATGCCGGACATACGCTTTTTGGCCATCGTCGACATCCATTCTGGCCAGTGAAGTAGTCGACAGACACCAAAGATCTTGCCTTGCTCCAAAGCGTCTGTCCAGAGATGGGTGAGTACACCGGCTAGAGGGGCTTGATAAGAAGAGGGAAGATAGACAACATCTCCGATTCGAAACTCTTCCGCCTCGAGAGTATGTTTGGATGACGAAGCCGAGGCATTTCGGGAGCGAGGATCGCGGTCCCCTCGACCTTGGCCCTCATCTTCGGAGGACTGCTCTTCACCTTCTGAATCAGGAACAGAGTCGAAGGGTCGTGGGAGACGAGTGAAAGCTCGAAAGTGGCTAGTCGATGAGTCAGCTTCCGGAGCTGTGAGCGGCTCCAGTGGCTCGAAAGAGTATGTTGTGGGTGCGACAGCGGACAGCATCATGTTCTTGCTGCCTGCAGTGATGGATGAGATGATGGTTTGCAGGCAAAAGGAGAGCTGCCTGCCATCGTGGCAGTTCTGTGTGAGTGTCTGTGTGTTTTTCCATTCGAAACGAGCCGAGTTCCGCGAAGGCGCGTGGCGTAAATTACTATCCAAGCCTGTCTCACACGGCCGTAAGATGAAGTTGAAGATGCGTTGGCATCCTAAACTGAATCACGTGGTCCGCAGAGCACAAGCGAGTCACTGATGAGTCAGAGCTGCATGTCAACATGCATCAATATGCATATGGGACATATAAGTACTTCAACCATAACACTCAGGAGATGGCAATGCTCAGGAGGTGACAACACAGGGGTGATATGAAGAATAGTTCATTATGATCTAGTATGGGCTAAGGGTAACAATCAAGTATATATATGTTTGCATTGTAGCACCCATCAATTAAAAGATAACAACTGTTATACACCTGATTAGTTGAGATTGCTAGTAGCTCCTAACAGTTGCATTTTACCAGTAATCTTCAACTGATTAAGAGTCTGATGCTCTACTGACTGAGCTAGCTGAGACCATTGATAACATGGTACAAGAAACCAAAGCTCAAGCCATAGCAAGCAAGGCCAAAGGAGGAAGAAAGGGCAAGGCAACACAACCACATGTTGCTGATAATGAGGCCACCAACAAGTCAGACACCAAGGCAATCGATGACAATGCTGATGAAGAAACTGACTCTGACTTGGACCATGACAATGATGGCAAGCAATACAACTTTCATACCCTAGCAAAGCTACTTGAGCCAGTTCCAAAACTCACATCACACAACTATTATAGTTGGAGCACCCATATCAAGTCCTTCCTATGATGTGTCCCCCATGCTATGAAGCATCTCGATGGAGCATATTGTCATGGGCCTGGATGCTCAAGAAGCAGGAGGGTCATGGGTTCATATGGAAGGAGCACAGGTATCGAAGATCTAGTCGAGATCAGTAGAGAGCATAGTGCAGTCTCCATGGAGACCATGGACTCCTATGGACTCACATGCAAAGGAGGGCCAAGCACAGCCACGAGGAGGACCAAGCTCAAGGAGCAGGCACAGCCACGAAGAGGACCAAGCTCAAGGAGCATGCAGATGGTTACCACTCAGGGGCTCGAGAGACAAGAGCCAAAGGAACTGTCACTGATCAAAGGAGGAGGAGCAGTGTCGAAGGAGTCGACACCAGGTCATGAGGAGGAGGAGCAGTGTCGAAGGGTTGACATCAGGTCATGAGGAGGAGGAGCAGTGTCGAAGGAGTCGACACAGCTCAAGAGGCACAGGGGTGCCAAGCAGGAGAGGCCCCTGAGCAGTACTCAATGAAGAAGGTACTCTCTGGAGAGAGAGCAGGAGCAGCATCGCTGGCGATGCTGAGAAGAGGTATATAACCATGCTTTCTCATCATCAATAGGTCGAGTGGATCCTCATCCACTCTACTCACCATAACTAGTTATCACTTCAGCATAAGTATATATTAGTTTCAGTCAGCATAGCAGCAATCCATCAAAGGTTGCTCCTCATCGTAGTGTGTGTGTTGTATCACCACTACCTGATGTCCGAAGGCGCCCATAGCAGGTTAGCAGTCCGGATATAGATAGAACCGAAGGCAGTAGTCCACTGCGGTCCGGGGATCATTTCAAGCATCAAGTCAACACATTGGACACTCGTGTTGATGCCACCAACCTTATCACCAACACCATCAACCTCATTATCATCGACATCACCAATCTCACCACCCACGCCATCGACCTCATCATCATCAACACTCACACCAGACCTTGGTGTCATCATAACATTGATATTGATCGTGCCGAACTACCCCTGAATGGAGTGTCCACAGAGGTCAGCCGAAACCTACGATAGTATATACAACGAACACCACCTGCTGTCACTGCACAACTTGATAGTCACCGATACCGAGACAATAGCTGTCGCACAGTTTGATAGTCACCGAGTATCTCGACAGACCGACCTGGGTTTCAGGCGCGAGACCCCTGACACATATGACAAGAAACATCCCAAGTGGAACTGCACATTTGATGATGCCTTAACAAATGCACTATGCAGTACCATCAACACCACTGGAGAGTTCAACATAAATTACTTGATTCTTGACATCATCAGGGAACATCATACATTCCATAATGTATGGAAGAAGATTGAAAATGGACTCACCAATGAGGCCACCGCCATATCTCATTGTATTGCATTGATTGCTCAGCTAGGAGAACTCAGGATGTACAACTCAGATGTATGAAAGCTCATCCATGAAATAAGAACCATCCAAATGGAGAGTAGCTTACTGGGAAAGCCATTCACTGATGACACCCTGTTTTCTAATCTACAAAAGTGCACCATCTGACACCCAATGTACAAAGAAACTGTTGCTACCATAAGCCAGCTTAGTTTCAGTGCCCTCACCACTGCTCTATCCATCTGGCAATTGGCGATCGAGAACAACCCTGCTTCAAGGGTTGATCCCTGTCAAGCTAGTGCCAGAGTTGCCAGCAGCGATGATCAGGATGATCAGGATGAAAAGGATGCTGACAGCACCAGTGCCAAGGTTGCCGCCAGACCCCAAAGACTTCAATGTTGGGTCTGCAAAAGGCCTGGACATGGGATCAGTCAATGCGATGCATCAGTGACTATACCAGAAAATTCTCCCCTTGCCAGGCCCAAATAGGAGGTCTGGTGCTCCCTCACACATAGTTGGCCGAGCCCCCTAGATTCAAAAGAGACTTCTCATTGGATCTTAGACTCAGGTGCCAGCTATCACATGGTAAATGACTATAGCATGCTCATTGGTCTGAGAACCTGCCAAAAGTGCATACTCACCACTGGAAGTGAGGTTCTGGAAGTGACTGCTATAGGAGATGCTAGCATATCAACAAACACCAGAGATGTTCTTCTCCAAAATGTATTGTATGTTCAGCATCTCAATGTTAACCTATTGTCAACAAATTCCCTGACAGATGAAGGAGCATGAGTGATACTAGATTCAACTGGAGGGCAAATATATCTAGCAAATGGCATGTTACTCAAGATGACCAAGAATCACAAGCAAGGACTTTTGGAGTTCTGAGGTGACACATGGCAGGAAAATGCAATGATCACATCAGCATCATTATTTGAAGGTGTTGATGAAGATTTCAAACATATTGAGAACAAAGTCAAGATACCCAAACAACAATTATGGCATGAGCATCTAGGGCATCTGGGCCGAGACAAAACGAGAGCCATCATCAACCATCTAAAAGGCGACCACCCAGCAAACCTAAATCCAAATGCCACTTTGACATGTGAACAATGCATCTGAGCTAAAAGCACAGCAGCTCAGATGGGTCAGGGTGGCAGAGAAAGGTCCGTTTCTCTGCTTGACCTCATTCATATCAACTTGATAGTCGATTCATCGCATGCAACAGAGTACATGTGCACTTTGGTCTTGGTTGATGACCACAGCAAGTATGTGTATGTATGGCCTCTATTACAAAAGAGCCACGCTTTTAAGGAGCTAAAATCAATAATAGCATACTTAGAAACACAGGCAGGAAAGAGCTTAAAAGCAATATGGTCTGATCAAGGTACTGAATGGAGGAGCAACAATGCCCATGAATGGGCACATGACAAAGGTATAGAGTGGCAAATGACAGTAGGATATGATAGCAGACAGAACAGATGTGTAGAAAGGATGAACAGGAGCCTAAGTGAGAAGATGTGGGCCCTACTCATGCAGAGATGATTGCCAAAGAGGTTCTGGCCATATGCAATACGAGCCATGGCATTTAAGATGAATCTCATCCTGAGTATAGATGGCAAGGTCCCATTTCAGGCTATGTTTGGGAGATCACTGAAACAGCTTATGAAGCTTCTATGTGTGTTCAGATGTTTATCATGGGTAAATATCCCTAAAGCTAAAAGAGACAATAAGAAGCTCGACCAATGGGCCATAGTGTCAGGGGTCTCGCGCCTGAAACCCAGGTCGGTCTGTCGAGATACTCGGTGACTATTAAACTGTGTGACAGCTATTGTCTCGGTATCGGTGACTATCAAGTTGTGCAGTGACAGCAGGTGGCGTTCGTTGTATATACTATCGTAGGTTTCGGCTGACCTCTGTGGACACTCCGTTCAGGGGTAGCTCGGCACGATCAATATCAATGTTATGATGACACCAAGGTCTGGTGTGGGTGTTGATGATGATGAGGTTGATGGTGTTGGTGATGAGATTGGTGATGTCGATGATAATGAGGTTGATGGTGTTGATGATATGATTGGTGATGTCAATGATAATGAGGTTGATGGTGTTGGTGATAAGGTTGGTGGCGTCAACACGAGTGTCCAGTGTGTTGACTTGATGCTTTGAAGTGATCCCCGGACCGCAGTGGACTACTGCCTTCGGTTCTATCTATATCCGGACCGCTAACCTGCTATGGGCGCCTTCGGACGTCAGGTAGTGGTGATACAACACACACACTACGATGAGGAGCAACCTTGATAGATTGCTGCTATGCTGACTGTAACTAATGAGTACTTGTGTTTCTAAAGTATTGACTAGTTGTATGGTGAGTAGAGTGGATGAGGATCCACTCGACCTATGATGATGAGAAAGCATGGTTATATACCTCTTCTCAGCATCGCCAGCGATGCTGCTCCTGCTCTCTCTCCATAGAGTACCTTCTTCATCGAGTACTGCTCAGGGGCCTCTCCTGCTTGGCACCCCTGTGCCTCTTGGTCGACACAGCTCCTCCTCCTCATGACCTGGTGTCGACTCCTTCGACACTGCTCCTCCTCCTCATGACCTGATGTCGACTCCTTCGACACTGCTCCTCCTCCTTTGATCAGTGACAGTTCCTTTGGCTCTTGTCTCTCGAGCCCCTGAGTGGTAACCATCTGCATGCTCCTTGAGCTTGGTCCTCTTCGTGGCTGTGCCTGCTCCTTGAGCTTGGTCCTCCTCGTGGCTGTGCCTGCTCCTTGAGCTTGGTCCTCCTCGTGGCTGTGCTTGGCCCTCCTTTGCATGTGAGTCCATAGGAGTCCATGGTCTCCATGGAGACTGCACTACAACCATGCTCTCTACTGGTGTCGACTAGGTCTTCGATACCTGTGCTCCTTCCATATGAACCAGTGACCCTCCTGCTTCTTGAGCATCCAGGCCCATGACACATAGCATCTGTCATGGGCCTGGATGCTCAAGAAGCAGGAGGGTCACTGGTGTCATGGGCCTGGAGGCTCAAGAAGCAGGAGGGTCACTGGTTCATATGGAAGGAGCACAGGTATCGAAGATCTAGTCGATACCAGTAGAGAGCATGGTTGTAGTGCAGTCTCCATGGAGACCATGGACTCCTACAGACTCACATGCAAAAGAGGACTGAGCCATATGCAAGGAGGGCCAAGCACAGCCACGAGGAGGACCAAGCTCAAGGAGCAGGCACAGCCACGAAGAGGACCAAGCTCAAGGAGCATGCAGATGGTTACCACTCAGGGGCTCGAGAAGAGCAGGGTCGACAGGTCCTGAGGAGGAGGAGCAGTGTCGAAGGAGTCAACATCACTCAGGAGGCACAAGGGTGCCAAACAAGCAGGGTAGCAAGGAGGAGGAGCAGTGTCGAAGGAGTTGACACAGTTCAAGAGGCACAGGGGTACCAAGCAGGCAGGAGAGGCCCCTGAACAGTACTCGATGAAGAAGGTACTCTCTGGAGTAGAGAGCAGGAGCAGCATCGCTGGCGATGCTGTGAAGAGGTATATAACCATGCTTTCTCATCATCAAAAGTCGAGTGGATCCTTATCCACTCTACTCACCATACAACTAGTCAATACTTTAGAAACATAAGTACTCATTAGTTACAGTCAGCATAGCAGCAATCTATCAAGGTTGCTCCTCATCATAGTGTGTGTGTTGTATCACCACTACTTGACATCCGAAGGCACCCATAGCAGGTTAGCAGTCCGGACCAAGATAGAACCGAAGGCAGTAGTCCACTGCAGTCCAGGGATCACCTCAAGCATCAGTCAGCACACTGGACACTCATGTTGACGCCACCAACCTTATCACCAACACCATCAACCTCATTATCATCAACACTCAACAACCTTATCACCAACGTCATCAACCTCATCATCATCAACACCCACACCAGACCTTGGTGTCATCATAACTGAAGCATTGATATTGATCGTGCCAAGCTACCCCTGAATGGAGTGTCCACAGAGGTCAGCCGAAACCTACAATAGTATATACAATGAATGCCACCTGCTGTCACTGTGCAACTTGATAGTCACTGATACCAGGACAATAGCTGTCACACAGTTTGATAGTCACCGAGTAACTCGACAGACTGACCTGGGTTTCAGGCGCGAGACCCCTGACATTCCATATTCCTAGGATATAGTTTGGAGAGAAGAGGCTGGCTTTTCTACAGCCCAGACTATAGACCAAACATATTCTGGAGCAATTCAGCAAAGTTCATGGAGACCAAATGCTGGTCCAATAGGACAGAGTGGCAACCAGTGACTGCACAGCTGCCACCAGCATTGACAAACAAGGAAGACTTTGGTGATCTGAGGTACACAGACAAGAACCTTTTTGATGAGAGGGAAGAGGAAGCACTGCAGGAACACATGGACATGGATAATGTTGATGAAGCGGATGGAGAACAGACCCCAGACAAAATTGCCAAGGAAGCAATCAAACACAATACCATTGCTGATAGATGGAATGATAATAAACTTTATGGATTTACAGCAACCAATGACAATGAAAGAAAGAACCTGGACCCAACTGTTAGTGAGGCGCTATCTGGAGAGGATAAGAAACATTGGGAAGAAGTGATGCATAAGGAGCTGGATGGGCTTAAGGCCATGGGTACATGGGAAGTTGCCAATCTCCCAAAGGGTATGACCACCATTGACATGTGTTGGGTACTAAAGATAAAGACAGATGCCAACCTAATCCCAACCAAGTTCAAAGCAAGGTTAGTGGTGCAGGGCTTCACTCAAAGAGAGGGTATTGATTACACAGAAGTTTTTGCCCCTGTAGCACCCATCCAGTCAATTTGAGGAGTTCTAGCCATGGCAACCATATGAGACTGGGAAGTAGATTGTGTCGATGTCAAACAGGCATACCTGAACTCAACATTACATCATAATATCTTCTTAAAGCCACTGCTTGGAATGAAGGTACCCTCTGGAAAGGCCCTGAAGCTAGTGAAAGGCCTATATGGATTAAAGCAATCAGGTAGAGAATGGAATATGAAGCTAGACTCACACCTATGAAAGATAGGTTTCTATTGCATGCTGAGTGCCCCATGCCTATACTCAAGAGGGACAGGCGATAGCATGACAATCATCACAGCCTATGTAGATGACATGCTCATAACATCACCCAGTTGTATGGAGGTAAGCTGCACTAAGGATGAGATAATGGCAAAATGGGGGACAGAAGATAAAGGACCTGTGAAGGAGTTCTTAGGTGTAAGGATAGGACGAGACAGAATATGGAGAAGAATGACACTTGACCTAATGGCTTACATTAAGGCTATGGTGAGAAAGTGGCTACAAACAGCCAATCTGAAGTCATGGGTACCGATGCAGAGCCTAACAGGTGTTACAGGTGGCAACAAGTGCAACCCATTGGTAGCAAAACAGCACCAAGAATTAGTTGGACAGCTTTTATGGGTATCCAACACAGCACAGCCCAACATATCATTCACTGTAGGCACACTAGCAAGATACATGTCAAGCCCAATGAGCAATGCATGGAAGGCAGCACTACATTTGGTGAAGTACCTCAACCAAACTAGCAAATATAAGTTACTTTTTGGAGATGAAGCAAACAAACACTCGGGACAGCAAATCGTTACATATACTGATGCAAATTGGGCATTGGACCCAACAAATGGACAAAGAAGCACATCAGGAGGAGTAACATACATGTATGGATGCCCAGTTAGCTGGAGATCACATGTTCAAAAGTGTGCAGCATTGTCAGCAGTCAAGGCCGAATTTGTAGCTGCTTCGGAAGCAACGAGAGAGGCTCTCTTCTTCTCATACCTTCTCAGGGACCTGGGAGTTGAGGCCCATCCACCAATATTACAGACAGACAGTCAAGGATGTATCCAGGTAAGCAAAGACCCCACCAAGCATTGGAAGTTGAAGCACATTGACACAAGGTACCACTTCATCAGAGACCATGTTCAGGAAGGAGAAGTCAAAATCAATTTCATAGGGACAACAGACAATGTTGCAGATATCCTCATGAAGCCTTTAAAGGGCTTGGCCATGTCTCAGATTGCATGCCTAATAGGGTTGATGATGCCATCAAGGGGGGGAGTTGAAGATGCGTTGGCATCCTAAACTGAATCACATGGTCCATGGAGCACAAGCGAGACACTGATGAGTCAGAGCTGCATGTCAACATGCATCAATATGCATATGGGACATATAAGTACTTCAACCATAACACTCAGGAGATGGCAATGCTCAGGAGGTGACAACACAGGGGTGATATGAAGAATAGTTCATTATGATCTAGTATGGGCTAAGGGTAACAATCAAGTATATATATGTTTGCATTGTAGCACCCATCAATTAAAAGATAACAACTGTTATATGCCTGATTAGTTGAGATTGCTAGTAGCTCCTAACAGTCGCGTTTTACCAGTAATCTTCAACTGATGAGGATCAGTCGGACGATAGAGCAAACAATGTTAGATTGCCGGTCAGCGCGGAAAACAGATGCGCACGCCATGTCACGTGCAGCGCCTCGAAGTCTGAAACTTAACTCGCACGAGAGGCAAATGCACGTCCCCACATGGCACTCTTGTAAAGTGGAATCAAAAGTTCTAGAGAATCTGTGCTACTCTCTCTTTCACCCGTGCTTCTCGTCATCTTCCACCGGCCCACCACTCTTCGCAGCAACAGCTTGGTTCTTGCCTCCGAAACGCCAGACACTGGTTCATCGTCATCGGCCCCACGACTTCTGGATAGCCTGACCAGTCGCTGCCACACGGTCTCGCCTCCTGCAAGGTCCGCTCTCCGCAATCGCCTCCACACGATCTCGGGCAAGTTCAGACGTTCGCTGAACATGCTGGCACTCCGCTCGGGAGCAAGGGTGCTTCGTCGGTCATCCGGACCTCTCGTCGCATCAGCAACACAGCTGCGGCATTTTACTTCTACCTCGCATGCAGGCGAAAAGCGATACTATCCACCACCAGAACCCTTCACCAGCGGCGGTAGTGACACTATCTCGATTGAGCCGTCACCCTTCTCCACATTTGGCGCTTCACCCGACCTTCTCACACACTACCTCTCACTTCAGCCTGCACCACTTACCCTTCGTCAGCTGATGGCCCAAGGCGGCAAGCCGGGCCAAGCACTCACGCCAGAACAGCTGCTCCTCTCTGCACAACACACACATCGTCAACTTCCCATCCGGCTAGCAAGGCGGGTTGGAGGCTTCCGGGCGCTCCCTTTTATCGTCGGCAGCAATCCATTCATCTCCAGGATAGCCAGACTGTACGCATCGAGTTTCGAAACGCTCGTCAAGTTCGGTCAGATTCAAACGCAGGAGGACAATGTGCGTTTCACTGCCGTCATCGAGGATCTTGTCGCAGCGCACGCTCAAAACATTCCGACACTTGCAAGAGGTTTCCAAGAGTCGAGAAAGTACATGGACGCGAGGCAGATCTCTGCTTTCCTTGATGCGGCTATTCATTCGCGTATCGCAATCCGTATGATCGCCGAGCAGCACCTTGCCTTATCGGCGACGAGCAACGAGCTCGGCCATGTCCGACCCAAGACCACGAACAACATCCGAGATGAAGCAGACGGCCACCACCACCATCACCATCACACACTAGACCCTGATCTGCCGCCAGAAGGCACAAGTAGTCAAGGCCACCATCAATATGGTAGTCCGACAGCAGTAGGCATTATCGAAACTCAACTCAGCCCAGCACGAATGACCCGCATGTGTGCAGCATTCGTCCAAGACCTTTGCGAGGGGACCCTCGGTGCCGCGCCGGAGCTGAGATTGGAAGGCGATCTGGACGTCACCTACACCGGTGTTCCCGTACATCTCGAGTATGTCATGACCGAGCTTCTAAAGAATTCCTATCGTGCAACAACCGAGAATTTCATCAAGTCGCAACAACATGGCTCCTCATCAATCTCGCTCAGCTCCATGCCACCTGTCATTGTCACCATTGCGCAATCAGCAAATCACGTTTCGCTGCGGATCAGAGATGAGGGTGGAGGAATCTCTCCACAGAACCTGCCTCACGTGTTCAGCTATGCATTCACAACGGCAGGTAGTGCAGAGCTTGAGGATGCAGAAGAGACTGGTGGGGGACCGTATGCGATGCAAGCGGTGGGAGGAACCGGTGGAGACGCGCTAGCAGAGATGGCTAAGATGGGTCTAGCGTCAGGCTTGGGTACTCTTGCAGGTTTGGGTTACGGTCTACCAATGGCAAGGATCTACGCAGAGTACTGGAAGAATGGCTCAGCGCTCGATCTGGTTTCGTTATACGGACATGGCTGTGACACTTTCGTCAAGCTGCCAAGACATATTGAGCTCTCCAACACCGTTATTTGAGCTCCTTGAAGTTGAAGACCAACAATGACAATCACAATCACAATCACACCTTACACCTATTCGCACACATCTGTATTTGTATCGTACTGTACTGTACTCTGCATCAGCAATCCATCACAAGATGTAGCACAGCAATCGTCGCTTTCAACGTTGTGATGAGCGTAGGTACAGAGGCGAGGACAAAGGTCGAGATGTAGTGGTGAGAATGGATTCGCATTTCTCCGCGGTCTTCATCATCGTGGCGGGTGCAAATATTGTTGAAAGTAAAGACGTCTTGGTGCTGATACTGGCGATCGGGGAGAGTCTAAGTATGATGTCACTGCTGCTAAAAGACAGAAACATATATACTCAATTGACTAAAGAACGTAGTGAGGACCTAGTGTCCTCGGCTTGATATATATACAACTATGAGGTGCCTGCCGAATGTGCGAGTATCCTCCTTCATGACCTAGCTTGACAACGAGCGGGGGCTACGTTGCACCCGATCTCTAGACAAATCTATCTCATCTGATCGCCGATTGCGCTTATGTCAGCATGCATCATCATATCGGATCGCTTCTTTCGGCAAATATTTCTTCTCGCCGGAAAAGCATAGCCGCGTGCAACTCTAGCTCATAGCCACCTTCACGGCTCTCATCACTTGCAACTTGATCGACGTTGCTATAGCGCTTTAGACAAGGACACGGATCTCACTAGTATCACAGCAACATCCCTCATATTTTGGTTCAACTCGTTCGGACGATTCGCTGCCTTGCGCTTTTCTCCGCTTCGATCGTCAGAGCCCACGTCAATCTTTTCTAGCGCTGTGCTCAGTCTGCAAACCTCGTTGAGGCCTATATAACCTCCTCCATCGAGCCCGTCTCGAAGTGCCTTTCAGCTCAACACCAAAGCGCTTCCCACTGCAAACCGATGCGAAGCCAGAAATGGACATCGAAGCATTCCGCAAAGCCGGTTACGCAGCTGTCGATCGGATCTGCGATTACTATTCTTCGCTCTGCAACCTTCCGGTTTGCTCGGCTGTATCTCCTGGCTTTCTGTGCGAGTACATCCCTCTTACTCCACCCGAAGAAGGCGAACAATTTTCCAAGATCGACTCGGACTATCATACGATAATCATGCCCGGCATTACGCATTGGCAGCACCCCAACTTTTACGGCTACTTTCCCTGCAATGCCACTTTCGAAGGTGCTATTGCGGATCTTTACGCTGCTAGCATCAGCAACCCTGGCTTCAACTGGTCCGTTTCGCCTTCGGTCACAGAGCTGGAGATTCTCATGGTTGATTGGGTAGGAAGAATGCTCGGGTTGAACGATGAGTGGTTGAGTACGAGCAAGAGTGGGAAGGGAGGAGGCGTCATTTTGGGAAGCGCCAGCGAGGTGGCATTGACAGTTGCTATCGGGGCTAGGGAGAAGTGTCTACGCATCCTGAGCGAGCAGCAGGAGTCTGTCGAATCGACCAATGAAGTCAATGGATACGGGCGAGTGAGCGGTCAAAGCTTGGATGCGGATCAAGACACATCTTCTCACGCTAAGACGACAGCAGAGGCAGGAGAGGAAGCCACGCCTGATGCAGCAAGTAAGCCTGCCAACTGGAGAGGTGACATGACCTCTCGTCTGCTCATGTACGGCACTACACAGACGCACACCATTGCCGCCAAAGCAGCCTTGTGCTTGGGCTTGGACTTCCGCGCACTACCTGTTTCAGCTCCAGACTACTCGCTCGACGGATCAACGCTGAGGGAAGCCATCGCAGAAGACACTGGCGCTGGTCGCATTCCCTTCCTCCTCATCGCAACCATCGGCACAACCTCTTCAGGAGCTATCGACAATCTCACCTCCCTTATCGACGTCGTCCGTCAACACCCAACTCTATACCTTCATATCGATGCAGCATACGCCGGTGTCTGTCTCTCCCTCCCCGAGCTGCGTTCGGAAATGCATCTCGATGCAATCAACTCTCCTGAAGGAGGTGTTGACAGTTTCAGCACCAATCTCCACAAATGGGGTCTAGTTCAATTCGATTGTTCGCCTCTTCTCCTCAAAGACCGAGGAGACCTATCCAAAGCTCTCGCTATCACTCCAGCCTATCTGAAAACAAAACAGAGCGATGCAGGTAACGTACTCGATCTTCGCAACCTTCAGATCTCACTCGGTCGTCGATTCCGCAGTCTCAAAATCTGGTTCGTACTTAGAAGCTTCGGTCTAGAAGGCTTCAGAAAGCATCTTCGAACAACCATGTCTCTTGCAGGCTTGTTTGTTGATAGCTTCAAGAAAGATCACTCGGGATTGTTCGAAATCGTTGCTCCTCCTAGGTGGGCGCTGGTCGTGTTTAGAATTAAGCCTCCTCAAGGAGGGCAAGGAAAGGGAGTGGATTTGGATGAATTGAACAAAGCGTTCTGGGAAGATCTGCAAGAACTGTCGGATAAGTTTGTACTCACCCAGACCAGTCTTCCTGAAGTTGGGTTCTGCATTCGATTTGTAGTAGGCAGCCCACAGACGAAGAAGGAGCACGTCGAGCAGACCTGCAGATTGATTGCACAAACAGGGAACAAGACTTGGGCTCGCTTCTCTGCCAATGCTTAATCCGAGAGTGAATCTTCTTATAGATGTAAGCTGTTCCACCAAAGAGATTGAAGCAAACCTATCCAACGTTGAGATGCAAAGAGAAAAAAAAAAGTGTCAAGGATTGTGGGTATTGCATGCCATTGTGCTGTACGGAGAAATGCTACAATGGTGCTGATCACTTGAGCGGACTGAAAGGCAATGGCCTCATAATCTGAGCGTGCATTTTGTCGATCAATTTGACAGTCTGACTGACAGTATCATTCCATGTCTCAACTTTCCAAGCCATATCCCTCGTCTTCTTCCTCTCCTCCAGACTGGGGTATTCCCAGATGTGGAAAACAGTGTGCAAGCCACCGATTTGAGTGAACCAAGCACCGATGGGCTCAACGAACTGCCTCCTTGCCTCCAGACCGCGTCTCCAGTGCTGCTCCCACTCGAGCAAGTGTCCTGGCTTGAGATGGTATGTTCGAAGCTCGTAAAGGCCATTTGTCGTGACCGGTGGGGAAGAAGGCCAGAAGGAGAATTCTTGAGTGAGCCAGTTGGATCGGTTGCAAAGCAGAGGTCGGAGACGACGAGTGAGTTCCTGGAAATCCGGGTCGGAGCGGAGAGCGGATTCAGCTTTGTCGTAGCCTGCATAGCCATCGTACTCCCAGATGTGATAGAAGGTCTCCAGATCACCGACGATCACTTCCCAACTGCCAGTGAGACGCATAGGGAGACCCTTTTCGGCGAGCTTTGGCAAGTATTCACGGATAAGCGTGCAGTATTCTTCGGCATGCGCGGGAGAGACAGATTGTCGCTGGATCTCGTGAATGTACTTGCCACGAGCGACCTGGTTGGAGTGAGACTGGGTGGTGACGCCCTCAGCTTTGGCTTTCTCAGAGCCATGGAGCAAGGATTTGAGAAGGCTTTGCTTGGGTTGCGGTGAACCATCTTGTTCGGATTGCTGGTTGGCAGCTGCACCCTCACCGTCTTGACCGACAAGGACGGGTCGAGAGGGAACAATAAGGGATCGCGACGAGACGAGAGCGGTAGCAGCGGGTGCAAACGACTTTGCAGACACACTTCGAGTGGCGGTTGCTGCTGCTCGCAGACCTCGACCGGCGAGCAAGGTCATTGTGCGGATAGTACGGATATGCTTGATCGATGCCTTGTTTCCTGTACCGATGTGTTTGCGATGCTGTACGAACTCTTTTGACTCTGGCTTTCGACAGACTTGCGATGGTGTATGGACCTTTAGATAGGGTAACACAGAGATGGTGAGAGTCGACCAAGTCTTCAAGTCAAGCAGATATGGGGAAAGCGTGTTGCAGGCCGCCAACGCACGGGCCACCTAGCTACAGCACGTGACGTCAGACCTCAAGATAGTGCAGACAATTGCGGTCTAACATTGCTCTCTCTCGGATTTTAACCCGGAGTCATTTATCGTCTTTTTATGGCACAGCAACACTGAAATCTAACAGCGACAACAAGCAGAGCACAGCCATCAGCCATAACCTTGAGCCATTTGGCATCATCATCACCATCATCATCATCATCATCATCATCATCGCCGCAGCCGCTGTAGGGTCTAGCTCAGCTCGACTACTTTACACGATCGCATTTCCATCCACCTTACTTTCCCATCCACTTTACTTTTCCATCCAACATCCACCATCGCATCAAGGCCAGACAAGGATCCAATATACCCCCTTCTCCAGCGATCATCTACAACTGTGGAATATCCAACTGCATACATCTATAGGCACACACCATCGCAACACCAGTAACTAGGCTAGTTCCAGCGTCGTCTCGACAACCATGTCCTTTCTCAAGAAGGCGCAACAACACGTTGCACACACTTCAAAACTGCCAGCGCTCGGCAACCAGGACCTGAGGCAGCTCCAAGATGTAATCACCTCGGAAAAGAGCTTCATTCAATCCAACACCAAAGCTGCTACCGACTTTAAGAAGAACGCAGAGTCCATCAAGGCATGGTCTTCCGAACAAGGTCCTGATCTCAACGATGTCGTCGGTAAAGTCTCGTTGCTGTACGACCACTATGCTGCATCGCAGAATCGTCTCAACTCGCATCTTTCCACCGTCCGACTTCACTTCAAATCCATCCGTACACGCGAAGAGTCGCTCTCCCAGCTCAAGGGACGCAAACGCTCTCTCGGCTCCGACATCGACAAGGTCGAAAAGAAGCTCGCCAAGATGGGTCCCGAGAACAAGGAGCTCATGAAGGTCACAGCTCAGCTCAAGGAGATGCGAGCAGAGATGGAGACTCTTCACATCGAAGTCATCAATGAGGAGGCTGCCATTGCTGATTTCAAGAGACGCACTGTCAAGGAGGCACTCGGCATCAAGTCAGGCGCTTTGCTCGAGATGGCCGAAAAGCTCACGATTGTTGCCGAGATCTCCAAGCTTATGCTGGAAGAGATCCCTCTCCAACCCACGCAACCCGGAATGCCTCGAGCTGAATACTACGGTTTCGCCAAGACAGAATCGCTCCTCCAGGAAGCGACTCGATGCATTGCCGACGTCGGCTTCTCTCCCACTGGTCCTTCCTCCGGTATCCCAAGGTTCGGCGATTTGACCCTCGCTGACACCACTGCAAACAGTTCTCGCGACGTCAGACATTCGTACGCCAACCCTGACGGCGAAGCTTACCACGACATGCCTTCGCACGGCTCCGGCGGAGATGCCAATGCAGACACCGGATACAATCCTTCCAACCGCGCTCTTACCGGTGACAATGTTGCCCGCACTCCTATCTACGCTGCACACGCCTCGCGCTCCGAATGGACTCACGAAGCCAATGCCGACCAGGCTGGAGGTATCTCCGACCCTGCAACCAACGAATGGGCTCGTTCCAGTTTCGATCGTGGTGTTGGCGGTGCTAATGACACTTCCACTGCCTCAGCAGCTGCAGCTGCCGCCATGGCTGCCACTGCAGGTGCCGACTTGAACGCTGTTCCTGGTCACGCTGATCCCAACCAGCCTGACGGTGGCTTTTTGATGCAGAACAGCCAATCTTACAACGGTTCAGCAGGTCCTCACGCCCAACAGTACGGCTCTAACAGGAACAGCGCCGATTTCCAGAGCGCTCAGGGCGGACACGGTACTGAAGCGGCACCGACCGGTCTGGCTGCTCGCGGAACCTCTACTGAAGGCCACCACTCAGATGCTTACGATGCTTACTCAGCTTCGCAAGCTCCGCAAGCTCCGCAAGCTCCGCATGAGGCTTCATCTGCGTCGAACCCAACAGGCATGCTTGGTGCTCCCACTTTGCCGCCCCTCCGTACCGCCACGCCGTTGAACGGCTCGACTGCGGCAGCAATGCCACAAGCATCTGCCGCCTCTCCCACCAACTACGCTGCAACTGACGACTCGGCCTATTTCCAGTCGATTGGATCCACGCGTGCTATGCAGGAAGCTGTTCGACGACCCACTTCACCTCAGGCCAACCCTAACCGTGCTTCCTCCTATGGCGCACTCGGAGCCGCTCTCTCGCCCCAAAACACTGGCGCAGGGGTCGAAGGGAAGAAAGTCACAGCAGCAGCCTTCCGTCGTGGTTTCTCACGCAATGCATCCGCCCAAGCAAACATGAACACTCCAGCAACTTACGACGATGCAGGCTACGGAGGAAACGCGCTGCCAATGCCACCTAACCTTCACGCTAGCCTTACAACTCCCACGCCTCCAGGTGCTTACAACGGTACGCCACCCAACGAGAACGAGGGAGTTCAACCGTTGCACATTCAGAAGCGAAACTCGAACTCGCATACCAACCCACTCGGCGTAGCTGCTGCTGCAGGTACACCAGGTAACATGATGGGTAGGAGATACAGTAACGATTTGAATGTTAGTGCAAGTGAACACCCGCTTCCTCCCTACCTACCTGATCAGCATCAGCACGGGTTAACTGTGACGAATAGTATTGATTACACTCATCAACAACAACCTTTTGCGTCAAATGCACACGCTGATCCTCAGGCGCAGAGACATATCACCAGTCAGTATGCTGAATATGCTGCTCCTCCACCGCCTGGCTATGGATACGCTTAGGCTTTTCAGGCATTTGATGCACATGTTCAATGTATCATTTAGACCTGATTATACCCTTTCATTATATGTTTCTGAGTCTTGTTTAGCATCATGGTGCAGTTTTTGTAAAACGCTTGTCCATCTTGTCATGAGAACTGAGTTCCTCCGAAGATCTTCCACTTCAACATTATCATCAGCTTAGGCACACAACATCAAACTAACGAGTCCAGAATGCTATGGAAATGCTAGATCAAACTGAAACTCTCTTCCTTCGTATCTGGACGGCTAGACGCAATCGTATGGTGGCGAGATCAAACATTGCGGCCGAGTGGCGAAGGAGTGTAGTCCGGCTTGAGCGCAGTAGGTTTTGGAGTTTCTTGCAACGGCCTATCCGGTGATGTTGGGATAGATGGGATGGCGATAGGAGTTTGGAAGGGTGTGTGTTGTGCGAAGTAATTTTGTGCAGGTGGAGGATCTGGCAATGTGTAAGGGCTAGGAGGCAACTGTTTGCTGGAAGAAGGATTTATCTGACGACTATCTCGGCTGTTTTGTAGTCTATTGCTTCCTGTGCTGCTTGCACCTGCCAATTCTTCGTTCGAAAAGCCAGGCGTAGCGCCTCCGGCATCGCCTGCAGCCAAAAACTCCTCGTCGTTCTCGTGACGATACGGCTGAGGTGTATCGTAAGGAATCTGGTTGAAAAGAACCGAGACCGACTCGCCGTAGTGACTTCTCCTGATAGTTTCTGCGAGAACGTGCGAGATGTCGATCTCCTCGATCTTGGAGCATTTCGATCGGTTTTGAGCTTGTGGCAAAGTGTTAGTGACGATGAGCTTTTCCAGTCTCGATTTGCTGATTCGTTCGAGCGCAGGGCCGGAGAGAATACCGTGTGTGACGATAGCAAGCACTCGTTCTGCGCCGTATTCGATGAGTTTGTGTGCAGCGAGTTCCAATGTACCGCAAGTGTCGGCCATGTCATCGACAAGGATAGCCACCTTACCTTGCACGTTACCGACAAGCACCATCCGAGAGACTTCGTTAGCGCGCTTGCGCTCCTTGTGGAAGAGTGCAAAGTCGAGTTCCAGTCGATCAGCTAACGAAGTAGCTCGCTTAGCACCACCTGCATCAGGAGAGACAATCACAGCTTTGTCGACATCCACCATCTCTCTGATGTACTGCAAAGCTGCTGGCTCGGCATAGAGATTGTCGACGGGCACGTCGAAGAATCCCTGGATCTGGGAGGCGTGGAGGTCCATAGTAATGACGTGGTCACAACCTGCATTCTCGAGCATGTTGGCGATGAGCTTGGCAGTGATGGGTGCACGAGACTTGTCCTTCTTGTCCTGACGAGCGTAGAAGAAGTGTGGGATGACTGCAGTGATTCGTTTTGCTGATGCAGTCTTACAGGCGTGAATCATGATGAGGAGCTCCATGAGCGATGTATTGGGCGATGCCGCTGCACCGGTGGGCGTAGGAGAGACGCAGGAGGTGTTGATGATGTAGACATCGTGTTCTCGAACCGATTCGGCGATGCGAACGATGGACTCGCCAGACTCGTTGCGGGTGACGGTAGCCTTGCCAAGAGGTTGCCCGAGACGCCTAGCGATGAGCTGGGCAAGCTCCGGATGAGAAGTGCCGGAGAAGACTTTGATGCTGCCTGCAGTAGTCGCCATCTTTGCAAACGATTGCTCCAGAGACGAGGTGTTGGGGAGAGAAAGAGGAGAGCCTTGAGATGAACCAAGGCCTGAGCAAGTAGAGGTAAAGTGTCAAGGATGATAATCAGGACGAAAACAGCAACAGCACAGCCCACGAAACCGTTAAATGAAAGCTTTTCTTGTCCCGTGCGGAGCCGAGTTCGAGCCGGATCTTTCCGTTTTTCATCGGCGATGAGGTGTTGTCAATCGGGCGATCTGACGCGTTCCTCCACTTTCGGCAAAAGCGCGTGGTGTTTGTTTGTTGTTGTTTTTTTTTTTTTTTTGTTTTTTTTGTTTTTTTTGTTTTTTTTGCGTTTTCTGACAGCTGCGTTTATTGCATGTCGAGATTAGCAAAGCCGGAGTTTGCTTTGGTCTCTCCCTCTTTCTTCCTGTCGTCATTGTGTAAGCGCAAACCTTGGCTGTGGATCAACCTCTGTCCCTGAACTGAGCTTGAACAGCAACTTGAGCCTCCCTGATGGACTGAACTAGAACCCCGCCCCTTTGCTGGTTACCCACCATCTAGACACGGTGTCCATCCGGTCTTACTCCTTCTAACAGACGCTTTCTATGCAACTACGAGCGTTGCCTCTCTTGGCCCTTGTACGCTCTTTTACTCCAACACCAGCTAGACAGGCGTTCCCTTTGGCACCTGCTTCACTTCTCGCGCTTCCGCGGAAATCTTGTCTCCTTCGCCCCTCGTCTTTCTCGACATCGAGCATCGCAATGGTTGCCTCCAAGCGCAAACAAAAGTCAACCTCCCCTGAGGCAGCTGATGGCAAGGAAAATGTCAATCAGCACGACCAAGACGAGATGCTTCCCGACCCTAAGCTAGCCCAACATCCTGACGAGGATGGGTGTGAAATTTGCAAGCCCCTGTCCAAGAAGCAGAACAAGTCTTCTTCCCGCTCCAACTCTGCCTCTCCCTCCAAAGACAGTTGCCGATCTGCCGTCATCGCTGGAGAACCCGAGGTGGAGAAAAAGTACGGTGCTTCCGCCTATGCCAAGTCTGGTGAGGGATGGCACCGGTCTGACCTCAATCCTTGTCCTAAGGGTCGCAGGGATGGCAAGACTGCTCTTCAGGTTCTTGAGGTTGCACTTGAATCGCACGCTCTTAACAAGCACAACGACACGGGAGACGCAAAGAACGTCGTTTACTGGATCAGAATGCACGATTTACGCATTCATGACAACCGAGCACTTGCACATGCTTCCTCCCTCGCTGCTGCCCGCAGGAAGAAAGGCAAAGGTGGAAATCTCGTCGCTTTGTTTATGATCACTCCCGCAGACTACAGGGCACACGACAGAGGCGCACGAAGGGTCGACTTTGTTCTTCGCACTCTCGCCAGCCTCAAGTCTGGATTCGAAAAGCTCAACATCCCTTTCGTCGTATACACCTACGAGGGCGAGCGCATAAAGGCAGGCGAAAAGGTGCTTGAGCTGTGCAAGCAGTGGAATGCTTCCCAACTCACAGCTAACTTCGAGTATGAGGTCGACGAGCTCTGGCGTGACCTCGGTGTGGTCCAGCAAGCTCGCAAGTCAGGAGATGTGGCGTTTAGCATGTTCCACGATAACTATGTCCTCCCTCCTGGTCGAGTGGCCACTAACGACGGTCGACCATACAGCGTTTTTTCGCCTTGGAACAAGAAATGGGCCGATGTTATCTCCAAAGACATGTCTCTCATCGAAGCTTCTCCTGACCCAGAGCCTAACGACAAGTCCATTCACATCGACTCCACTCTTGGCCGACTCTTGAACCTTGACAAGCTTGGAAAAAGTTTCGGCATCCCCAAAGAGCTGCGCGGTTTCGAATGCAAGGATCGCGAATACATGGCCAAGCTTTGGCCGGTCAGTGATGATGCTCCATGTCAAGTGCTCGACAACTTTATCAGGGGTAAAGGTGGAGAGACCGCGCTCGATCGACCAGCCAACGAACCTAGCACCAAGCAAGTCCAAGGCAATGCAAAGGATTCACGTCTCGGTAGGTATGTTGAGGGAAGGAATCTGATGAACGAGAACGGCGCATCTCGTATCTCGCCATACCTCGCTGCCGGTCTCGTGTCGGCTCGGGAATGCTTGCGCCGGACCAAAGAGCTTACTAAGGGTCGCTTGCATGTGGGAAGAGACTCGGGAGCAGCTATGTGGAACACCGAAATCTCTTTCCGCGACTTTTACGGCCACGTTCTAGCCGCTTGGCCGAAAGTTTGCATGGGTCATGCATTTATAGCCAAATACGAGCATGTCAAGTGGGAAAGCGACCCTAAGACTCTTCAGGCTTGGAAGGAGGGCAAAACAGGATACCCTATCGTAGACGCCGCTCAACGACAGTGCATAAAGCAAGGCTACATTCACAACCGAGGTCGTATGATCACGGCTATGTTCCTCACCAAGCATCTGCTGCACGACTGGAGGGAGGGAGAGCGGCACTTTTCCCTCAACTTCATCGACCAGGACTTTGCCAGCAACAACGGTGGTTGGCAGTGGAGTGCTAGCACAGGTACCGACCCTCAGCCATACTTCAGAATCTTCAACCCGCTTAGTCAGTCCGAGAAGAGCGATCCTCAGGGAGACTACATCAGACACTTTGTTCCCGAGCTGCGAGGAGTCAAGGGCAACGCGATTCACGATCCATTCAAGAGGTTGAGCAAGGCAGAGTTCGAAAAGCTCGGATATCCCAAACCGATTGTCGAGCATACAGAGGCTAGGCGGAGGGCGTTGAGGAGGTACAAGAACCCTGGTGATGAATAGATGATACCACAGCCTTACTCCGCTCCCTACATTTCCAATTAACTTTGTTAGCAAGAGACTGCTTTTGTCTGTCATGTCTGTCATGTGGGACTGTGAACAGCTTCGCAGACAGCGTCGCGCAAAGTGGAGCCTGCAGGATTGTCAAATCATCATCACCATCAAGCGCAGACACAATGCAGCAAGGGCGAGTGTGCGGAATCTCTGAACATAGACCAAAAGCTTGGTGGCCAAGTTACCATTGAGTAAGAACTCATTGCCGATCGAGACACGGCCGTTGTGATCCATGCCGAAGTTGTCCACCTGTCGGGTCCAAGCGGTATCTCCAGAGTCGGATGAGTCGAGGGTAGACAGCAGGATAGATGGTGAGGTCGACCTTGGTTCGCTGGATGGCATCGAGCATGAAGGCAGTGACGTTGCAGTCAGCATCGTAGAGACCGACACGGTTGGTGAGCTGCGAGAGGGTCTGCACATCTTCGACTACCGAAGCGAGAACAACACCACAACCATACTGATACTGCGACGTGAAGGGAGCGTAGCACATTCCCCAGAAGCAGTTGTGCAAGGCCGAGTTCTTCTTAAACTTGGATGGCTCGCCGGAGAGGAAGCTACCACTGCTGTTCTTGGACGAGGAGGCAGAGTCTTCGCTGTCCTTCTTCCTGGCAACGACGATGCCTACAACGACACCGATGATGAGGATGAACGGCAACAAGAGCGCCTCCGATAGTCCAGAGCAGGTCCGGTGCGGCGTAAGAGCATGGCTTCGGCGACAACTGTGTTCCCTCAGTCCAACAGCGACCGATTCCTGTGCACATCCTCACCTATTCTTACAGGTGAGGTCAGAAGGAGCCGTCAAACAGTTTGTCAAAAATAGGACGTCTGCCACGAGACCAAGCTGGAGGTCTACTCATTCTTTTTGCCTCAGCTCTTCAGATGCGGCTTTGCCACGCGCTCCAACGCAACTATGCACAGAGTTATGTTGAGGTTTAGGTGTTGTAAGCCTCTGAGTTACAATGGAGGATCATACAAGCGATTTCCAATGATCGAGGAAAAGCTTAGTTAGAGACCCTTGAGAACGTGTGAGAGAAAAGGTGGGTATCTTCCAACTCCTATGTAGAGGAGAGGGGTCTGTTGCTGAGCGACTTAGGCGGTCCAAGTGAGGACGTGCCCTCCTTGTTGGCATCAGTGTCCCAGTGAGAGTCAGGGTGCTTCTCGTCAACATGGTCCGAAGAGCTGTCTGCATGAGCAGCGCCAGTCTTTCCCTCCTCGATACCAGCAAGACGAAGAAGACCAATGTCGCGCTGGGCCTGGAGCATCACACCAGCCTCCCACTGCGAGCGACCAGAGTTGTCACCAAAGACAGCGTCAAGCTCATCAAGAGTCTTTTGCTTGGTCTCGGGAACAAAGAAGACGATGTAGCCAACACCAAGGATACACATGATGCCGAGGAAGATGAAGACACCGTAAGGAGCAGCAGTGATGAAGTCAGGGGTAGACATGGCAACAGCAAAGTTGTTGAGCCAGTTGGAAGAGTTACCGATCGAGACACCTTTGGCACGAAGACCGAGAGGGAAGACCTCAGCCACTATTATCCACCCACAAGGTCCCCAACTGAATCCAAACGTCATGCAGAAGATCCAGATGAAGGAGCAGGCGACCCAACCAGCAGCCTTGTGGGCAGGCCAGTTGTCACGGCACGTAGCAATGATGATGGCGACGACAAAGTGGCAGATACTCATGATGACGGCACCACCAATCATGATAGGCTTGCGTCCCCAAGTGTCGACGTAGAGGACCGCAGGGACAGTGCCCAGAAGCGTGACAATACCGACAACACCCGAGGCAAGGAGCGAGATGGAGCCACCATCGAGACCGATCTGTCGGAAGATGAAAGGGGCGTAGTAAATAATGAAGTTGATTCCCGTCCATTGTTGAAACACTTGATGATGATAAAGGATAAAGTTGAAACCAGGTCAGCTTTCCATACTTTTTTTTTTTTTTTTTAGCTAGATTCAGATACCGTTGAGGTTCTAGGAAACTTACGCATGATGATGACGGCGACAAGTGTTCGGCGAAGGTTGGCTGGGTTGGCGATGAGAGACTTGTACTGGACAACACCAAGCTTGAAGTTGCTGCTTCGCGAGCCATCCTGGAGGTTGGGGTGGTCGTGAACCGAGACACGGTCTTCGAAGAGCTTCTGGGCCTTGACCTCGAGGTACTCCATTTGGACGAGAAGATCGTTCTCGGGAAGACGACGAAGGCCGGCAATGACGGTGAGAGCCTCCTTCTCACGACCCTCGTTGATGAGCCAACGAGGAGATTCAGGAAGAAAGAGGATACCGACGGCAAGGATGAGTGCAGGAACAAGCTGGATGGTGGTGGGGACCAACCAAGCGGCACGGCTCTGCCCAATGCCGGTTCCACCGATGTACTGGGTTCCATAGGTCAACCAGTAGCTGGTCATGATACCAAAGATGATAGCAAACTGTGAAGGTTAGAAGGAAGAGACGATACGACATGGCAAACGATGACGAGAAGATGGTGTTGTTGTCAGCAACGTTCGACATAAATGAAATGCAAGAGCGTGACGAGGTCCAAGCATCCGTTCTCTGCGCACTGCGGAGCAGAGCAAACGAAAGATGGGGAAGGGGCCAAAGCGCAGCTGTCAAGGGGTTGGGATGAATTTCAACCTGTGAACTTACCTGCTGAAGGGCAACGAGCGAACCACGGATCTCAGGAGGAGCAAGCTCGGCGTTGTAGAGAGGGATCATGGAGAGCGAACCGATACCGACACCGGTGATGGATCGACCGGCGAGAATGTAGTTGTAGGAGCCGCCGCGTGTGCAGGCCTGGATGATGACACCGAGAACGAACCATGCAACACCAAAGACGATACACTTCCTACGTCCGACGGCATCCGAGACGTAACCGCTCATCAAGACACCGACCCAAGCACCGAGCTCGAGAATGGCAGTGAGGAAACCGGAGAGGGTAGGGTTCTGGATACCAGTGACACCACTGGCTTCAGTGAAAGAGTGCATGCTCAAGATCTGACCGAACATGCCCTGGTTGTAACCGTAGATGAGACCACCCATGGAGGCAAAGACGGCAATGGCAAAGGTACGGGCGTTCCTGATGAGACCCTTGGCACCAGTAGCGCCGACCATCGAGAGACGGTGGTCGGCGAGGGCCTGGGAGACATGATTGAGCTGACCAGTAGTAGCTCCGCCGGGCATGATGGGCGATGTTTCCTTTTTTTTCTTTCTTGAGGAGAAGGTGGAAGGACAACAGAAAGGGGAAGGAGGCGGGGATAGGACGACAGCAGGGGATGAACGACAACTGGGCGAAGGTGTGGGGCTGTCAAGTATTTCTACTTTTTCTGTGTCGCATTCTGACAGGCGTCAAAGAAACCCTATACACGCACGCTTGCACTCGCTGTGAGGTGAACGGCGACGAGCGAGATGAAGCTGGAAGTAAAGTAGGAGTGTACTGTACAGTATGCGGGGCAGATGAAGAAGAGGATGATTGGGCAGTATCGACGAGCGAGAGAGGGCGAGAGAGCCTACAAGTGCATGAGCACGCCCACCAAAACGCTGAGCAAGCGAACGAAATCATTGCATTGCAATCAGTTTCTCTTCCATTGAAACCTGAATCCTCTTTCCTTTCCTTCACTCCCCTAACGCCGTTCTTGCTTTGGTCTTGTAGACATGAACGTATGCTGTGTTGACAGGTTATGACAGGAGCGGACCACAGGTGGGACTGTTGTCAGGCTGTCGCTTGAATCACAACAAACATTGACTGAGTAAAAAGAGAAGGTTCAAGAAGAAAATGAATCATGAAAGAAAGGGCCGGCAACGGCGAGACAGAGACGGTCCACCGAGTAACACACACACACACACACACACACACACACAATCAAGAGCGCTTCAAGACAGACCTTGATACAGCCAGGTTTCATCTGGAAGACGACAGTCGCGCAAGTGAACTGAACCCACACGTCCAAAAGGAGGCAAGTCATCCACCACATCATATCGAAAGCGAGGCTTGTTTGTTTGTGTGCAACTTCAGATCGCGACAAGAGTGGACGGACCAGCTTACAAGACCAAGCAAGACACGGATACCGGTCTGACCGGACAAAGGGTTGCTGGACACAAGATCGAGAGCGAGACCGGCGCCGTTCAACCAAGAAAATGCCGAGAAGTAGCAGGTCACGATGCGAGTTCTTGGTCAACAGCATCACGGCATTGCACAGCACAACGCGACAAGCAGAGCATACGAGCCAAAAGGGAAGGTGAGAGTGAAGGTCGCCGGGCTGTTTGGAGACGGCGACGTTGGTCAATGTGAGAGGATGACCTTTTGGTTGTCGTGATATGAAACTAGCGAGAGGAAAAGCGCATCGAGCCAAAGCAGCATGGACGTAACCCTGTGATTCCCTCCAATTTCTCATTTCTGTTTTTCCCTCTCAATTTGCGGCGCTCCGCTTTCTCCACGGATGCCACATGATGGCAGACTCTCACTATCTCTAACGAGCAAAGCAGTGGTGCCTCTGTGTGTGTGTGTGTGTGTGTCGCCGGTCTGTCTACAAGCCACGTTTGGTGGTACCAGCATAGTGCAAACCCGAGCTCATCAGTTTGACCGATGTCTCACTTGGCGCCTGGTCAGAGCACAGCTCAACGATGCAATAGCCAGCGTAAGCCAGAATTCACCTATGAGTGCCACATTCGGAAGAAGCAAGGTTGACACTACTGTCAGACTTTGAGCTTATGTTATGCTCCGAGTATAGAAAAGGGGACGCGGGACATTGAGGCTAGGGCTAAACGCTTCTTGATCTACGTCACATCCCCTCGCAAGCGGGAAGAAACCATCCGAAGGGTCCCCGACTATCAACGTGGCTTGTATTACTGTGCCAACGGAAACATCAAGGTGTGGGGACCCCTTCTGGCCCCAGGGTCTTGCAGGTTTCCTGGGCGTTCTGCAGACCCTCATGGCCCCCCGTTCGTCCGTGTATGCTGACAAAGAAGCATGGCGGAAGCGGGAGAGACTTACCTTTGGTCGGTGTCCGTCGCGACCGTCTTGACGATTAATTGAGCAGCCATAGCTTTGTGCATACCAAAAGCCACTAGACTGTTTCATTCTCTGCAGGCTCAACGGCTAGGGCGTATAGCGCTTGTTCGGTGGTGAATGTAGACACGTCCGGATAGCCAGCACCTTTTTGGCTTCAGATACACTGATGCTGCCATCGCGTGGCGACGTCCTCTTGCTCTGCTGTACTAGCTCGGAAGCGTGATAGATTGAAATGTTGGCATCACAGTTCAGCTGCTCTAGTATCGTGCGTCGGGTTTTGTCACACAGTTGGGATAGGTCCAAGGTTTCAACCACTTGGTTGAGGTCATAGAGACACATCATGCTGTGTCTGTCGCTGCAGAGCAGACACAGTAAAATACTCGTGAATTTCGATGCCCCAATTATTTCTCAGATTATGAGTCAGAAAATCCCGCGAGTTTTCATGAGATCGACTTAATGACACCTGTCATCCATCGCTGCCACTCAGTGAAGCTCATACAAGCATCCCAATATTGCAGCCTAAAGAGGGCATGGGAAGAGCATTACGTTCAATAACACAGCGCTGCTCTAGATAGCAGAAAAGAATGCTTGATATGCATTAGCCCATCTGCAATTGTGGCTGTCGCGGACCCTTCAAACCGGCTGCCGACTCGATCTCACGCTTCGCCGCATCGCCTGAGTGCATGCCAACTCGGAGAGTATCGAAGACCGCAGCAAGATCAATCGACTGAAAGCTGGCATGCTATGCGAACAGAACCGATCTGAGGCTGTTGACTGTGAGCTCCAAGAGTTAACAACAGAAAGGGCGGGGGAAGCAAGGCGAGGTCGAGATGGAGCCAAGTGGCTAAAGATTAAGCGAGCTGCAAATCCACAGGCTCGCTACGATCATGCTCGATGCTGCCGCTTTTGCTTCCAACCAGCCACAGCAAACGTCGCCGGTCAACTCGGATCTCGAGTTGCTGATGCTCAAACCAACAGCACAGCAGAGTGCAGTCCATCCGTCTACCAAAGTGGGCCCCGCAATTCTAGATGATCTTTTTCTCTCCTTCCCTCGAAACAAAAGAACACACTCCAGTGCCCGGCGGTGTCAGGATGACTTCTGACAGCGCTATGGTTCAAACTCCTCTCTTTCTGTTCCCCTCGCAAAGACGACTTGGTGTTTGCCTTCCATCCCGGCGTCTTCCTTCCGCACTCGGAGATCTCTGTCCCTTCCCCCACACGTCTCTCGCGACTGCCGCTTGCTCGCCTTCGCTGCTAACCTGGTGTTTACTCTCCTTTGGGGATCTTGACCGGCGATCCCATCCATGGTCACCGGTACAACCTCCAACCATTCTGCCAAAGAAGTAAACGCAGAATGGCTGAGTCTTCTCATACCAAGTCTTTGTGCTCCTCCACAAAAGAAAGCAAACACATGCATGATTGCTCACACAACCAACGCTTCGTGTTCACAGCCACTTTTCTTGTTGAGCCTTGCTTACCTTACCTTGCTTGCTTGTTGATCATATTCGCTTCTGAGAGGTGGCTGCCTGATGAGGACCTCGCTGCCAAGGCAGGAAGGTGGGAAAGTAGAATGTTGCAGCATGCATTAGCTTTACATTGCCGTGCCGGTCGTCTCGGCTGCCCCCATTTTTCGCAATGCAACATGCGAAGGTTGCCCCGAATCCATACAAGCGAACAAAGTTGGTGGCTACACCATGCCAAGGCCAGCCGGTGACCTTGAGCTTGAGATGACATGGTCACGGACCATCGTCTTCTGCTTTGCAACCAGCTCAGAGACAATTGCGTAGAAGAAAGAAAGACCATCATACTGAGACAACGCTACTGCACCGGTGTTTCTCTTTGTCGCAGCAGCTCACGGATCGCTAAAGGGTCTTCTGCTTCCCCACATCGTCACTGGGGAGATTCTCATCTTACCTTGATCATCAGACACCATCAAGACCGGGCTTTATATAAGTACGTTCACAACTCCGCTTAACACACGAAACTGTCAAAAAGTCGCATCGGAACACCCCCTCCCCTCCTCTACCTCCTCCTCCTTCTCTTTCACTTTTCGATCTCACTCAGTTGCTGTCATCTTCTGCAGCTGGCATCGGATTGCTAACTTGGAACCGCCGGATCCCAGGGTGAACGTTCCCCTCGATAGACATCAAAGACTGCAGCTCCCACGAACAAGATGAAGGCCAGCGTCAAGTCCATGCTGGTGCTCAGCATCTATGCTGCCACTGCACTCACCGCACACGCTGCTTCACTCGAGCACCTCAACATGCTCTTCCACACTCGTCAGGCCGAAGCCATCAACGAGACCGAGTCCTCATCGCTCAACTGGAACATCAGCTCCGATGCCAACTCTGCCCTGGCAACTGCTCCCCTTGCCGGCACCTTCTACCGTGGTGGTCCTGAGTTTGCTGACCTCAACAGCCCTTTCCACCCTGTCACTGGTAACGGTGGTTGGGAGTGGGCCGTCGAGAAGGCTCGTAGCGTCGTTGGTCAGCTCACTCTCGACGAGAAGGTCAACCTCACTGCTGGTATCGTTGGTGGTCGCTGCGAAGGTACTCTTGGTCGTGTCGACCGTTTCGGTATTCCTGAGCTCTGTTTCCAGGATGGTCCTGCCGGTTTCCGTGCTTCCGACTTTGTCACCGTCTTCCCTTCTGGGGTTGCTTCGGCTGCCACTTGGGACCGTGACCTGATCTACCAGCGTGCTGCTGCGCTTGGTTCCGAGTTCAAGGCTAAGGGTGTCAACGTCCACCTTGGTCCTGTTACTGGTGGTCCTCTGGGCCGCAGTCCCTTTCAGGGTCGTAACTGGGAAGGCTTCGGTCCTGACCCTTACCTCCACGGTGAGGCTTCATACTACACTGTTGCTGGTACTCAGTCCGCTGGTGTCATTGCCACCGCCAAGCACTTCCTCGCCTACGAGCAGGAGACCTACCGTCAGCTTTACGCCGCCTCGGACCCCTTCACCCTCAACCGCAACAACAACACCTACCTTACCTACAGTGCCAACGTCGATGACCGTACCTTGCACGAGCTCTACCTGTGACCCTTCATGAACGCCGTTCGTGCCGGATCTGGTGCTATCATGTGTGTCTACAACCGAATCAACTCGACGCAGGGCTGCGAGAACTCGGCTGTTCTCAACACCATCCTCAAGGAGGAGCTTGACTTCCAGGGTTTCGTCGTCACGGACTGGTCGGCTGCCTTCAACACTTCCAACACCTACAACGGTGGTTCTGATGTCATTATGCCTGGTGGCATGACCGGTGGCTACAAGAATCTTGTTGGCGGGAAGGACCTCGTTCGCTCGCTCAACGAGGGTGAGATCAAGATCGAACGTATCGATGACGGTATCGTCCGTCTTCTCGCCCAGTGGTACCTCCGTGGCCAGGACAACGGTTACCCCACTGTCAGCTACAAGGACGGCTACCAGAACACCATCTACAACGGCACCGTCGTCAACGAGCATCGCAACGTCCAGGGTGACCACTGGAAGATCGTCAAGCAGATTGGAGAGGAAGCTGTTACCCTCATATACAACAAGCCCTCGAAGAAGGCTGGTCCCCAGGCTAGCACCGAGTTTGGCCTCGGTCTGCCTCTCAACAAGAAGGCTCGTGTTGCTATCTTCGGTAGTGACGCTGGTGCCAACCCTTACGGCATCAACTCGTGCCAGGACTGGATTGGTCTCGGCTCGCAGCTCTGCCCTGCTAATGCTACTTCGAATGGCACCCAGGCTGTCGGCTGGGGTTCCGGTGCTGGTTTCTTCCCTTACCTCATCGACCCTCTTGCTGGTATCTCTGAGGTTGCTAAGGAGGGCCACGGTGCTGTGCTTAGCAACCTTAACGATGTCGGCGATGCTCAAAACCGAAAGCTCATTAGGCAGAACGCTGGTCTCGCTGATGCTTCCATCGTCTTCGTCCAGGCCAGGTCTGGTGAGGACAGTGACCGACACAATCTCCGTCTCGATGCTGAGGGCGATGAGCTCATCAAGCTAGTCGCTTCGCAAAGCAACAACACCATCGTCGTTATGCACACCGTCGGTCCCGTTCTCATGAGTGACTGGTTCGACCACCCTAACATCACTGCTCTTGTCCTTCCTCACTTGCCCGGTCAGGAGTCTGGTTCTTCGCTCGCTCGTGTTCTCTACGGTGACGTCAACCCCTCCGGTAAGATGCCCTACTCCGTCCTCTCCAACAAAGACGCGGTGCACTACCCCAAGATCGTCGGCAGCCCGGCCAGCGACCCTCAGGTAGACTTCACCGAAGGACTCTACATTGACTACCGTGCATGGGACAAGATGGGTCTCGAGCCTCTCATCCCCTTCGGTCACGGTATCTCGTACACCAATTACAGCTACTCGAACCTCCAGATTCAGAAGTCTGCTGATAACTGCTTCGCTCCCACCGAGGTCAAGGCCAGCCAGGGAGGCGACAAGGCTCCTGGTGGACCGGGAAGCCTGTTCCAGTACCTCGTTGAGGTCACTGCTGATGTCCAGAACGTCGGCGGACGAGAGGGTCATGAGACTGCCCAGCTTTACATTGGCTACCCTGAGGCTGCTGATGCACCCATCAAGCAGCTCCGCGGTTTCGATAAGGTCAAGTACCTACAGCCCGGTCAGGCTAAGCAGGCTACTTTCAAGCTCACCAAGCGTGACTTCTCGGTTTGGGACGTTGTTAAGCAGAAGTTCGACGTCGTTGACGGCCAGTACAAGATTTGGGTCGGCAAGAGCTCGCGTGAGTCTGACCTTACGCTTCGCGGCTCGGTCACCATGCAGGGTGGCAAGGTTGCCAACTACAGCGCCAGCTCGTAAAGAGTCGGAGAAGATTGAAAACCAACAAAGACGATGGGGCCTTTAGAAAGGGCTCATCTCAGGGAAATTCGCATGCTCTGTCCATACTTTTCATCTTAGGCCCCTTTCAATGCAATGTCGCAACTGTCTCCTCGCACTGCTTGTCGCAATGTGGAAGTTGATGTCCATGATCAGATCAAGGTTCCTTGCAATAGTGAGAAGCATGCGGAACTGTTGAGGAATGCACAATCAGGGGCGGTAAAGCAAGTGGCGAATCGTTGGCATTCGTAGAGAACTAAGTACAAAGCAATATCAGAAGTATATATGCCTCTATTGTCAGTTGATGTGTGCGTATATAGATGAGGTGACACGTATGATTGCATGCTGTTGTCGGATGGTGGCGACGCTGAGCGAAGTTTGCGGTCATGTTAGAGCATGAGTACGCGGTCATGTGATTTCACTGGAACTACATGTTGGACATGGTGAATTGCTCACTCTTCAGGTTGTTAAATTCTGCTCGACTGCGGCCAAAACTAAAAGGACGCGTCAACGCCATCTTGCTTCCGAGCTAAAAGATCTAACACTTTGCACGCCGATTCCTGTTCTCGTGTAACCACCATGATCCTCGCTTGCCGATTCCTCATCTTCACATCCTCCCCTTGCTTGGTCCAATAGTCTCGAAATGATCAGGGTTCGTCACCCGCAAGGAACGTCCTCATTCCAGGTCGACGACTGCTCCACTACACTCTCAGAACTGCAAACCTACATCGAGCAGCAATCCGGCCTTTCAGCCTCCGACCAAGAGCTCAAGATTGGCTACCCACCAAAAGCTCTCTCTCTCACATCCACATCTCCTGAAACACTGCTAAGCTCAGATGCGATTGGAATCAAGAAGGGTGAGCAGGTGATCGTCGCTCGTCGAGCAGGCACTGCCTCCGCTGCTGCTTCCGCACCATCTTCATCCTCTGCATCCTACGGCGCAACATCGTCGTTCGGAGCTATGGGCGGCCCCAAGCCAAACATCTCTACCGCTACCGGTCCTCGCTCTTCCGGCCTGGGAATCAGAACTCTACAAGACGGCCTTACTGCCCAACAACCTCCCTCTTCATCCTCTTCAACATCTGCATCGAACAAAGTCGCCGACGGAAGCGTCTCCATCCCTCTCCGCTCATCATCAGGCTCGCTAACACTCAAAGTAGTACCGGACGACAACTCATGCTTGTTCAACTCCATCGGCTACCTCTTCTCACATCAGCTTTCAGCTTCTACCTGCAGCGACCTTCGACAAACGGTAGCCTCTTCCATTCGATCCGACCCAGACTCGTACCTCGATATCGTCCTTGGCGAGCGACGAGAGAGCTATATTTCTAAGATTACTTCGCCTCAGACCTGGGGTGGAGCAATCGAGCTTTCTATCCTTTCGAAGCACTTTGCGGTTGAGATCGACTCTATTGATGTTGCGACAGGGACAGTGCACAGGTTTGGAGAGGATATGGGGTACGAGAATCGAGGCATTGTGATTTATAGTGGTATCCACTACGACGCACTGCAGCTGAACGAGGCAAGTGGGGAGGGGACGACGATCTTTCCCAATCTGAAAGCAATTGGAATATCGGAGCAGGAAGATGAGATTCTTCAAGCAGCGAAGGAGCTGGTGAAGGAGTTGAAGAGGAGGAGGTACTATACGGATACGGCAAACTTTAGTCTAAAGTGCAAGACGTGCGGCAAAGGGCTGACGGGGGAGAAGGAGGCTGTAGAGCATGCGAAGAGCACTGGTCATGGAGATTTTGGTGAGGTCTAAAGCAAGTATCCCGCTCACAAGCTTTGCTTCAAACTCAGGTATGAGCGGAATACAATCTATCCGACTCGTACAGATTGACCTGAATGTGCGTCTGATTGTGAACTGTAATGAAACACTACCTGGGCCTGCTCGACTGTCTCAACTCTTTGAGGATCGACCATCTGCAGCAATCCCTTTGTCACTCTTCTCTTGGTCAGCTCCGATTGAATCGAATGCGATTCAGGGTCTGTGATTCTACCTGCCTTCTTTCGACACAAAGAATCTTCTACGTCATCTGCCGGTACTTGAACATCTACCTCCTGTCTCGTTGCTGCCTTGACAAACGACCGAACTCGGGACTCGATGCAAGACCTGAAGCAGAATTGACAAATCGCTGCTTGTAGACGCATCAAAAGTGGCGGCATCGTAAGCTGGCTGGCAAGGCTGGCTTGCTGCACTGCAACGGAGCGTGAACTCAACTCAAAACATCAGCATTGTTCCCTTTGTTCCAGCTGATATGGTTAGGTTGACTTCGATACGAACAAAGGGAACACATGAATTCTTGCCACGCGTTCCGGAAATTTTATTTCTGCCACATGGCAACACAAAGCAGCTACAGTATTCCCTTTGTTCTCGAGTTCGTTTCATGCTGTTGTTGTTGTTGTTGTTGTTGTTGTTGGTGGAGGTGGTGGTGGCTTTGCTAACCCACTTATTAAAGAACGAATGGGAGGTCGAAACAGCTCCTTTGTGATTGTGACATCATAAGTACAAAGATGCAGCGCTTGGACCCTTGGGTGCGGTGCCTGTAGCCTGCGTCCGAGATGCTGCAGTGTGCTTGCGTGGACTTGCACAAAGGGAAGTGAAGGCTTCCTTTTGTGGTTTCGTTTCGTTGAGGTTGATCTGGTTGTGCCGGATGCGGCTCGAAAGGGAAAGTAAGATGTAGATTGGTATTGAATAAGCTCGACAGAAGACTGAGTCGGGTCACAAGCTTTGGACGGTATGTGACGTTTGGTGGGCGTCAACATGCATCGTCTCTACGCCCCTGTCTCGGCAGCACAATACCCGCTGTTGAGACACTCCCCTTTCCCTTTGTTCTCGCCTCTTCCGCTTCCGGCATCCCCTCATAACCCTTCCTTCGTTCCTTTCGAGTCTATAAATCCACTCCCTCTTTCGAAGGTCAACACCTCGTCAGCCCTCCTTCAGTCCCATCATGTCACCCAAAATGACTCTTCTCAACACACTCATCTGTCTAGCATGCAGCTTCATCACCTGCATCCACCCTTGCGATGCTGCTCCTCTCCTTCCCACCTGCTCATCTAATACTCAATGCTCTTCCTCAAATGCTCTCCAAGTCAACCTTCCTCTTGGCCCCGTCCTAGGCACAAGCACGTCTTACTCGGCACAACGATTCACTCTACCCTACGCACAACCGCCGGTCGGCCCTCTGCGTTTTGCTTCCCCTCAACCCCTCACTTCATTCAAGACCTCCGGAGTCTACGATGCAACGCATCTTCCTCCCGCGTGTATGCAAAGCCCCGATTCAAGATACAAGATCGACAATGTCAGCGAAGATTGTCTTTACCTCAACATTTACCGCCCCGCTCCTAGCTCTGGGAGTGGTTCGAAGCCGGTGTTGGTCTGGTTACATGGAGGAAGCTTTGTTTCTGGCTCTGCCGCTGCTCCTGGTTTGGATGGCTCGTATCTGGCTTCGCAAAACAATGTGATTGTTGTCACGATCCAGTATAGATTGGGAATGTTCGGGTTCTTCTCCCCAGCAGGCGCTACCGACGAAGCTTCAACGTCGAGAGAAAAAGTACAAGGAAATCAGGGAGTGAGAGATGCAATGCAAGCATTGCATTTCATCAAATCCAACATTGCTGCTTTTGATGGTAATCCTAACGCTGTTACGCTGGCAGGTCAGAGTAGTGGAGCACACCTGATTCGATCGCTTCTCAACTCCCCCTCTGCTTCTCCACTCTTTTCCCGGGCTATTCTGCATTCTGATCCGGCCAATTTCGGGACTCAAACCCTCAGCACTAGCCATGGTGTTAGTCAATTTGCGATGGAACAGACGGGCTGTAGCAACTTAGCTTGCTTGCGGGGTCTCTCGGCGGAAAAAGTGTTGGATGCAAGTTCAGCAACAGCACAAGCAGGACAAGGGATCGACGAAGCAGTAGCTGTCTCTGAAGTTTTTCGTCCCTTCGTCGGTGCCCTTACCGGTTCCGCATTCGAAGCTAGCCCAGGCGCGAGTGGGAAACCAATCATCTTGACCAATGTCGAAAATGAAGCTGGGTCAACAGTTGGGCAAATGCTCCTCCCCACTTCTCCTGGAGCAGATTCGGCTCAGCTTCGCGCCTATCCCATCTCTTTACCGCGTGACCAACTGCTGGAGCAGATGTTCAACGGTGGTCGAGCCTCGGCTCTCTCCTCGGCAGCACAGTACGGTATGGAGACCAACACTTCCGCTTACCCACTGGCAGCTCGAGTCCAGCCTTACTCCAACGCGAACGACGGTCTGCGTAGAAACCTTGAAACAATCCTCGGCCAAGGCATGTTCACCTGTCCGAACTGGTTCAATGCTCTTCGACACTCTTCTAATGCCTTTATCGCGCTTTTTGAGAGGGGTATTACTTATCCTTCCAACGCTGGTAATGATTACTGCAACCAAGAGGGGAGGATATGTCACGAAGATGACATCCAACTGGTGTTTATTGATCCCAACAAGGTTGCAGCTGAAGTGGCGAGGACCGTGAGGGAAGTTCAAGCAAGATGGATTGCGTTTGTAAGGAGTGGGAATCCGAATACAAGCAGGTACCCAGGTTGGACTACAGCGGGAGGAAACACGGCGGTTAGCGCCAAGGTGATGAGGCTAGGAATGTATGGCGGGGGAAGTGGGGGATCGATGCTGGACACGATATCTTTGCAGGCGGGGCAGTACGCTGGATGTGGTCAGGTGTGGGGTGGTAAAATCAAGTTTGATTGGCAGATGTATGGGTGAGCACATAGGAGCCTTCGACGGCGTCATCGTCTGGAACGCTAGTATTCTTTCTGTGTCGTGTTTGCTGTCGCTAATCGTCCCATTGCACCGTCTCTACACGTTGTTCTTGTCTACATGTAACATTCCTTCGCTTTTGTCATAAGATGCAGTTGTCCGCAGTCATATGAATCCTTCTCCTCACTCACTGGATCGCCATGTCAAACAGTGCGACAGTGGACAGTCTCATGAGAAGGAGCAATGCTGATGCTCATCGGGAGATCGGCATTCATTCATCGGGCATAAGGCATTTGGCCTCGATGCAGTGTTCAGATTTTCGAATCCAATTTCCATGTCGAATTGAAGGCGTGCTTGAATATAAATCAATTGTATAGCACTTTGAGATCGGGAGAAGATGGAAGAAACCGGGCCAAGACCACAGTGAGCACGGGCCAACGTGGGAATTCTGGCCAAAAAAAATGTTGCGTTTGTTGGAAGGCCCCCTCCTTCCCGATCACCACATCCATCCATATACCTTTGCTGCTGTATCCGCACACCAAGCTGGTATATGCCGTCACCCATCCGCGCAACATCCACCTCGATCCGTAGACTCTCTCAGACCGCTCGTCAACTGTCCAACGGTATCGCTCCTCTGCCGCAACTAACAACCATGGCTTCCGCTCAAGACTACAAGACCCGCCCTGTCGGTTCCCCCAACACGCTCGACTACCGAGTCTATCTTGAGAACACCAAAACCGGTCTTCCGGCCTCCCCCTTCCACGATGTTCCCCTCTTCGCCGACGAGTCCAAGACGATTCTCAACATGATTGTCGAAATCCCTCGTTGGACCAATGCCAAGATTGAAATCTCCAAGGAAGAAAACTTGAACTGTTTCAAACAGGACACTAAGAAGGGCAAGCTTCGATTTGTCCGAAACTGTTTCCCTCACAAGGGTTACATTTGGAACTACGGTGCCTTCCCTCAAACTTGGGAAGATCCTAATCACACCCACCCCGATACAAAGGCTAAGGGCGATAACGATCCGCTGGACGTCTGCGAGATCGGTGAACAGGTCGGTTACACGGGTCAGATCAAACAGGTGAAAGTCTTAGGTGTTATGGCTTTGCTAGATGAAGGCGAGACTGATTGGAAGGTGATTGTGATCGATGTCAATGATCCTCTCGCTTCCAAGCTCAACGATATCGAGGATGTAGAGCGTCATTTGCCTGGTTTGATTCGGGCTACGAACGAATGGTTCAGGATTTACAAGATTCCCGATGGAAAGCCGGAGAACCAGTTCGCTTTCTCGGGCGAGGCCAAGAATAGGAAGTACGCTACCGAGATCGTTCACGAGTGTAACGAGGCTTGGAAGAGGCTTATTAGCGGTCAGACCGATGCGGGTGAGATTAGTTTGACTAACACTAGTGTTCAGGGTAGTAAAGGGTTTGTGGGTGGAAATGATGGTGCTGTGGCTCAGGCGCCTAAAGCTAACCCGCAGGCTGCTGCTCCTATTGATCCTAGTATTGACAAGTGGTTCTTCATTTCTTCTTCGTCCAACTAAAGCGCACGGTGCTAGATCTCAGTCGAGTGAAGCTCATGGCGGCTTTTATGTGTCGCTAGGAATTGATTGATTGCAATTCAAATTCTCAATCAAAAGTCATTCCTCACTGTGTCAGCGAATCGCAAGTGCTGATGTCGGGCTGGTATTGGTTGAGCGCAAACTGGACATGACTTTCTGCAGTAAGATGCGACGAGTTTCGGGACGATCACTGGTGTTGCTCCTGTTGCAAGCGCTGCTTCTTGCGCTTCTTCTGAAGCTTTTTCTTCCTATTCGCTGCCGTGTTACTCCCGCCTCCTTTCTTCGCCTCTCCTTTCGTATCTTTTTCTTCTTCTTGCTCGTCGTCGTTGTTGTCCTCTCTCTCATCTACGACCTCCTCACCCTGCCTCTTTCGTTTCCCATTCCCCCTTCCCTCAGTCCCCTGTTTGTGATCCCCCTCCCTCACCGCAACCTCGGCCTCCCCATTCGTCCTGTCGCGGATGAAACAAGCAACAAAAAAGCCATTACAACAATCAACCCTCGGTCTCACCCCCTCCACCTGCCCTGCAACTCCACCGGGTACACATCTAATCAGGCATTCCCTCACCTCGTCCCCTCTTTCCCCCGCTTTCTTACAGGCTTCCGGATCGCCTCTCACTTGCCAATTGGGAATGACATGCATTCTGGGAGCCAGTTTCCAGCCGTGACGTTTTGCTTCTTCGGTGTCCAGCGCGCGTAGTACGACCGATTCATTCTCCTGGGCATGGATAGAGCAGGTTGAATAGACCAGTTTGATGAGCGAGGGGAATTTGAATGCATGTCGGAGCATAACAAGTTGGAAATCCGAGAGCGAAGTCAGCCGACGTTGCAGCTTGGTTGTTCCTGTTTCTCCCACTACGGCACTGCTGGTGGTAGTGGTGGAAGAGGAGGGAGAGGGGGGTAGTGGGTCCTCGGAATCCTCATCCTCTTTCAAAAAATCTAACCGGTTAACAATTCCACTTCCGCTACAACTGGGATCGACAAGCATATGCGTTACTCGACTGAACTCGTCCGGTTTTGTTGTGAGAAAGTCTTTTCTATGCGCTACAACATTCCCCTTTTGCACCTGTCCGTTATTCTTCTCTACTTCAGCTAGAGCGCCGAGAGCAGAAAGTCGTTTTAGCAAAGTTTTATACCGAATCCTATCCCTCTCAAACGCATAAACCCTGCCCTGATTTCCTCCTTTGGCAAGCATGATAGCTGAAAGATGACAAGTCTTATTCCCAGGTGCACTAGTAGCATCTACAACGTCCACCACACCTTGTTCCTCCGCTAGTAAAATATAGGCCGGGAAACAAGAGGCTAGATCTTGCATTATAACCCAACTCTTCTTATATACCTCACTTCCTAGTAAGGCACTTGTAGCTTTTGGATGGAAGGCGAGTAATGAAGGTACATGTGGTGATTCCATATATTCCCTTATCCCACCTAGTTCTGGTCCGTCGACTTTGATATATCTATTCTCTGCTAACCAGTGGTGAATTTGGGTGGCAGAGGAGCGTAAAGTGTTGATACGCATCCAACGAGGTATACGAGCAGACATTTCTTGAAATAGTGCACCACTACGTAGGTCTGTTATCCGAGACTTGCCAGAACGGATTTGAACTTTCACCAAACACGAGTGCAGGCAGGCTTTATATCTTTCAAGTGTCATCTTGGGAGGCCATGTTTTCGAAGCTTGGATTCCACGCGATTGGAAGAGCAGATCATGGCATAGGACTAGAAGGAAAGCTTCTTTCGATGGCCACTCTCTCTGTTTTCCGTTTTTGAAGGGTTTGCCTTTGGTGTGGGCAGCGTTGTTGCCGTACTCCTTTCCCTTTCCCTTTCCGGACTGCTTTGTGTTGGGAGGGGAGTGTAGCGTGAAAACCTTTTCTTCATTCTTCAAAATCCTAGCTTCCTCCAAGGCCAACATTAGTGCACTTCGATAGGCAAGCGAGTTAACAAGGATGGCTAGAACTCGTCCCGAATCGGGATGAGACGCAGCAGCAGCTTTGACCGAACATTCATCTTTGAGTACTCGATCGAGTGAGACAGCTGATCGTATGTAGAAGTCTGCCATCCTGGCTGAGTGCAGCCAAGAATGCAGCTAGGAAGAATGGAGGGTGGTGAGTGATGTGATGTCGGAGGTCGAGAAGGAAGGAAGAGAGGGAGGGAAGAAAGGAGACGAGGCAGCCTGAATATGCAATTTCTTCTTGATAGTGCCAAAAATTCTCTCCACATTTCCGGCTTTCTTTGTCCGCGTTCCGAGACCTCTTGCACGTGACTTGGCGTGCACATCTATGCTGGACTAACACGCGTCGCAAGCCACTCGATTAATTGGCTTTGTTTACTCCTTACTCGTTTCCCACCTTGCCACCACCATCTTCTCATCCCGCCAAGTGTCGCTTCAAGATCTACCTTTCCAATCTTTCTTTTCTCTTCGGGCATGACAGGCATTGAAACGTGTGGGTATTGGAAGAGAGAGAGAAGAAGAGTAGACCAAAAAAAAAAAAAAAAAAAAAAAAAAAAAAAAAAAAAAAAAAAAAAAAAAAAAATAATAATAATTTTTTACGAGTGACAACCACGACGATATTGAAGTACAAGCGGACAAACTTTGAGTTAGTGAACGTGAGTTTAGCCCTCACGAGGAGTGGCAGCTCCAGTTCCAGGCACCACATTCTGCAACGATGGAGCAGCTTGACTGAACTTCTCCCTCAAACTCTCAACTTTGCCTTGGGTGCTAGGAGGAGCAGTAGGAGGAGTAGCGTTGATCTTATCTTTACTATTCTGCCGCGAAGGTGTGCGCTGATCGTTCTTGGGTGGTCGCGGTGGACTAGTGGGGGTTGCAATGGTGGTAGCCGAATCGTGCGTCATGTCGTTGGCCGCAGGTGACGATGGTACTGCCAGTGGCGGCGTGGCTGTTGTGTCGGTCTCATTGGCAGCAGCGGTTGCAATGTGCACGTCATCGTGAGACTGCGAGCCGGCAGGAGTAGCGAAGCGGGCCGTTTCCGTGGAAGGGCGGACACTTGGGGTAGCTGCTACGCCACTTGCGGCTGTACCTGGCCTTGCTGATTCTGAGACTGCGCTCTGCTCTTTGATCTGTTCAACGCTTCCATTGGCAGGAGGAGGCGCTTCTGCTGCAGCTTGCGCCTGCTCAGTTCCCGAAGCTGGTGCCTCTGTCGCTGTTGTTGCCACCGCTGCTGTTGGCTTGGAAGCAGAGCCTGTACTCTCGAGCTGGGACAGCTCTTTTCGAACGGAGCTCCTGCGCTGAGGAATGCCACGAGACGCCGAGGCCGAAGCGGGTACAACAACGCCGTTGGCACTTGGATCAACAGAAGGGACCGGTTTACGCGAGAGACTACCCGACTTTCGAGATGAGGAGTCGTTGGAGGCAGCAAAGGTGGAAGTGCGGAAGGATTGGTTGCGAGAGGGTGCGGCAGGAGGTGGTGGAAGCGACTGGCCCGCCTTTGCATCGGCAGTAGCATCAGATGCGCCGACGACACTTGTAGACGTACTTGGGCCAGCCTCCTCGAAGATGGTACCGTTAGTAGCACCTGTCAGCGGCGCCTTGTCAAGAAGAGCGTTTTTGCGCTTGTGCGTCTCTTCGAGATCTTTCAAGTCCTTGAGACCAGCGGAGGATTTGGTAATCTCGGGAGGAGTGTCGAAGGAGAACTGCTCGAGTTGGTTGGGTAGATCGAGGGAAGGAGCCTCTTCGACATTCTCAGAATCCTTGAAGGTGGGGATCCATTGACGTCGCTCTTTGAGGAACTTTTGCATGTCGACGCTAGTGGTAGCAGCATCGGTGGGCTTGGTAAGATCGCGAGCGGTGAGATCGATTTGTCCCCATTGGACACCTTTGCCAGCGAAAAGCTCAGACGGACGTGGCCCACCGGAGGGGCTAAGAGGCAAACCAGCAAGACCTGCCGAAGCATTCTGAGCGACAGCATGGGCAAAAGAGGCGCTTGCATCGGTTGGAGTGCTCAAGGAAGGAACGATGGCTGAAGGAGTCACGACCGGAGGCGGGCCAGGAAGGAGAGCCGACTTGGCATTGCTCAAGCTGGTACGACTGGCATGCTTGGAGGTGGCGCCGTTGAAGTAGTGGCAAGACTCAAGGTTCTTGTTGGGCTGAGAAGGCGAGCGACCATCGATGCTCTGAGCATCCTTCCTACGTGTGCTACCAAAGAACTTCTTCATGCTGGACGAGTTGCGAGAAAGGAGTGAGGATGCTTCGGAAGCGTGTGATGGACCGCGGCGATTGTTGTTGAGCTGGCCGAATTCGGGACTGTCACCGATAACGTCGGAAGCTTCTTGGTTGTTGTGGTGGTTATCTGGTTTATGCTTGCTAAAGCTGGAAGTGTCGGAAGAGTAAGATTTACGCGACTTGAGACCAAAGATGGACATTGTCCTTTGCGAAGATGGAGGAGCTGGGAGGAGAGAAGGATGCGAAGGAAAGCTTCTGAAACGGTTGGAGGGACTAAGCTACGAGCAAGCCTTGCAGTTACAGCGGACGAGATGAGGGGTTCGCTCTCTTGATACAGCGTTACCAGGCCGAGGAGGGTTGCAACGAACGGGCAAAGAGCGATATGGTGGATCGATCGACTGTCGAGATGAAGCACTTGAATCTAATCGTGACAAGTTGGATGGATACAGCTTTGTGGTTGGGCGTAGTCAAGCTAGTGTGATCGATTGTAGAAGGCAGAAAGGCGAAGCCGGTGTGGATGCGTGAATGTCTATGTTGCAAGCTGTTGTGATGATGATGATGATGATGGTGATGAGCGAGCTGGCGCAAGAAGGGAGTAGTGTTTAGTGAACAAGTGAGTGTGGGTGTGGATGTGGAAAGAGGCGGGTGGAAAGTTGAATGCGTGTGCGTCTTCTCACTGGGGACGTGCGTTTTTGCGTTTTTGCGTTTTTGCGTTTTTGCGTGCGTGCGTGTGTGCGTGTGTGCGTGTGTGCGTGCGTGTGTGCGTGCGTGCTTGGGTGGGTTGACGCTTGGCTTGACACACACAGACACAGACGCAAATAGTGCCTTTCCGAATTTATGCTTTCTTTCGCTGTACACTTGAGCACAATCTCACAAGTAGCAATAATGTTGGGAACAAGTGCTGCTAACATTAATGCCAAAAATGGTGATCGACCTCAAGATCGGACTTCCCTGGCCCGATTTGTAAGAACAAGCCAACGGTCGCGCTCTCAAATCTGAGAAGAAGCTGGAAGAAACCAAAGCAATGCGCAGGGCAGGCATGCCGACCGCCAAAAAAAGTGACACTTTGACTCTTCTGATGCTCTTCGGAGTAGCCGACACACTGCTCTTCCTTTTGTCACAGCTCTTTCTTTTGTCACACCTCTTCCTTTGTCACTCCCTATCCACCTCGAATCCGTCACACTTTCCTCGACGCCTATCACCTCTGTATCGGATCCCTTCCGCCAGCACGCCGTTGGTCACCTGACACTCAGCCGGTCCTCTCCGAATACAACGGCAGATCCGACTCTTGCTCCAACTCAGCATTTAGCAAAGCAACTGAGACGGATCGCTGCTAGCAACACCAACACCAACACCACCTCCCGCCTTCCCCCCCCTTCATATACTACCACCGCCAACATGTCGGGTCAGCAACCCGTGTTCGTCATGAACACTGGTCCGGAGCGTCAGTCCGGTCGCAAAGCTCAAACCTCCAACATTACTGCAGCCAAAACCGTCGCCGATGTCATTCGTACCTGTCTCGGTCCCAGGGCCATGCTCAAGATGATCCTTGACCCCATGGGTGGTATCCTCCTTACCAATGACGGAAACGCCATCCTTCGTGAAGTCGAAGTGGCTCACCCTGCTGCCAAGTCAATGATCGAACTCAGTCGAACTCAGGATGAAGAAGTCGGTGATGGAACCACGAGTGTCATCATTCTTGCCGGAGAGATCCTTGCTCAGTCCTTGCCTCAGCTCGAACGTGGTATTCACCCCGTCGTCATCATTTCCGCATTCAAAAAGGCACTTGCAAGAGCGCTCGAGATTGTCAAAGAGATCTCTGTGCCTGTTGATGTTACCAACGACAAGGAGATGCTGGCTCTCATCAAGACTTCCATCGGTACCAAGTTCCTCTCGAGGTGGTCAGAGCAGATGTGCAAGCTCGCTCTCAAAGCTGTTCGCACCGTTGCCATGGTTGATTCTACTGCAAGCGATCCTATCAAGACCGTCGACATCAAGCGTTATGCCCGTGTTGAAAAGGTCCCCGGGGCCACCATCGAGGATTGCCGTGTCCTCGACGGTGTCATGCTCAACAAGGACGTCACTCACCCCAAGATGAGGAGGCGTATCCAGAACCCGCGCATCATGCTCCTCGATTGCCCGCTCGAGTACAAGAAGGGAGAGTCGCAGACCAACATCGAGATCACCCGCGAAGAAGATTGGAACAAGATCCTCGAAATCGAAGAACAGCAGATCCAGTCCATGTGCGAAAAAATGATCGAGTTCAAGCCCGACCTTGTTTTCACCGAAAAGGGGGTTTCCGACTTGGCGCAGCACTACCTGCTCAAAGCCAACATCACTTGCATCCGACGTGTTCGCAAGTCCGACAACAACCGTATCGCTCGTGCCACCGGTGCTACCATTGTCAACCGTGTCGATGACCTTCGTGATGCTGATATCGGTACTCGCTGCGGTCTCTTCCACATTGAAAAGCTCGGCGATGAGTACTTCACCTTGCTGGAAGAATGCAAGGAACCCAAAGCATGCACCATCCTCCTCCGTGGTCCTTCCAAAGATATCCTCAACGAGATCGATCGAAACTTGGCCGATGCTATGGCTGTCGCACGTAACGTGGTTTTCAACCCTCTGCTTGCACCGGGTGGAGGTGCTACTGAGATGGCCATTGCATACCGTCTTTCCGAATTCGCAAAGGAGCTCGAGGGAGTCGAAGTTGGTCCCATCCGTGCAGTCTCTGATGCCATGGAAGTCATCCCTCGAACCTTGATTCAGAACTGCGGTGGAAACGCAATCAAGACTCTCACCACCCTCCGTGCCCAACACGCCAATGGTCAACACTCGTACGGTGTAGACGGCGAATCCGGAAAGGTGGTCGAGATGAAGGAATACGGTCTCTACGAATCGGCCGCGGTCAAGATTCAGACCCTCAAGACGGCGATCGAGTCAGCAAGCTTGTTATTGAGGGTCGACGATGTTGTTTCCGCCAAGAGAGCGAGACAGGCTGGTGGTGGAGCTGGTCCGGGTGTACAGGCTCCTGATGCCGGCATGGGTGAGGATGCCGGTCCGGATATGCCTCAGATGTGAACAAAGGTCAAAGTAGCAAAAGCCTGACGGTTGTATATATACAGTCTTGCCATCCCTACCCGCAGAAGAAGGATTGCTTACTAGAATACACATGTGAAAACGCTCGTCATCGGCTGTGCTGTCATTGTCCAAGGCAATCTTGTTCGCGAATATCAGACCAGAGAAGAGGAAGAACAAAATGAGCGAGCATGGCTAAGGAGTGCATAAAAACAATCCAAAGCATCTAGATGTATATGAATCTAAGGGCAACTATGAAAACTGAATAAGATCTATGCTACCGACCTGCGTCTATCTTCTCTGTCTTACCTGACCGGATTACCTGACCGGATTACCGGCAGGAGTCCTGCTTACGGTTGGCGTAGCTTTCTCAGCGCCATTCAACCCTGCAGTGGGACTGGGAGTGGTTTGCTTCCCCGCATTGGCATTGGCATTGGCATTGGCATTGGCAGCTGCATCCTTTCCTGTATCAACCAACTGACTCCCATCTCTACCTCTCCAGATGCCATCTCGTTGATCGACCATACCATACAACTTTGTGCTTTGGTTTCTCTCCAGTGCTTGCATCCATTCTTGCACGATCCCTTTACTATCCACCATAACGTTAATCTCCTGGCTGTGGAACCAACTTTGTGTATCTTGATTCCCTGAGCCCAGAACTGCCACTTGGCCGTCGAATGCAGCAAACTTTACATGGCAATTCCTCTGTTTCCTCACCGCATTCAAGGGTCTAGTCATGTCTTTACCTGTATACCAATAAACTTCTAAATATTTCTCATCTCCTTTCCCTTCCCGTCGCAATTGCCGGTAGAATGCGGTAACAACTTGTTCATTCGTCCCCCCCTGGAACGGCATGGATTCGGATTTATCGTTGAATCCCAAATCCAACCAAAGTTCCACCTTTACGTGCCTCCGCACGGCAGCTAGAACCGCAGCTTTGATCGGAGAAGCATTCAGCGTGGGGCTCTGAATAAAGATGTGTTTCTTCGCATATCTGAATCCAGCCAACCAAGCCGCATCCTGCGGGTTCCGTATATCCGAATGCCCCGGGGTGCCGTGTGGTCGACGATTCACAAGTGCCATAGGAACAGGTGTGTGAGGCTTATGAAAGATGTACGGTTGGAAACCAAGTACGTCGTTAAGCGCTTCCAGTTTTCCATCCGAGAGATTTTCAGCGGTAATCTCGCCCTGAACTTTCGAGTTGTTGGCGAAATCAAGCGCTTTGGTGATGGTCGAAAGTCTTTCAGCTGCGGAGGATTTGGAGATTTGCGAGAGGGTTCGCCGATGGACTCTTCGATAGCCAAGTGATCCTGGTGCGCCCGCTTCTTCTTCCTTTGTCTTCGAAGAGGCAAGTTCAGGGCAAGTAGAGGCGTTGGTGGAGGCTTCTTGCTTCGATCTGAAGACCTCAGTATTGATCGCAGGAGCAGCAACTGCAGTACTCGTACTATCTTCCTCCATCATCCCCCCACCCCCATTGGAAGCACCAATCACATTATCACCCTCACTAACAACACTACCATCACCACCACCACCTTCCACACTCTCCCCTTCTTCCCCAACCGCTGTATGGCTCCTCGCCAAACTGTCCTGATCCACCTCTAAACTTCTCTTCCAATCTCCATCCTCTTCCGCTTCCTCCACCGCCGTTGGAATATTCGCACCACTAGCCAACGTTGTCTTTGGTCTTGGATTCCTTCTAACTTCCTCGGCCACATTCTTAGAGGAGCTTTGACCTAGACCAAAGACTTCCAGTGCTCCTTCAGCCCAGGCGGGGGGTTTGTGACCTTCTTTCATCATGAGTGCCTCTACTACGTCTGCGAGGTGTTTTCGTTCTCGTGTTGGAGCGGCGGGTGGAACTGATTCTGATCTTTCGATTTGGCCTGGTGCAGGCGGTCCAGCTTCGGATGTTTTGTTGGTAGCGTGTTGGAAATGATGAAAACGTTCGCCTAGAACTTTTTGCGCCCATAAAGCACCTGCGTTTCTTGCTGCTTTCTCTCCATCCACTCCATGGCCTTCTCCATCAGGCGATTGCGCACCTCTGGTTGCAAAAGAGTCCCGACGCATGATCTGATCCATCTTATCACCGAAATGAAACGTGATTGGGCTCTGCAAGCTCCTCTCCTTCTCCACTTCGGTAGCTGTATCCTCGTCGTGCAACGTCTGCCTTACGTTTAGTGCCAGCTGTTTGAGCTTTTCCACCGTCAGACTCGGCAGTGTACTCTCGTCTCCTGCCATAAACGCAGCTGGACTTGGCGCTACCGGTGCGGGAGCGGTAAGACAAGGCAATGGAGGCTGGAGTCGGTTCCCCCATGAGATGAGTGCATGATCATAGACAGAGTTGACAATATCACCTTCCAACCTGATACAGGCTTCGATGTTAGGTCGGTCTTGAATGTTGTTCGAGTTGATCAATGCTACTTGGCGGTCGACGATGAGCAGTTTGGCATGAAAAGTACCCATAAGTGGTCGATGGTAGTTGAGGATCTCCATGGTAAGATTTGGAATTTCGGATTCGGTGGGCAGTCCATTCGTCTCCCACATACCAGCAGGGACGGGTTTACGGAGTCGAAACAGATCGGCCAGAGTTTGCGGACCTCGATCCCACATAAGTTTGACTACGACACGGTCTTCTTCTGCCGGTGGACCTAGTTCGATGTCTTGGTCGTCATCAAGGTCGTGGTCCTTTTCGGCGCGAGTGAGAGAGCCTGGTGCGCCTTGGCTGGCGAGTAGGTCGTCTTGTTGTTTGGAGGCTTTCTCTGCTTGCGGTGTGGTAGATGGATTTACGGCTGGGCTGGTGGTGGTGGTGGTGGTGGTGGTGGTGGTGGTGATTTGGCCCTTGCGACGTGCTTCGAGCGCACGACGTTTACGACGTTTTTGAACACGACTGTTGAGTTCACGCAAAGCTTGAGCGATACGATCGACGTTTTTTCCTCCTTGCCAGTAGTTGGTGAGCAGAATCACTTCCCTTCGAGCTGCAACGATACAGTCGTAATAATGGCCAATGATATCTGGACCGGTGGAGAAGATGGACAGCGGTACAATCCCCGTCGTGGCCAACAACGGAGGCGAAACAACACCCGACATTGGATTCCTGGGCAACGGCAGCAAGCAATCAGCCAAAATCATGAGATAAAGACGAGACGGTCCACCCTCAGCCTCGGACTTGTACCCAAACCGATGTCGAACGCGTTGCAGCTCTTGGTCATCTGGCTCTCTGTTGCCGTGGTGAACAGCACCTTTGTCCCAGACCCAGTGTTTGCCACGACCTTCTTCGAGCTGCTCTTTGATCTTGAAGCGAATGAGACCGCGTTTTGCAGCGGGTGGCGTAGAAAAGAGATGCTTGGCTGCTTCGGATGGCGGTAAGGTAGGATCGGCAGCCACGGCGGATGTGATGGTGGGCTGGGAGGATTGTGGACGAGAATCCTGGAAAGGACCGATTTGGATGCCGGCAGAGAGATGCGCTTTCTCCGCCGCTTCCTTGCGGATGTGGGAGGAGCCGCAGACTGGCATGGTAACCGTCAACGAGCAGCCATCTATAGATACGATGGTGATGGCGATGGTGATGGCGATGGCGATGGCGGTGGCGATGGCGGTGGCTGTGCTGAGATGTCGGCGATGGCGATCGAGGATGGCGTAGTTTCGGAGCTGCCGAAGGAATGCTGAGTGATGCAACGGATAGGCCGAGAGGTAATGGTATAGGATCGATACTGACAGTTCTCATAGGAGGATGGTGGAGAGATAAGAGGGGAAGAGGAGAGCTCAGTCCAGGCCCGGAGCTTCCGAAAGGTGACCAAAGCGTGAGAATGTGTGAAACGGCAGGGAAACGGCAGGGGAACGGCAGGGGAACGGCAGGGGAACGGCAGGGGAACGGCAGGGGAACGGCAGGGGAACGGCAGCAGTGGAGGAGCATAGGCGAGGCATCAGGAGAAAGAGAGCGCGCCGCGGGGTTGCGAGGCGAAATGCACAAAAGCAGAATCATGTGAGAGAGAGCGAGCGAGCAGAGGGTGCGAGCCAGGACGTGCCGATGAGATGCTCGTGCACAGCCAAGCCCTACCAAAGCCCAACCAAGCCTTACTGAAGCAAACGATCCAATGTGATGATATGGATTGACGTAAGCAGCTACAAAATGGATCGGGCAAAGGACAATCTGATCGGAGATCGAGGATCGGGTACAACCTAGTCCCACTCGTTGTCAGACCTCGTCATTAAGTAGCATGTACCCACGTCCGGCAAGTGCTACTCACTTTGTATATATATCATGCGGGGAGCTCGAGGCTCTCGCCACATTCCTTTTCTCAGTCAATTGAGTATACATGTTTCTGTCCTAAAACAGCAGTGACATCGTGCTTCGACTCTCACCGATCGCCAGTCATCGGGACCCGTGCGATCTACTTTTTCTCAAGCCTATGACGAATTGAAAATCGCACGTCTCCCTTCCCAAATCCAACTCAAGTAGCAACCTTGGCAGCTGAAAATTTGAGGAAAAATAAATAAATGTTAAATTGACTAACTCGGGTAAGCGTTGGTCACGTGCTCCTTCGCCCACCATTGAAAAATGCGCATGGTTCCATTCGCACGATACGTCTCTCGCCGGCTCTTCTGTGCTTGCTGACTGGGCACAGATATCGCAGTGCAGGAGATAATGTCGGAACTCGGAAACGGCATTGTACAAGACTTGAATCTCTTCTTTCCCAACTCTTCTCTTTCCCAACTCTTCTTTCCCAACTCCTTTTAACATTGGCTCTTGCGAATCGCATCAACGAAAACCCATCTCGAGTGCTGTCAAGGATGGCTTTGTCCAATCAGGCTGCCACGTCTGCTACGGCAACCCCCTCGGACCCGGCACACATCACCACCAAGATCCAATCAGCTCTCTCCCGCGATTCTCCCTTCTGGTCCTTCGAGTTCTTCCCTCCCAAAACCACCCAAGGTCTCGCCAACCTCTACAACCGTATCGCGCGCATGCGAGCCAACCTCGATCCCAGCTGGATCCACGTCACATGGGGCGCAGGCGGTACAACAGGCGGCAAATCCCTCGAACTCGCCGGTAGAATACAAAAGGGCAAACTGCACCCTGACCTCCAACTTGTACAGACCGAAGCGGAACACTTGGACTCCGGCCCACAACAGCAGCATCTTGACAATGTCAAAGGTGGTCAGCCATGCGAGCAAGGTGGCTTGGATGCATGCGATGTTTGTCTGCACCTCACATGTACGAATGTCGAGAAGAGTTCGCTCGATGAGACTTTAGCTGCAGCGAAGAGGTTAGGGATTAAGAATATCTTGGCTCTTCGTGGAGATCCACCCAGGGGAGACGAGTATTGGGTAGCAGCCGATGAACGCTTTCAACATGCAACGGATCTTGTGCGGTACATTCGTGACAATCATGGTCACTTTTTCTGCATCGGTGTTGCAGGCTACCCGGAAGGTCATGCTGATTATGTGGATCGCGATGTAAAACGCGATCTTGGCTATCTCAAAGAAAAGCAAGATGCAGGTGCGCAATACATTGTCACTCAGCTCTTCTACGACGTCGATCGATTCCTGGCTTGGTACAAGGAATGTAGAGCGATCGGTATCACCATCCCCATCCTGCCTGGCATTATGCCCATCCAAAATCACCAGAGTTTCCGACGAATGACCAACCTATGCAAAGTGCAAATCCCCCAACCCATCCTTGACGCCCTCGAACAGATCAAAAGCGATGATGCCGCGGTCAAAGAATACGGTGTTTCGCTCAGCATCCACACGATTGGTCGAATCTTTCTCGAATCCGACATCCGTGGCTTCCATCTCTGCTCGCTCAATCTCGAAAAGAGCATTGAACGCATCCTTGATGGGCTAAGATGGAAGACAGACCTCGGTGCACAAGCCGAAGCAGAAGCACCACTCACGGCTATCCCAGCACACATTCATCTCGAAAAGACGCGAAACCAGATGCTTTGCGATGAAACAGGAGCCCAGACACCTAAAGACTTGAAAGTTACCACACAAGAAGCTCTCGCTCGAACCTTAGCACGTACATCAGCATCGTACCAAGTACCAGAAACAACAACGTGGGACGAGTTTCCGAATGGAAGATACGGTGATTCCAGATCACCTGCTTTCGGTGAAATGGATGGGTACGGTGTCAGTTTGAAGGTGCCACCACAGGATGCGTTGCGGATTTGGGGTCATCCTCTGACGCTAGCGGATATTTCGAAAATCTTTGCTTCGTATCTGGAGGAAAGAATCGCATGCATACCTTGGTGCGATGCTCCACTGATGAGCGAAACATTGCAGATTCGGCATCATTTGCTCTCGCTAAATCGTCTCTCCGAACCCTCAACCACAGACGCAGCACAGAGTGGCAAAGGATGGTGGTCAGTCGGATCCCAACCTGCTGTCGACGGCGCTCCTTCAACAGACCCCACCGTGGGATTTGGACCACCTGGAGGGTTTATCTTCCAGAAAGCTTTCGTTGAGCTGTTCATGTCGGCTGCGGACAAAGATCGTCTTATTTCCCGCATAGACTCGCTCGGACCGGATGCGCAGATCAGCTACTTTTCCGGGAACGCAAAAGGCGACTTTGCGTCGAATTTGGGCGATGGAGAGGCGAATACAGTCACATGGGCCGTCTTTCCAGGCAAGGAAATCGTTCAATCTACCATCATCGAAAGGGAAAGCTTTGAGGCGTGGAGAGATGAAGCGTTTGAAATTTGGAGCGAATGGTCGTTGCTGTTTCCAAAAGCAAGTGCAAGTTGCAAGTTGATAGAGGCAGTCAAGGAGGCGAGGTGGTTGGTGACGGTGGTTCATCATGATTATAAGGATATAGAGGCCTTGTGGCATTTTTTGGCCGAGTAGGGGTGAGAGGATGGAAATCAAAACCTATTCTTTCTATTGCATGGCTCGTTGTATTTGCGAGCTTTCGGCGGTCATCTGTGTCGGTGGTGGTGACAGGCTCTTGGATGGACAGCTGCAGCGTGAGAGTACAAAGTTGGCGAGTGGTTGAGTTGCCATCGAGTATTATAAATTTCGAGGGTCGCAAAAGGAAGCAACTTACCAAAGTCGGCCGTCGTCACTGTCGAAGTCGACGTTGTTTCCCAGTCCTGCGAACGACCGAATCGTAGAGATTTGTATGAGCATTGGGTCAACATTTCATCAGAAGCGCGACAACGTGCGACCACTTACCTCGTCAGCACAACAATGCCTGCCATTACATCTGCAGCCAATGCAAAAGCAACCGTTCTGTCAGCAACAACTCTCACCTCTACCACTCCTGACCAGGTGTGGCTTACGAATCGTACCGAGCTCCATACTTTGGTGCACTCGGGTGACCACGATGCGAACAGGTGCTGTGCGAATGCTTTGCCACAGCATCATGGTGCGCACGAGCATGGTGACCGACCGAATTTTGTTGATGATGATGCTGCTTGACATGGTTGTGGTGGTGGTGGTGGTGGTGTTCGCATCTTTGATGGTTGTCACTCGTATATGTCGACGGCTTGTGTTTGTGTGATGCTAGGCACATTGCACAGTCGTATTCTTCTTCGGCTTCTTCCTTCTTTTTGCCTTTCTCCGCTGCCGTCGGAGCAGCAGGTGAAGCGACACCAAGGTCCTTCAACATCTGCACAAGCTCTACCGTCCCATGAAGCGAAAGCTTGCGTGTCTCGCAGCAGTCTTTATGATCTGTAGCTTTGGCTGTCTCGTCTTTCTTAGCATCGGCATCGTTCTTGGGCTGTTGTTGGTTACCCTTTTTATCGTCGGCTTTGGCGGGAGGAGGCGTGTCCTTTTGGTCGGCTTGTTTCCTCTCGTTCCCTTTGTCTTGGTTCTGGTTTCCACCACCGCCGCCTCCTCTCTTCCCTCCTCCGCCTCCGCCTCCGCCTCCGCCACCTTCTTGCTTCTTCTCATCTTCCTTCTCGTCCTGCTTCCCACCTTGCTGACTGTTGCCATCCTTCTTCTCGTCTTTCTTCTGATCCCCACCACCATCCTTCTTGTCCTTTTTGGGAGCATTGCCAGCTTTAGCAGCAGCAGCGGGAAGAGTGTTGTTTAGGTTGTGCAGAGGTAGATCGGATTCAGACTCGGATCGACCTGCGCAAGCGAGAACAGCGGATAATAGGGCTGCTACTCCGAGCAATAGGCCTAGGATGAGACCTGCTACTGCTCCTGCTGCCATCGTTACTCTCCTTACTCAAACCTACCGAGTACTTTGCGATGTTGATGGAGAGATGCAAGACGCCATTCACACACAGACACTTCACCTGTTCCCCACCAAACCGCTGAAAAAGGCGAAGAGTAGAGATGCAATTACAGCGCAGAGAAGCAATATAAGCTCGAAATCAAGTGCCAACCTTGTCCTGGTGTGTCCTGACTGTAGACGTCAAAGAGCGCCATCTCATCGGGGGTTGGGTTGGATTCTGCCCGATTTTCAGGAACCAAAGCGATGGGTGGAGATGGATTTATAAGCGAACTCAGAGATGTTTCTTTCTGAACACTTTTGCCCTGCCATTCAGTTCTCCCATCGATCTCTCACCCAACAGACGGGTGGGACTTGCTGTCGCACAGGCAAGTCATTCCGTACCATCGCCAAGGGATATCTCTACTGGATACTCTCCTTGTCGGTAGCTTTCGCACTTTGCACCACAGCACTTTCATACCTTCATGTACAGTAGCATCTGCATGGCTACACCATCTCAAGTTTGCAACGGCACCAGATCAATCTCGTCATTGTACCATTTCATGCCAAGTCCAAGACGCTCTTCCACGCCCTTTGCGCTTCTCTGCGCTGCGCCGACCGTCGAACCAGTGAAATCACATGACCTCTCTCCTTCGCTCTAACATTTCCGCAAACCTCACTCACCGTCGCCACTCATCATCACTCACCGTCGCCACTCATCATCACCCACCAACGCTGCTCGCCCCTATTGCGATTGCATACGAGCATACGAGCATACGTGTCACCTGATTCCACATACAGACCATCAGTAGAAGAATATATACGTGGCATTGCTCTGTAACTAGTCATCCCAATCGAACAACGATTCGCCATTCGCTTTAACGCTTCTCGATTGTGCATTCCTCAACAGGAACGCAATGTGACTCATCTGACAGCCCTTTTTCTATGCATGCGATTGTGTAGGAAAGATCAAAGTCGCTACATAAGATTAAACGGCTTTGACTTTGATTGCAAGATGAGCTGAACCGCGGCTCGAGAATCTATGAAAAGAGGACAACAGCCAGGTGTCAGAGCAGAAGAAGGAAGAAGGAAAAAGGAAAAAGGAAGAAAGGAGAGGGCAGATGACCTAGCAGATCACGGACATCTCCTAGCCTCGATGACTGACACAAGCTCTGTCAATGAGTAAATCGAAAAAACATCCGTATACGTTCTAAGGTGGAGACTGGTTTAACAGAGAATCTTAAAGCTTCGCCTTTCTTGGCTAGAGGATTCAGCACCTTTACCTTGTAGTCATATTCCTTTCCATTGATCTCTTTGTATACGCGGATGAGTTTGCTGTTTTTCAGTGATCTCGCCATAGCATCTCTCGGACCGTCATGTCTAAACCGCGGAGAGTCCTTTAGTGAAATTTTCGCAGTTCGTAGGTTATCAGTACTGGGTTTGATAGGCTTGCCCCAAATTATAGATGCCAATGATTCGCCGTATTGGTTCTTGGCGCTATTATACCCGACCATAACGCGGTAAGGGTCTTCCTCCACATTTCTACCTTCGTCCACAATCAGCTTGTCTATGTTGGGGTCGATCAATATGGGGACCCTTCCATGTGGGACGTAGTAAAACTTTTTCGGCTCGGTGCGGGCGGCTGTTATCATGTGGCCGAGAGTTGCAGAGTCTTGGAAGAGGATGGGCTTGCCATTGACAACTGGTAGGTGATCGATGTTTACCCCAGGATGGATGTAGATTTGTTCAGTTCGGACCAGATTCCGGAGTTTATGCAGTTTAGAATCAAGTTGATTTCTGAAGATATTAATCATCACTCTTCTGTCTTCTTCATTCGTTATCGTTTCGATTTTGCCATCGCGCATTTTGATCCATTTCGCTTTACTAAGGGCATCTTTATCGGGGTGGGCTTCGACAATTCCAACAGATCTATGGTCTCGGAGGGCCTGTCGGACCGTTTCAATGGGAGTGCCAATGGAGTACAAGGGAGTTTTGCTGTAAAAGGGGACATCGGTATAAAGTTTACGATCGCCTCCATCCATTTGCTTAATGGTTTTGTATCCAAGTTGCCGGATGTAGTCGTTGGTATCAAATACGGTCCCGGGCTGTCCTGTATAATAACGTTGAAGTGGAGTCGAGGTACTCGCCTCGTTGCTGCCACCGGCAGCGATGCGGCTTGGAAGCAGGATGAGCGCAGTGACGATAGCTGCGACAAAGCTGATTCGGAACATCCCGGATAGCTTCATTGCGATCATATTCCTTTGCGACCTCGATGGGAAGAGATAGAAGATTTGAGTGGTGAAGCAAAGCTTCGAAAAGAGGAGTGAGAGGAAGTGCGAATGTCTATTATATGTACTCTATTGGAGGCTGTGAGAACCGACTCTAGGCGGGGGTTCGGCTCAAGGAGGCAAAGTAACAACCAGACAAGCCTCCTCCTTGGTTCCCAAGCTGTCGAGCAATAGGTGTCGTTGACCCACCTTCATCTGAAACACCCATGACGAGCCTGCGAACGTCGGCTTTACCTCGGTGCCCACGCAGTTGGTGGCAACAAGATACCTCATCTTGCTGCTCAATGAATTTACATCGCACCGCAGCGTCGCCCACCTCAGCGTCGCCACCCGTCAACTCCCACTAGCACTCATCGTTGCCCACCACCAACACGCATCGTCGCCCACCAACAACCCCTATCTCATTCAATCATGTCATGCAGTCATACGTGGCAACTCGCTGTCACACACTGGTCGTAGAAGCATATACATATACTCTGACATTGCTGTATCTAGTTCTCACTGAATGCTAACGATTTCGCCGCTTGCTTGACCGCCCTGATTGTGCTTTCCTCAACACTAATGGGACCGTCGGAACAGTGAAATCACATCACCTCTCTCCTTCGCTCTAACATATCCGCAAACCTCACTCACCGTCGCCACTCATCATCACCCACCAACACTGCTCACGCCTATTGCGATTGCATACGAGCATACGTGTCACTTGATTCCACCTACAGACCATCAGTAGAAGAATATATACGTGGCATTGCTCTGTAACTAGTCATCCCAATCGAACAACGATTCGCCATTCGCTTTAACGCTTCTCGATTGTGCATTCCTCAACAGGAACGCAATGTGACTCATCTGACAGCCCTTTTTCTATGCATGCGATTGTGTAGGAAAGATCAAAGTCGCTACATAAGATTGAACGGCTTTGACTTTGATTGCAAGATGAGCTGAACCGCGGCTCGAGAATCTATGAAAAGAGGACAACAGCCAGGTGTCAGAGCAGAAGAAGGAAGAAGGAAAAAGGAAGAAGGAAAAAGGAAAAAGGAAGAAAGGAGAGGGCAGATGACCTAGCAGATCACGGACATCTCCTAGCCTCGATGACTGACACAAGCTCTGTCAATGAGTAAATCGAAAAAACATCTGTAAACGTTCTAAGGTGGAGACTGGTTTAACAGAGAATCTTAAAGCTTCGCCTTTCTTGGCTAGAGGATTCAGCACCTTTACCTTGTAGTCATATTCCTTTCCATTGATCTCTTTGTATACGCGGATGAGTTTGCTGTTTTTCAGTGATCTCGCCATAGCATCTCTCGGACCGTCATGTCTAAACCGCGGAGAGTCCTTTAGTGAAATTTTCGCAGTTCGTAGGTTATCAGTACTGGGTTTGATAGGCTTGCCCCAAATTATAGATGCCAATGATTCGCCGTATTGGTTCTTGGCGCTATTATACCCGACCATAACGCGGTAAGGGTCTTCCTCCACATTTCTACCTTCGTCCACAATCAGCTTGTCTATGTTGGGGTCGATCAATATGGGGACCCTTCCATGTGGGACGTAGTAAAACTTTTTCGGCTCGGTGCGGGCAGCTGTTATCATGTGGCCGAGAGTTGCAGAGTCTTGGAAGAGCATGGGCTTGCCATTGACAACTGGTAGGTGATCGATGTTTACCCCAGGATCCTCGTTGATGCTGTTACTTCGGACCATATTCCGGAGGAGATGCAGATTAGGATCCAGATGTTTGAAGATATTAATCAGCGCCGATTTTTCATTTCGCATCATTTCGATTTTGATATTGCCATCGTTCAGTACGATCCGTTTCGCGTATTCATTGGGGGCATCGACAATTGAAACAGAGCCATGGTCTCGGAGGGCCTGTCGGACCGTTTCAATGGGAGTTTCAATGGAGTACGCGGGAGTACCTTCGTAAAAGGGGACTTTTCTATAAGTATTAGCTGGCTTTTCTGGCAATTTATGGATGTTTCTGTAATCGAGGCTCTTGATGTAATCATTGATATTTCTGTAATTGAGGCTCTTGATGTAATCATTGATATTAAATACGGCCCCGGGCTGTCCTGTATAATAACGTTGAAGTGGAGTCGAGGTACTCGCCTCGTTGCTGCCACCGGCAGCGATGCGGCTTGGAAGCAGGATGAGCGCAGTGACGATAGCTGCGACAAAGCTGATTCGGAACATCCCGGATAGCTTCATTGCGATCATATTCCTTTGCGACCTCGATGGGAAGAGATAGAAGATTTGAGTGGTGAAGGAAAGCTTCGAAAAGAGGAGTGAGAGGAAGTGCGAATGTCTATTATATGTACTCTATTGGAGGCTGTGAGAACCGACTCTAGGCGGGGGTTCGGCTCAAGGAGGCAAAGTAACAACCAGACAAGCCTCCTCCTTGGTTCCCAAGCTGTCGAGCAATAGGTGTCGTTGACCCACCTTCATCTGAAACACCCATGACGAGCCTGCGAACGTCGGCTTTACCTCGGTGCCCACGCAGTTGGTGGCAACAAGATACCTCATCTTGCTGCTCAATGAATTTACATCGCCCACGAAGTTGGTGGCAATAAGATACCTCATCTTGCTGCTCAATGAATTTATATCGCCCACGCAGTTGGTGGCAACAAGATACCTCATCTTGCTGCCCAGTGAATTTGCATCGCCCACCGCAGCGTCACCCACCGCAGTCGCGCTGCTCGAAGGCTGCGTTGATGCAGTCTGAGGATTGAAGAAGGGCAAGCATCGCATCGCCCAATAACTGATTGTGGAAAGACTTGGTCAAGACTCTACTCTTGGCTCTTGGTGTTTGGGGAGAAGCCAAGCCATGGGTATGACAAGCAAGTCGACGTCGCGTTGAACGCAGAAAGACGCAAGCTCGCATTAATCGAAGGGAGTGCGGAATTGAAATGGATTGAGATCCATACAGATGGTAACGCAGACATTGGCGAGGTTCGGTATATGAATTGATTCGAACCCACTTCCTGATGGAGCCCACTTTTCGTCGGTTTCAAAGAGAAAGTGCTTGCGAAAGATATGCTGAAGGGAGCGGCGAAAAGAGCGTCCGAAATGGAGGCGCGGTGGCGAGGGTGACACTCTGATAGGGTTAGCCCTAACCCTTTCATCTATCCGTCACCAAACCCCACCTTTTCAATATGGTCCGAATCACACCTCTAACCATCGCCCTAAGCCTAGTGCGACGGGTACAATGGGTTTCGGTGGATTGTATGTGGGGTGTAGTAATGATGCGGTGTCGGTGGGGATTGTGAGCGGTCAGGTGTTGGTGTTGGCTGGCGGTGGAGATGACAACCTCGATTCATTCCATCCACAACCCGATCCCCCTCATCACTTCTCGCTTAGGGTCAGGTCAGGGAGCTTTAACGGATTGGACAGGCACTCCTTCGTCATTCTTCTTTACTATTTGCTAATCTATCGTTGAGATCCTTTGGCCTCTGATCAGACCCGGGAACCGCGTCCAATGGCCTTGTCAAGCAGTTCTTGATAGTATAACTTGTGTGCTGAGCGGCGAACCTAGCACTGAACGACGCGTGAAGCCGATTGCTTGAAGCCGATTGCTTGAAACGGAGATCGGGCTGCCCGATCCAAGCGCGCCCAGCCGATTGTCTTTCGCTTGATCATGAGCAACGTAGTTGGGATTAAACCTTCTTTCGGCTGAGGGATCCTTGTGATCATTCTCTGAGCCGAGACCATCTTCAGCATGGATGAGGAACCGGTGAGAGGTTGGGGGATAGGGTTATTGCAACCGTCGGCAGCGCGGGCGGGCAAAGGAAGGCTTTTTGTGGATGCAGAGCTGCGTCATTATTCGGCTAATGGGTGAGAAATGCTGACAGATGTTCGGCAGCCCATCACCATCCGTTCTTTTGTCATTCTAAGCTAGGCTAGTGCAGAGCAAGGGGAGAATGCTGGAGGGAGACTTGGAGGGGCAGGGGAGGGTTGAAGGATGACAAAGAGTTGCCGACGGTCGGCAAGGGAAGTCCTACTTTCTCAGTCACCCCTTTCCCTCTTCCCCCTCTGTCTTGTCAGCATCTGAGTGAGAGACCTCTTCCGCGTCTGCATATATAAACCTTGAGCAGAACCCAACTGGATCTCACTTGCCAACCACAAGGAAAGAAAAACGCAACAATGTCTCTCAGCAAACACATTGATCCCGAGGAGCTCATCGAGCAAGCCGCTGATCATCCTATCCTTAGCTTGCTTGAGCATCCCTCCGGCAGGAAGGCTCATACTTATCATTCAGGTGCCCATGCTGGAAGATATGTGACGGAGCCCATTCCGAAGTACAAGATCCCGGAGAGGGGGACTGGTGCTCAGGCTACTTATCAGGTACATACTCGCCACCAGTCCACGCTTGCCCCGTGTGAATCAATGCTGACATCTCTCGCATCCTCGCTCGTATCGGCAGCTTTTGAACGCGGACCTCTCTCTCGACGGCAAGCCGACCTTGAACCTGGCCTCTTTCGTCCACACCTGGATGCCGGAGGAAGCAACCAAACTCATGACGGAAACGATGATGATCAACTTGTGCGATCAAGACGAGTACCCGGCCACCATGGCCATCCATGCTCGCTGCGTATCCATGCTCGCCGATCTTTGGAAAGCTCCGACGGAAACGGATGCCACCACTGGAAAACGTCAACCAGCCATGGGAGTCGCCACCACCGGTTCGTCGGAAGCAATCATGCTTGCGTGTCTAGCAGCGAAAAAACGATGGCAGCATCGCATGCGATCCCAGGGTAAATCGTTCAAAGAGCCCGGACCGAACATGGTTTTTGGTTCCAACGCCCAGGTTGCGATCGAGAAGTTTGCGCGCTATTTCGATGTCGAGGAGAGACTGGTGCCGGTTAGTAGAGAAAGCCGGTACTGTTTGGATGTGGAAAAGGCGGTGGAGATGGTGGATGAGAATACGATTTGTGTAGTCGTAATCCTCGGGTCGACGTATACGGGACATTATGAAGATGTCGAGCGGATGGCAAGCTTGTTGGATGAGTATGAGAGCAAGACGGGGATTAGTATTCCGATTCACGTAGATGGAGCAAGTGGAGCAATGGTTGCTCCTTTTGCAACTCCCGAGTTGAAGTGGGGTTTTGACATCGAGAGGGTCAAGAGCATCAATACTTCTGGACACAAGTTTGGCATGGTGTATCCGGGTTTGGGGTGGGTCTTGTTCCGATCCAACGACCAGGTGCCGAAGGAGTTGGTGTTTGAGCTGCATTATTTGGGTTCGGTCGAGTATAGTTTTGGACTGAACTTTAGTAGGCCCGCCCATCCGGTGATTGGTCAGTTGTTCAACTTTATCAATCTTGGCTTTGAGGGGTATAGGAGAGTTATGCAAGCTGATCTTCAGAATGCTAGGCTTCTGTCCAGGGCGTTGGAGAAGAGCGGATACTATGAAGTTTTGTCCGAGATCCACAAACCCCTCCCAACCCCATCCTCCACCGCCACTGCCGCTGCGGGAGCTATCAAGGAGGCCGCATCAAAGGTTACCGGCTCGCACACACACCAGCATCCGATCGACCAACATTCCGCCGAATTCTACTGCCCCGGTCTTCCCGTAGTAGCCTTCCGTTGGTCCGAATCCTTCCGAACTCGCAACCCGCACCTCGAACAGCATTGGATGCAGACCTTGCTTCGCGCCAAAGGTTGGATCGTTCCCAATTACAACCTCAGTCCGGATCTGGAGAAAGTCGAGATTTTGAGGGTCGTCGTTAGGGAGAATCTGAGCGAGAGTATGATCGAACAGTTGGTGTATGATATTGTTACGATTACCGAGAGTTTGGAGAAGGATGGCAAGCAAGGTGGGTATAGAAACTTGGCCGAGGTGGGGGAGGAGAGGCATGTCGAAGGGGGAGCCGGTGGCAAGAATGGCGCTCATGATAATCACAGGGGTGCCTTGCCCAGGGGTAGTGGTGTCAAGGCCAAGGGGTATAGTAAGCAGTGTTGAGCGGCAGTGTTCTTGTTGAAATCGATGTGGTTTTGGTCTATACTGCAAGCGAATGTGTGCTTGCCTGTGACGATTGGGCGGGTGGAGACATTTGCGAGTCTGAGCTCGACGCTGGAGAGTTGTGCCTCTTGTTCGCTCAAGTAGCAGTTGCTATCTCACCCTCTACCGTTTCCAACTGCTGTTGCTTTCTATTCCTTCCACTAACGCCGTTTCCGATGACAGTGCTGACTCGTCTGAGTCGCATTCGAACAGACTTGATGCTTTGTGCACCAAAAACACTCCTCCTTTCAGCCCATTGTGAATCTGCATCCCATCCACCCTTTCCACCCTTTCCAGCCTTTCCACCACCCGAATTCGGTGGAGTGGGAGGTCGAGGCGGAACAACATTCTCCACTATAAGCAACCAGATATGTTCTCTTTCTTTCTGCCTCAAACAGGTAGCTGTGTGGCTATTCAATTGAACAAACACCAAACTAGGGAAAGAGGCACATGGACTAGAATCCAATAACTGGTCCTGCCATAATATCGCAAAACTCGTATCCATCTCTACCATTGTTGCTTTTGTTACCGTGTTGATCTTCTTCACTCCTACACCCTCGATCCCGGTATGAGCGGGTGGGAGGGGGAAAGCGGTTTTACGACGATATCCGTTCGAGGTGGTCGATCGAACACGGTGTAGTGCCCCTCTCGGACTGCGTCGAGTCGGAAGCGACGGATGGGTGGGGCGGAGATGTAGTTGGGTAAGAGAGAGGTCGGAAGAGGCGGTAGACATGATTCCAAATCCTGTTTCTGAGAATGAACGCCAGGATTGCGACGGTTGCAGACCTCCGTTGAAGAAATCCTGGTTGGAAGGGAGAGGGGGTGGGGGATGGTCGGGGGTTTCTTCGAGAGCTTCGGAAGAGAGGTTTGCGAATGGGACTGCTTTACGTTTTGGTGTGGATCCTTTTGCTGGAGATGATGTTCCTGATTCGGGTAGAGGGAAGAGAGGTCGGTTTGCGGGCGTGGGCAAATAAGGATTGCGCAGGTCGGAGAGCGATTGCGATCTTCGACGGTTAGCTTTGGTTTCAGCTAGGGTAGCGGCGGCGGTCGCTGCATCACTTAGACCTGAGTGTTTCTCGGTGTTGAGTGCGATTGCTTCGTCTACCTTTCGCAAAATCCTAACATGTTCGTCAATCAACAGTTCATACCCCCTCCCAGTTCCCTCTCCGATATCGGAATCCATCGCCAACATGGTCTGACCCCACAACTCTCCTTCTTCCCCTTCAATCCCATCCGCTGCTTGAGCTTCCAGTGCGTCGGCCAGGGTGGAGCTTGGCACACGAGGTTTGGCTTGAGAAACAAGGATGTTCTCCGATTTCAAATCTATCCTCAAGGTTGGTACTGGTCTACTTGCGAATGCGGGTGGCAAACCCGGCGTACTTGACCCTTGCTTGATATGAGGATATTTCTGAACGAGCTCGGTAAGGCGTAGTGGCATAGCATACGTCACTGCGGCCTGAGAACGTATGTGAGCTAGCAAAAGATGTTCCACCATCGCACTTGCCTTATCCACGGTCTCTTTCAACTCGTCGAATGTGGGCGGTGGGTGAGCTACGCCTATTCTGCCGAGCAACCAGAAGCCGAGGCTTTTGCATAGAGCTGAGGCAGACATGTGATTGCTACTGCTATGCGCAGCTACGCTTGCCACCAAGTCTAGTGTTTCGCTGAGCAACTCTGCTGTAGCTTGTGGTAGTTTGGGATGCAAGAAATCCGCAATCGCTCGAGGTTGATATCGTGATTCACGCTCAAGCGAGCAAAAGCAATCGTACCATTCGTCGGAAGATTTGCAGTTGAAGTCCGAACACTGCAATCGCATGTGACGCAACCCCCACTTTAGCACTGATACGATATCGTGTGGCGAAGCGTATCTTAGTTCTTTATCGAGCTCTTCGCAGGCTATCTTTGCTTTGTCTTGAGCTGATTGTGGACGGGTGGAGCTTCGTTCGAGCCTATCCAGCGCGTTCTCGGGGAGGATGGGGAAGACGGCGATATAGGTCGAGGTGTCGAGCGAGAGCAGAAAGAGCTGAAGCATATGTTGAACGCTTTCCCCGCTCTCTGCTATTCTAAAAGGTCTGAACAGTCCGGGTGTATCCAGTCCGCGCTCTCGAATCTGCAACCCGCACATTCGCACCAGGTCACGCATTTGTGCGACATCGAGATGTGCGTTCGTAAGGGCTTGCAGCATTTCCCGCCGTTGAAGGGGAGCTGGTTTGGCCGAGGCATAGGCTGCGTTGGATTGGGCGATAATTGCTGCTGCTGCTGTTGGTTGCCCTCCTTGGCCACCAGTGCGGGTTGTGGTGGAGGAGGTGCGTGGAAGCGCATGTCCAGCATCAAGATCGAGCACGAGCGCAGGTGGGAGTGACGGGACGGGTGGTGGTTTGGATCTTGCGAAACGACGGAAGAACTTGGACGTGCGGGAAGAGGTGGAGACGGAAGATAGAGCAGAGGTGGAGTGGTTGGTGTCGGTGCGACGCAAGACTCTTTCGTCGTGGGTGGTGTCGCTAAAGTGGGAGCCGGAGTGAGCGTGACCGTTGGTATAGGGAGGGTGAGCATGCTCCGAGGATCGAGGCGCGGCCTTGCGCAATCGACTGAAGAGTTTGCGCGAGGTCATGATTCCAATAGTGCTGCCTTTCGATGTGATTGGGTTGTGTGATAGATAGTGTTATATGGCGTAGCCAAGTGGGGCAGAAGAGTTGCTAGTATTCGCCAGTCTACTTTGGAGGATCCGGCGGTGTGGCCGACAAGGCTATCGCAAAGGGTATCACGATGATCAAAACGGAGCAAGATGAGGATGGGGGATATGGTCAGGAGTCAAGTTTCGATAGCGACCATCGAGCTTCAACAGGGAGACACACTCACACGGGAAATGAGAACGCGCTGTCGGACCCTTTGCACCTTGTCTTCTAACTTGCTCACTTGATAGGCACCGAGCGTAGCAAGGGAACCGCTGTCAAGGTGGTATACACAAATGCTCAAGTATGGTGTTGGTCTATGTGTCTATTGCAGCCAAGATTGTGGTATGATGGTGGTCACAAAGCATCGCGGAGCGCATCACCAAGATTGCTAAACATCTTTGTCCAGCTTCGCACAACAGTCTGCCTACTCGCTTCGACCATTTGATGCACCTTCTCTTTGCCAAGTGAGCTGAGCGCTTGCTCCAATACCTCGTTCTGCTCCAGTTTCCCATCCGATGATGACCTCGAAAGATGGTTGACGAGCGTTGCAATCTCGGCGAGGTGAGTGCTGCACGTTGTTTTGGTCTGCTCGTCCAGTTGTGCTTGGGTGTGGTAGATGGCTTCGAGTGCTAGACCGACTTGGTGAACTGCGTCGACCGGCCTTGCTGTCCGGCTAGCATCTGTCTTGCCATCAGCTACATTCACCACTGCACGAACCGTAGATTTGGTGCTCTCCAGCATCTCCACCAACATCGCACCCTGGAAGCTTCCAGATCTCGCACTCTGCACCACTTCAACAAGCTTCTTCTCCGCCGCTGTGAGCTTAGCCTTGTCCTCCTCCTTCACCTCGTCAATCCCCCCATTCTCGCCTGCAGAGAGGGCGAAAGCAATACACTTGACCCACCCCACATCAACTCTCGGTCCAACCTGCACTAACTCCTCGACACTCGCACTCCCTTCCGGCTGATAATTCACCAACACATCCCAATCTCTCTGATCCCTCAACCCTGCGCTCACCCCCTCCCGCACCGCCTTGACCACACTCTCGATTCTGCGCTCGAACTTGCTCCTCCTCTCCAAGTCCTTCCAATTCGCCCTACTTTGAAGATGACTTCTCGCCTCTTCCAGCTGTACCACCTGCCGCTGGAGGGACCGATCTAGAGCTTCACCAAATTCGACAAACTCTTCCACTCTCGAGTAGATGCCGTGTTCGAGCGCTTTCGCAATCATTTCCGGGGTGGAGGTCGAGTTTTCTTCGTATATCGCTTGTGAGGTGGATAGAGTGCGGAGGGTTAGTTTGTACAAATCGTCGTTGGTGGTGGAGGCGGAGAAGCAGGAGACACGGTCCGAGATGAGATGGGAGAGGGTGTCTGATTGGACACTTTTTAGGCCGAGCAGGTTGTAGTGGATCGAGGCGCGCTCGTAGGCGGCGGAGAGGATGTAGGTCCGGATGAGGAGCATGCGTAGTTGATAGCCTTTTTGGCTCTTGGTGAGAGCGTGTTCGAGGAGTGCGATCGTTTGGTGGAGATAGGAGAGCTTGCCGTGGGAGAGACGGTAGCAGGAGAGCAGAGCTTGAGAGCCAAGCAAGGCCAGCTCGTCCGCTGGTTGCATCTCTGTCTCTGGGAGGCAAGATGCGATGGAAAGACCATCGTGGTATTGTTTGAGGAGCGAGGTTGCAATTGCTGCTTCGCTGGCCTCGGTGAGGGTGGAGGCAGGTTGGATTGTGCGGGTGATCTTGGCGATTGAGATGTTTGTGCGCAGGTCGAGCTCCGACTGCACTGGGAGCGGCTTTGACTTTCCTTTGGACGCTTCAGTGAGAGTGGCTCGCGATGTTGTAGAGAGAAGGCCAAGGTAGGGTAACAGATCTTCATGACAGCAAGCTTTGCTAGCAAACGTGTCCAGGTAAGCAACCATCTTGTTCAATAACAGCGCTTCAACCTCTTCTCCCAATGCTATCCGCTTTCGGATCACTTGCAGCTCCGCCAGCCGAACAGATCTGTCCTTGACAGCACCCTTCGAACTGAGCAGAACATTGATCTTCTTCTGCGCTTCTGTGATGTGCTCCTTTCCGAGCTTCTCTGCTGCATCGAGGAAAGCTGTGAAATGGGCCCAGTTTCGACTTCCGCCTTGGATTCGACTCCAGCTGTTCTGTTCGACGTATTGCCAGTCCTGTAGATCTTTCGCTAGATCCGTTCGGGTGAATTCGAGGCCGAGGTTGCGATCACAAAGTGTGTACCCCACGGATGCTTGGTTTGCAATCAAGTCAAACGCATCTTTCTTGTTGCCCTGTCGTATCAGCACTTGCAGCAACAAGCACAATGCTTCTTCATCGTTCAGCCCCAACGGCTTGGTTTCGATTTGCTTCTCGATCATTCGTTGGCTTAGTGGAAGTGCCAATGCGGCACCTGGTGCATTCGCATCCCGTGCTAGGAGAAGGTAGGAGAGGATAGACCACCAGAAGTACTCGTCTGCAAACCGCCCTCTTCCTTGCTTTCGAGCTGAGAAGGATTTGTGCATCTTCAATGCCAGCTGCTGTGCCTTTTGGAAAGATTGCGCTTTGGTGAGAGCGAAGAATGTTTGCCGGGCTAGATCTTGGTTATTGGGGCTGTCTTTGACTGCGGTTTCGAGCAGAGCTAGTTCATCTGTGCGACGGCCAAGTCTGACTAGCGTCCATGTGAGAGGTGTGAGAACGTTTTCTTCTCCCTTTCGCAGGCCTCGAGTGACGAGTCTGGCGCAAACTTGGTTGGCTTCATTTCGCTTTCCGGAACGAACGAGGGCTAGGGCTTTGAGTGCAGAGGCGAGTGCAAGGTCAGGTTGGGAAGCGAGGATCTTGTCGGCGTGCCGGATGGCGAGGGAGCTGTTGCCTGTGTCGATGGCGTTGTATATGGGCGCACATGTGCGCTCGGCGAGCAGAGAGACTGGGTTGAAAGCTGCACTCATTTTGATCAGCAGGGTCGACGGCGGTCTGTGTCGGATCGCAGAGAGGCGTGCAGGTGGCAGATGGCGCAGTGCGGGTGGCTTGCCACGCAGCCAGGCTTTGAATACGAGCGCTGCGAGGTTGTTCAGCCTTGCTCTCGATCGAGTGTGTGTGTGTGGATAGGTGTTGGTGTCCAAGGGAGCAAGTGAGCAAGGGAGCAAGTGAGCAAGCGTAGGGGTTTGAGCAAGTGAAGCGGCTCTGTCCTGCCGGAGGAAGCGATCCAAGATGATGATATATGCTGACATAATCCTTTTTTCCCAATCGGGGATCGGGCGGAACCGATCTGTCCAGAGATCGGGTGCAACACAGTCCCGCTCGTTGCCAAGCTAGATCATGAAGAAGGATACTGCCATCCAGATGTATATATATCAAGCTGAGAGGACTAGGTTCTCACCAGGTTCACCTAGTCAATCGAGTATATATGTTTCTGCCCTAAAACAGTAGTGACATCGTACTCAGGCTCTCCCCGATCGTCAGTTATCGGGACAAAACTTCTCCACATTACAACATGTCCTACCAGCACAAAACGACTTTTCCCAAGCCGAGTTCCGAAGAAAGCAATCAATCCCCATTTCGATCACCATTTCGCAGAATTGAATGAGACTCTGACTGCTGTGCTTCTGCCAGAAGTTTGTCTTTGCAACGTTGGATCCCATCCTCATCAAGCGTCCTCGCGAGTGTCCTCCCAAGTGTCCTCCCAAGTGTCCTCCAAAGAAGCTTGAGCGATCCAATCGAGTGCTAGTCGCTGGACAAGGATGGCAGCAACACGATTCATCCTAGCGCCGATCGGTGGTGTCTTTGTAGCCACCTCGCTACTCTACACCTTTCGTCACACCATCGCAGTTCGAACACACGACACTGCTGTCGCACTCAACCGCATCAAGCTGCAACTCAACGATATCGATCCAGATAATTGGGACAAGCAAGGCAAAGAGCGTGTTACTCGCCAAAAGCTAAGGCCGGCCTATGTCGCTCCTGCACGACCCTCTGTCACAGAAGAGATCAAGGCTCGATGGAACGTGAGTAACGCTATCTTTCCCCCCATGATTCGCACTACCTTGAATGCTTTAGCATAACACCACTGACATTGCGGTTGGCTTCTATCATGTTCGGATTGGGTCTTGCAGGAACACCTGATTGGAGCAGTAGACAAGCTCATCAACGCCAACTACTACGATCTCTTCGCAAATGGGATGGTCTTTGCTAAGAACATGATCTCCGAAAAGCTCGGCAATTCTGACCGCTCCTCCTCCTCGTCATCCAACGCATCAGTGGGAACCCCTCTAGCAACGCAACAGACAGCAACAGGTGGCATCAAAACCGGTGTCATCGACACTCAACACGTTTCGCTTCGGAATGAGAGCAGCGCAGCATTAGCAGCAAGAGACGCTATTCGTGGAGCAGGAAGCAGTGTTGGATCTCGTCTTGCAAGAGCTGTTGGAATGGATGCTGGGAAAGTGGACAAGGTAGTTGAGGCAAAGACAGGAGCAGGTTTGGGTAGAGTTGCAGATGGACCGGCTGGTCGTACTTTCTACCTTGGCGAGGGGACTAGTTTGCGCTGAACAGAATGATAGAGCATCGCCGAGCATGTTGGTTGCTTTGCACTTGATCGAGGCAGTAGCATGCTTCGGGATGATATCAAACAGTAGATGCTTTGCCTTGTTCTGTGGTGCAGTTTGCTGACAAGGGGCAAGCGAATGTGAGTTTGTGCATTGCGACGATCTCACAAAGTTCGGATTTTGGTTCGGATTCGCTTGGTCCGTGCGTTGAGGTCGAGTGGAAAGCACGTGTTTCAGAGCGCGCTTTAACATTCCGGGACGTGAAAGCCGAGCTCTTGTCTGTGCGACCCTTTGCATACATAGCATCTCGACCGAACTCAGCATCAGCCCATTGCACAATTCGTCCAACATGGTTCTCTCTTACGACTACCACCATCCCTTCAAGGCTGCTATACCGCTGCTCCCTCGGTCACTCCCCTCGATCACTACCCTCGATCACTCCCCTCGGCCACTCCCTGGATCCTGGATTCTACATCTTAGACGAACGGCAGACGGACTTGTGCTTCTCCAGCACCACGCCTATCATCCCGAACACGCTTTGACGACCAAAGTCTCGGTCGGGTTTTAGACGCGCAAGCTCGCTCGGCAGCGAGGTGAGCTTCTGCAAAGATGGCCTCGAATGGCATTGGCGGCGCTTCTAGCGCCTCGAAGAAGCATGAAGAAATTTCATCCAAAACCGGTCTCGGATGCACCACGACAACTCGACCCTACTCCATCCCCATCACCTCTCGCCCACCCGGCTCAACATACATCCAAACCATCCTTTTAGCCATCATCTTTAACTTTTGCATCATCTCCATCCATCTCTTCCAACTTCTCTCCTGGCCCTTATCTCTCCACCCCACCACCCGTCCGATCTTCCACTCCAGCATCGGATACACCAAACTCGCTTTCGCACGAGCGCTCCTCCTCATTTCTCAATTCTTCGGCCCCACTCAACTGGTGATCTCTATCGGTGATGGAAGAGGAGGATATCTCGATCCAGAACCGTTTGTTCATCGGGATAAGCAAACCGGTCGAATCACTTGCTTCGATCTTCCCAGTCGTGCGATATGGATGTCGAATCATCAGGTCTATACCGATTGGCTATATCTTTGGTGTTTTGCCTACTATGCAGGCCTTGCGGATAGTATTTTGATTATATTGAAGCATAGTTTAAAGTGGATTCCTTTCGTAGGCTGGGGTATGCAGTTTTATCGATTTATCTTCCTCAAGAGGAATTGGGCCTCCGATCAGGCTCAACTTGCCAAACAGCTGAGTCAAGTCGCTTCTACAAACCACACCACTCGCGAATCAAAAGCAAACACTGCAAAAAAGTTGCTCCTGTTGATCTTTCCAGAGGGAACACTGGTTTCGAACAACACAAGACCGATTTCGGCAAAGTTCGCCGAGAAGATGGGAATCAAAGACTTGGACAACGTATTGCTGCCGAGGTCAACAGGATTGTTCTTCTGTCTAACAACGTTGGCCAAGGAAATGGATGATCTGTGGTTGGTCGATTTGACGATTGGTTATCCAGGTGTTCCTCCTGCTGGGTTTGGTCAGGATTATTATACGCTAAGGTCGATTTTTATGCAGGGGGTGCCACCACCAGCGATTCATATCCATCTTACCTTGACAAGGATAACCAACGCGGTGGAGAACGATACTTGTTCCAATCCCATCAGCCTCGCCCAAGTCTCAACTGCCAATACGGATGTTCCACCACTGGGGAAGAATGAGAGGCCAGCAGAGAGCGGTGGAGAGGAAAGAAACCAGTTTGAAGAATGGTTGAGACGGAGGTGGACGAAGAAAGATCTTGAGATGCATAATTTTTACAAAGATGGCGATTTTGTGGGTGGCCAGTTTGCGAACAAGGTGAAGGAAGCAAGGGAAGAGAAGGCCTGTGCAAGTGGGCAGAGGTATGTCATCTTACCGGCGGAATTGAGGAGTTTGAGTGAGGTAGGGGATGCGGCTTGTTGGGGGATTCCTTTCCTTGTTGGTTGGAACTTGAGCAAACTCTACAAGGCAGTGGTTGGATAGAGGCATTCAAGAAGGATCTCATGCTTTTGAGCGGAAATGGATAATGCCTTGGGTATATTTCTCATGTGTGTATGTGTAGAAACATATGGAGCTATCATGAAGAAACAAGAGAATGAGCAAGGTCAACGCAACCATCCATAATCCGTCTAGCTGTCCTATAATACACAATCGACTCCGGTACCACTTGCAACCCTTTCGACTTGTCTTGTTGTGTGGCCGCTCGAGTTTTGACACTTGCTTCCGAGACTCCTGCTGGTTGACCCACTGTAATGGACAATATCCCTTCCCCTTGCTCCGCCTCGCCTTTCTTGCCTCGCACTCCGCTTGCTCCGCTTGCTCCGCTTGCTCCTGCTTGTACAGCTTTCTCAATCGTACTCTCCCTCAAAGCTCTACCCACGGCTAAGGCACTCAAACAAGTGGCAGGAACAGTGCGATGTAAATTGCCCACACTCACCGCTCTAATCAATAGATGCATCTCTCCCTCTTCCACCCTATCCCCACCTGTTGTTGTATATCCTTCTTTGGGTTTCGGGTGGACGATGCAGATTTTAGGTGCGGAGGGACTCATGGTTTTGCCTAAGAAGGGCGACAGGGTCGCTGATGCTTGCCGGAGGTCTTCGAGGAGAGTCATTAGGGGTCGGTTCGCGTCGAGGTCCGATGGCGATAAGGCGGCAAGCTGGACGGGATCCAGGACGGTGTTGGGGATAGAGGAGGAGGAGATGAAGATCGTTGGTAGACCTGCGTTGATGATCGTTACTGGGAAAGAGGTGCCGTTGAGGTGTAGGGTGTCCAGCTGGTTGCCCGTGGGGAGGAGAGAGCAAGTGTCGAGTGGAGTTTCGATTAGGATACCGGGTGCGGTTCCTGGTACTCCAGAGATAGTGGTTGAGCCTTGCAAGTCCGGATACCATATAGACCCTTGTGAATTGGAGTGGAGAGTTACTGGGACGTTGGCTCGAATGATTTGACCTGAACTCGTCACCATCAGCCTCACGGGGAAAGAGAACTTATCACCGACCTTTGCCGGCCTTGCCTGCTTCTGCTCAAACACTGCGCCAATCCTACTCTGTGGCACATGTCCCTGATGCAAGCCAAAGAGCGCAACCGCAGAAACGAGGTTGCCACATGTACTTGTCCAGTCGATTTGCGTCCCCTTTTGCACGGGCACTTGACCAAATCTATAGACCAAATCCCACCCTTTCTCTTTGTCCGCCGCTAAGCGTTGGTCATCTGCAAAGTCGATTCCATCTTTGAAACTTATTCCCTTGGCTGCCAGCTGTGAAGCAAGGGCGGAGTTCGGTGGACCAACAATAGCCGTTTTGGAAACGGAAGAGATTCCACCGCCAAGACCGTCAATCTGCCGCTTGTCCGGATCGGGCGAGCCCATTGCTCTACATATCAGCTTATCTCGCGCAGCAGGAGGGTAGGGAGAGAGGGTAGAAGTGGACCATAGGAGACCTTTTGAGGTGCCGCCGCGGTAGAAGGAGCATGGCAGACGGAAAGCGCCAGGCATACAGTTGCCGAGGGCGAGAGTAGGAAGCATGATCGCTGGACCCGCCAGACGTGCGTAGAGAGAGGTGTAGAGAGAGAGAGAGAGAGAGAGAGAGAGAGATGATGATGAGGCTGACGATGGTGATGTGCAGCAGATTGACAGAAACTGTAGCAGCTCCAGAAGGCGAAACCATCACTTGTTGATAATAGCAATCCAATATGATGATGTAAGATGACATGAGGCGATACGGGTGGGATCGGGTACAATGTGGTCCTGCTCGTTGTCAGGCTTGGTCATTAAGGAGAATACACACACATTCGGCATGTGCCATCCAGATGTATATATATCGAGCTGGGAGCGCTAGGCTCTCACCTGTTGGAGTTTGACGGCGTTTGGGTCCCGATAACTGGCGATCGGGGATAGTCTAAGTACGATGTCACTACTTCTTTAAGGCAGAAACATATACTAAATTGACTAAAGGAATCTGGCGAGAGCCTAGTGCTCTCTGTGAGATATATACAGTATATACATGTGAGCGGAGTTGAAGTTTCGTGTGATTTATGATGATGATGATGGTAAGAGGGAGAGAGAGCGAGGAGAGAGAAGGAGTCTATATATACAAAAGAAGAGCGGCAGAGAGCCGCATCGACTGCGGAGCATAACAAAGTAGTTGAAGATAACAATTAGTATACGGCGTTATCGGGGTCACGATCAGACTCCCTTTACCACAGCCGTATGTTCTATATAATACTACTGTTTTATATGGTGTGGACCTAAATGACAAATGCATATATATATACTCTATTCGCTGCTATAGTCCTATCCGAGACAGGACATGTTACTTCATTCATACTTCTGTGTTGCTATGATACTGGGTGCCACTAAGCTGTCGCCATGGCAACGATCGTGTATCTCATTCGTGCTTCTCACTTAAGTAAGCCTCCTGCACCTCAGTGTCTCGGCCGTGACATGTGCATCTTGCTTGAGATGCCGACGCATCTTCAACTCCCCCCTTCGGTGGGATCTCCAGCCCTATCATCCTAGCCAATCGTGAGGTGTTGAGACCCTGTAAAGGTTTTGTCAAGACATCTGCAACGTTGTTTGCTGTTCCGACATATTTGATTGCCACATCGCCCTCTTGCATGTGATCGCGGACGAAATGATACCGTGTGTCGATGTGCTTTAACTTCCAATGTTTGGCTGGATCTTTACTCACCTGTATGCACCCCTGGCTATCTGTGTATAGCACGGGCCGAACGTCCGTGATCTCCAAGTCCCAGAGCAAATATGAGAAGAACAATGTTTCTCGCACCGCTTCGGAAGCGGCGACAAACTCTGCTTCGACTGCTGACAATGCCACACACTTTTGAACATGAGATTTCCAACTCACTGGACATCCATACACATATGTTATTGACCCCGAGGTGCTCCTTCGTCCATTTGTGGGGTCGGATGCCCAGTTTGCATCGGTATACGTCGTTACCGGTGTATCCGAGTGCTTGTTTGTCTCCCCTCCTAAGTGCAACTGATATTCATTCGTTTGGTTCAGGTACTTTACCACGTGAATGGCTGCCTTCCATGCACTGTCGATCGGGATTGACATATATCGCAACAATACGCCAACAGCAAAGGCAATATCTGGTCGGGCTGTGTTGGAGACCCATAATAGTTGGCCGACCAACTCTTGATACTTCTTTGCTCGCTGAGGTTCACATCTCTCGCCTCCAGCGACGTTCGCTATGCTCAGCATGGGTACCCAAGATTTCTCGTTTGCTCCTCCTAACCATTTGTTCACCATTTCTTTGATGTATGCCATTAGGCCCAGAGATATCCTCCTCCGTCTTCTATCACGTGTGATCTTGATACCCAGAAATTCTTTGATCCTTCCGTTGTCTTGCGTCTCCCATTTGTCCATGATCTCTCGCTTAGTGCGGTCTACTTCATCATGACTGGGTGATGTTATCAGCATGTTGTCCACGTATGCTGTGATGATCGTGATCTTGTCGCCTGTCCCTCTTGAGTATAGGCATGGTGCGCTCGGCATGCAATGAAATCCGATTGTCCGGAGATGTGAGTCTAACTCAATGTTCCATTCTCGGCCCGATTGTTTCAGACCGTACAGTCCTTTCACTACCTTCAACGCTTTTCCGGGTGGTATTTTGATTCCTACTGGGGGCTTGAGATATACATCATGGTGTATAGTGGAGTTCAGGTACGCTTGCTTTACGTCAATAGAATCTATTTCCCAATCTCGTACTGCTGCGACAGCGATCACCCCTCGAATGGATTGGATGGGTGCTACTGGTGCGAAGACCTCTGTGTAGTCGATGCCCTCACGTTGGGTGAAACCTCGTGCCACGAGCCAGGCTTTGAACTTTGTCAGCACGAGGTTTGCATCGGTTTTGATCTTGAGTACCCAACGTGTGTTGACAGTGTTTGCACCCTTTGGGAGGTCGGCTATCTCCCATGTGCCCATCACCTCCAATCCATCCAGCTCCTTTTGCATGGCCTCCTCCCAGTGCTTTCTGTCTTCTCCACTCATTGCTTCATGTATGGTTGGGTCCAGGTTCTTTCTCCGTTCCGGTCGCATCACTACGAGTCCAAAGAATTCGCTGTCAATCTGAGTTTCGGCGGTTGATCCTTGTTCCATCACCTCTGCTGTTCCTCTGCTTAACCTTTCTTCCAAATCTGTCTCCATATCCATGTATTCTTGTAGTGGCCCTTCATCTGTTTTGTCGAATATATTTTCTTTGTTGTATCCTAGATCTTCGAAATTCTCTTCTGTCATCATCACTGGAGGTGCCTTTGTGTCAACCGGTCGCCACTCTGTTCTGTCTGACCAGCACTTTGATTCCATGAATTTTGCTGAATTGCTCCAGAACATGTTCGGATTATAGTCCAGACTGTAGAAGAGCCAGCCCTTTCTCTCTAGACTGTATCCCAAGAAAATGGATGCAACGGCTCGCTGGTCCAGTTTCTTGTTGTCCCGTTTGACTTTGGGTATGTTTACCCATGCCAGACAACCAAACACTCGTAGGAGCTTTAAAGCTTGTTCCGGCGACTTGCCAAACATTGCTTGATAAGGGAATTCATTATCAACGCTCGGAGTGAGGTTTATTTTGAATGCCGCAGCTCTGATCGCGTATGGCCAGAACTTCTTCGGTAGTCTCCTCTGCATTAGCAACATTCTCATCTTCTCTCCAAGGGTCCTGTTCATTCTCTCTACCCATCCATTTTGTTTGCTGTTGTACCCTACGGTGGTTTGCCACTCTATACCCTTTTCTAGCGACCATTCTAATGCATCATTGCTTTTCCATTCTGTTCCTTGATCAGATTGGATCGCTTTTAGCTTCCGATCCATCTGTGTCTCCAGGAATGAAACAATCCTTTTGAGTTGCATAAACGCATGACTCTTTCGTGTCAATGGCTGTGCATACACATACTTGCTATGATCGTCGACCAGCACCAACGTGCATGTGTACTCCGTCACGTGGGATGAGTCTATTATTAGATCGACGTGGATAAGATCCAGGGGCCCTATGGCTCTTTCGCCGCTACCTTTCCCCATCCGAGCGCTTGTGCTCTTGGATCGTATGCACTGCTCACATGTCAGAGCAGTGTTTGGATCCAATTTCATGGTATGCTTATCTTTTAACTTGCTCGTGATTGCCTTAGCTTTATCTCTTCCTGGGTGTCCGAGACGCTCATGCCATAGTTGTTGCTTTGAAACTTTCGGCTCATTCTTAATATGCTCGAACTCCTCATCAACACCTTCAAACAATGGTGCTGATGTGGCCATCGCGCTTTCTTGCCATGTGTCGCCTCGGAACTCCAAAAGTCCTCACTCGCGATTCTTTGCAATCTTAAGTGTCATGCCATTTGTTAGAAAAATTTGACCGCCAGTTGTGTCCAATATCACTCGTGCTCCTTCATCCGTTAATGAATTCATTGACAGAAGGTTAACATTAAGGTGCTTCACATACAATACATTTTGTAGGGAGATTTCCCCGTAATCTGTTGATATGCTTGCATCTCCTATAGCTGCCGCTTCCAAGACCTCGCTTCCGGCAGTAATTATCCACTTTCGGCAAGTTCTCGGGTGGATGAGCATGCTGTAGTTGTTCACCATATGATAACTCGCCCCCGAGTCCAAGATCCAATGGGCTGTTTCTTTTGTGTTCAAGGGGTCTTGCCATTTCAATGGGAGGGTGAGGGAGCACCACACTTCCTATTTAGGTTCAGCGAGGGGGGAGTCTTTGGGAATGGTGACCAAGGCATCGCATTGACTAATACCATGTCCCGGTCACTTGCAGATCCAGCATCGGATTCGGCGTGGTCTGCCTGCGTTCCTTGAGCTCGCGTGGCTGTTGTCGGCTTCGGCTTCGGTCTCTCCGGCCCGTTCATTTTGATCGTCGTTGCCGGCGGTTCTAGCACTGGCTTGTCGGGGGTCAATCTTTTGTGCGGGGACGCTCTCAACAGCGGTCTGCCAGATACTTAGTGCAGTGGCAAGGGTGTTGAAATCGATTTGATGAATGGTGGCAACCGTCTCCTTGTACACCGGATGCTGGATCGTGCATTTCTGCAGAGCCAAGAACAATGTATCATCGGCGAATGGTTTGCCGAGGAGGCTGCTTTCAGTCTGTATGGACCAGATCTCTTGAATTAGCTTTCTGGCGTCCAAGTGAAACATCTTTGTATCGTTGAGCTGCGAGATGAGCACAAGTCTGTGAGACGTCTTGGTGGCTTCATTCGTGAGACCGTTTTCGATCTTTCTCCATACTTGGTTGAAAGTAAGGTACTCCTTGATTACATCTAGAACGAGGTAATTTACATTGTATTCCCCGGTAGTGTCAATTGTTCCATGCAGGGCGTTGATTAAAGCATCATCGAGGGAGCGGCTCCATTTCGGGTGCTTCTTGTCATATGTTCCCTCGAGATGTTTCATCGCATGGGGCATGGATTGGAGGAAAGATTTCACGTGAGCGCTCCGGCTATAATAGTTTCGTGACGTGAGCTTTGGCATGGGTTCGAGGAGCTTTGCTAGGGTGCGAAAGTTATATCGCTTGTCGCCATCATCAAAGTCGGAGTTGGAATCAGTGTCTTCGTCGGCTTCATTGTTGATGGCCTCCGGCTCGTTCTCGTTCGTGGCATTATTGTCGACCCGAACCTGGGTGTTCTTGCCCTTTCTGCTTCCTTTGGTCCTCGTTTCGTTCGGTGTCTTCTACCATGGTTGTCGATGAGTTTCGGTTAGCTCGGTGATAGCTTCTTCAGACTCTTAATCAGTTGAAGATAACAATTAGTATACGGCATTATCGGGGTCATGATCAGACTCCCTTTACCACAGCCGTATGTTCTATATAATACTACTGTTTTATATGGTGTGGACCTAAATGACAAATGCATATATATATACTCTATTCGCCGCTATAGTCCTATCCAAGACAGGACGTGTTACTTCATTCATACTTCTGTGTTGCTATGATACTGGGTGCCACTAAGCTGTCGCCATGGCAACGATCGTGTATCTCATTCGTGCTTCTCGCTTAAGTAAGCCTCCTGCACCTCAGTGTCTCGGCCGTGACACGTGCATCTTGCTTGAGATGCCGACGCATCTTCAACTAAAGTATTTGTCTTGAGTAGGTTGTGACACATGTGGTCCGTGCTCAGATGCTCAAGCCTTTTACTCGGCCGTAAGCACTACCTTCACCGTCTCTACGCTTTGTGTGGCTTTTATCTACTTCAACTAGCAGCACATGCCGAAGGTGGTAGTACTGCTACTTAATGATCTAGTCTGACAACGAGCGGGACTGTGTTGCACCCGATCTCTGGTGAGATCGGCTCGGATCGATCTCTGATCAGATCGGTCATCTAACCGGATCGGCTCTGCCTGGTCTCCGGTCAGATCAGCCCCGCGTCATCCTTTGGCGTCGCACTGGATCGCAATCTCCAGCATCACCCTGCTTCTTAGTCAATTGAGTATATATGTCTCTGTCCTAAAGCAGCAGTGACATCGAACTGAGACTCTCCCCGATCGTCAGTTATCGGGACAAAACTTCTTCACATTGCATTACTTCTATGTCTGCAAAGTTATTGTGAGATTGAGTTCGGCAGCAGTTGAAGATGCACCAGCATTGCCAATGCATGATGTATTAAATGGGAGCTCACAGGATCAGGGAATCAGGAGGGCATCAGGGAATCAGGAGGGCATCAGGCAATGAGGAGGACAAGCAGAATGCAAAGCTAGTGGGAGCTAACACAGCCTATGCACAAGGATTGACACCATGGTATGCAGGGGGTATGTTGATATGACAACACTTATGAAAGAAGATACATGGCACATGGGCATGACTCAACAAAGTGAGCACAGTCAGGTGCTGAGAACATGTATATATGCTCTTAGCTTAGTTGTTACCTCCTTACAAAATTTAAGCCTTTTGTTTTAGATCTGACTGTCAACTAGAGTGCCTGATTGTGGCCTCAAGTATTGTACATCTAAATTCAACTGGCTCCCAATGTGGGGCTCAAACCCATGACATTCAGATATGGTGGGAGATAGTGACTGTAAGCGGTCGCGCGCCAGAGACTAGCTCGGGTTGATTGAGTAAGGACTACTCGATATGATTTGCCTAAATGTAACCAAGCATCATCGCCTAGTAAGTCTCGACTGACCACCTTGAACACTCCATTCAGAGGTTGCGCAGCATGGACGTTGTTTGTTGGTGAGTGCGTGATACACCCTCCCCTACAGTACGAGTGTTCGTAGTACTGTTGATATGCTCTTGGACATCATCTGGACTGCGATATGCCAATCACCTACAGAGGATGTGAGTTACTGGACCGCTGGTGTGAAACACCGCCTACAATAACCGACTGGACTGCTGGTGTCAAGCAACACCACCTACAGCAAGGAACTGGACTGCTAGTGTGAAGAACACCACCTACAGCAAGGAACTGGACTGCTAGTGTAAAGAACACTGCCTACAGTAATGAACTGGACTGCTAGTGTAAAGAACACCACCTACAGTTGTCGACTAACAGTGATACAACACACACATTGAGAGTCGTTGCAAGAGCACTGCTATTGCGAAGATACATAACCTAGTAAGTATAGAGTAAGTAGTAGAGTTTTCAGAGTGGATGCCGGTCCACTCGAATGCTATGGTAGAAAGAGAGTATTTATATGTTCGATCGGTGTTTTCCCTCGACACCTATCCTGCTCCTCTTGAGGGGCCTTTGTCCCCTGTTAGGCACTGCCTTGCCCTGCTGGCATCATCCCCTTCGATACTGTGCTCCTACCATTTTGCTCGGTGCAAGGGTTATGCAACACTGCCCTCTCGCCTTCATGCTCTCCTTCTGTCTGATGTGTGATGCCCCCTTCCGGCACAGCCCCCTTTCGACTTAATCTTGTGAATCCCCTTTTGAACCTCATGACCATACCCCCTGGTTATGTGGTCACGTCAGCTCAGTTCTGTCTCAACTTGTTCGGATCAGCTGACTAGTTGAAGCATGCTGATCTGACTGACTCTGTCATTGGCACAGCTCCAAATAATTGCTCGGATCGGCCAACTAGTTGAAGCATGCTGATCCAACTGATTCCAACATCAGCACAGCTCCGAATACCTGTTCAGATCGGCCGATTAGTTGAGGCGTGCTGATCCGACTGCCTCCATCATCGGCATAGCTCCAAGTACTTGTTCGGATCGGCCAATTCATTGAAGCATAATGGTCCAGCTGACTCTGACCGTTCCCATGAGATCGATCTGGATTCCTGGGGTTCAATTGATCTCGTAAATCATGTGCGCTGCCAACCTGATTAATCTCATTGATCCCTGATGGTTGTCGACTCTGATCAATCTGGCGCACCCTTCATATGTTGATCTTCTGCACACCCTTCATATACTGCTCCGTTACGCAACATTATCATAGCTGCCGCTGATCATTTGGCGCACTCTCTTGCGCAGGCCAGCCGTCCCTGTGACAGTGACCACCAAGCCAGCACAGGTGAAGCAGCCAGGAGGACAAGAAAGGGCAAAATGCCACAACAAGTACAAATTGATGAAGAGGCCACTGACAGTAACAAGACTGAGTATTTTGACAATGAGGATGAAGGAGGATCAGAATCGGATGACAATGATGACTGATACAATTACCACAACTTGGCCAAAATCTTGGAGATGGTTCCCAAGCTCATGTCATGCAACTATTATAGTTGGAGCACACTCATCAAGGCTAACCTCCAAGTAGTCCCTCATGCCACATGACACTTAGAGGGCACATATGATAGAGACCACCTGAAATGGAATAGAACTTTTGATAACGCCCTAGTGGGTGTCCTACGAAGTGTCAGGGGTCTCGCGCCTGAAACCCAGGTCGGTCTGTTGAGATACTCGGTGACTATCAAACTGTGCGACAGTTATTGTCTCGGTATCGGTGACTATCAAGTTGTGCAGTGACAGCAGGTGGCGTTCGTTGTATATACTATCGTAGGTTTCGGCTGACCTCTGTGGACACTCTGTTCAGGGGTAGCTCGGCATGATCAATATCAATGTTATGATGACACCAAGGTCTGGTGTGAGTGTTGATGATGATGAGGTTGATGGTGTTGGTGATGAGATTGGTGATGTCAATGATAATGAGGTTGATGGTGTTGGTGATAAGGTTGGTGGCATCAACACGAGTGTCCAGTGTGTTGACTTGATGCTTGAAGTGATCCCCGGACCGCAGTGGACTACTGCCTTCGGTTCTATCTATATCCGGACCGCTAACCTGCTATGGGCGCCTTCGGACGTCAGGTAGTGGTGATACAACACACACACTACGATGAGGAGCAACCTTGATAGATTGCTGCTATGCTGACTGAAACTAATATATACTTATGCTGAAGTGATAACTAGTTATGGTGAGTAGAGTGGATCAGGATCCACTCGACCTATGATGATGAGAAAGCATGGTTATATACCTCTTCACAGCATCGCCAGCGATGCTGCTCCTGCTCTCTCTCCAGAGAGTACCTTCTTCATCGAGTACTGCTCAGGGGCCTCTCCTGCTTGGCACCCCTGTGCCTCTTGAGTGGTGTCGACTCCTTCGACACTGCTCCTCCTCCTCATAACCTGGTGTCAACTCCTTCGACACTGCTCCTCTTCCTCAGGACCTGCCTGCTAGTGTCCTATACACTGCTCCTTCTCCTTTGACCAGTGACAGTCCCTTTGACTCTTGTCTCTCGAGCCCCTGAGTGGTAACCATCTGCATTCTCCTTGAGCTTGGTCCCCTTCGTGGCTGTGCCTGCTCCGTGAGCTTGGTCCTCCTCATGGCTGTGCCTGCTCCTTGAGCTTGGTCCTCCTCATGGCTGTGCCTGGCCCTCCTCGCATATGGCTCGGTCCTCCTTTGCATGTGAGTCTGTAGGAGTCCATGGTCTCCATGGAGACTGCACTATGACCATGCTCTCTACTGGTATCAACTAGATCTTCGATACCTGTGCTTCTTCCATATGAACCAGCGACCCTCCTGCTTCCTGAGCATTTAGGCCCATGACACGAAGCACCTTAGACACTGAAGGAGAGTACAACATCCTTTACCTCCTACTCGACATCAGTAAGAATCACCTGACCTGCCATCAAGCTTGGAAGAAGATCGAAAGGAGTCTTACCAGTGAAGCAGCTAGAACCTCACAATGGATAGCATTACTTGCCAAGCTCAATGAGGCAAAGATGTTTCATGCTGATGCCTGTAAGCTGATCCAAGAGATCAGGGTCATGCAGATGGAAACTAGCCTCCTAGGTGCCCCATTTAGTAATGATGCACTATATGCCATGCTCCAGAGGTGCATGATTCAACACCCAGTCTACAAGGAGACAGTCGCCACAGTTCACCAGGTTAGCTTTGATGCTCTAGCAACAGCTTTGACTACACGCCAGTCTGCAATAGAGAGCATACCCAGTCAGAAAGTGGACCCATGTCAAGCAAGTGCTAGAATTGCTGGGAGCAACAAAGAGCAGGCTGATGACACTGAGTCAGACATGGGCAGCATGAAAACCACAACCAAACCAAAGAGGATTTGTTGCTGGGTATGCAAGTGCTATGGGCACAGTGCCAGCAAATGCAATGCTTCCATTGCCATCCCCGAAAATTCCCCCCTCACCAAGACCAACTAGGAGGTCTGGTGCTCTTTCACCCCGAGTTGGCAGCAGCTCCCTGTCAGGGGTCTCGTGCCTGAAACCCAGGTCGGTCTGTCGAGATACTCGGTGACTATCAAACAGTGCAACAGCTATTGTCTCAGTATCAGTCTCAACAAGCTAGTCGTTCGGCAACTATCAAGTTGTGCAATGACAGTGGGTGGTGTTTGTTGTATATACTATCATAGGTTTTGGCTGACCTCTGTGGACACTCCATTCAGGGGTAGCTTGGCATGATCAATAACAATATGTAGGTTATGATGACACCAAGGTCTGGTGTGAGTGTTGATGATGATGAGGTTGATGACGTTGGTGATAAGGTTGGTGGTGTCAACATGAGTGTCCAGTGTGTTGACTTGATGCTTGAAGTGATCCCCAGACCACAGTGGACTACTGCCTTTGGTTCTATCTATATCTG